AGTTTCTCAAAGGCTTTTTTCTCGTTATTGAGAACAACGGATTCTGGAAAGATCAGACAGCGTACCAGACAGAAAAAAAAGGAGGAAATACCCCATAGTCACGAGTGAAATGTTGTTTGTCGACCATAAAAACCAGTTTTTCGGAACGTGGTCCGGCTACGCGATTTTTTTGCATCATGTGAACGTTCGGGAAAAATCTCTCTCTATACGGAGACAGAGATGGCAAATGCGCTTGACGAATGTGGATTCGCGAAGATTTTAGCAATGTAGAAAAGATGTTGAGCAAACAAGTGAGGCGGTAAGCTTCTGTTTTATCTTTTTACGGCGCGAATTTTAGAGGTGAGAAAACAAATGTTCGCTTTTGTTCGATTGGTTCAAGGCAAAGATTGTAAAAGTGCAATCAAAATAAACCATCAGAAGTTATACTATACGAAATGCAGCTGAAAACAAACAATTCTTTTTAATTAAAGTCCGACTTTTTACAGATAAATGTCGTTCAATCAATGATGTATAATTGTGTTTTGATAATAATTTGTTTTTATAACGAGAAGTGATGGCTGATTAAATCAAATTCTTTCACCTATTGATCCTCTCGAGCAAATTTATTTAAAAAATAAAAAGGATTAAAAAAACCAACGTTTCCATGACGTTTTCGAAACACCCTTATCAAGACTATTAAAAAAACGAAATACATAATAATCTTGATAAGAATGATTCCAAAACGTTTTCTATTTTTAAATTAAATTTCCTGGAAAGGATGTGCAGGTGACAGAGTTTTATTTGATCAACCTTCGTTCTTTATTACGCAAGTATTTCATGAGCTATCTACTCGAAACAGCTATTAAATGTAATGGTAAAATTTTTTATTTTCAAATGGCACTTTCTTTGACAAAGTAACATACCGTGTCATTTCAATACAAAGCCCCTAAATCAGTGTGAAGGCAAACGAGCCCCTTCTTGCATATACCTGCCCCTTCGCCTCTATAAAAAACTCTCCATACATAGCAATTATACCCATCGTAAAAGTCCATTATCCCGACTAAAAAAAGTCGTGCGAGATTTGGCGCCTTGTGAAATAAAGACTATATATACACACCACCTGTACAAACACGCGCACACTCACTGTCGAAAAACCAGTCGCGAGACATGATATGTGAAATGCAATCATTGTCTCGGAGGTATATAACTAATGATTATTAGGTCGCGTGGAAAGACGCGGTTTCGCTAACGAGGATGCATTACTTTTGTCGATACGCTAGTAAAGACTTGACTTTACACTGTTAGCGTTGCCCGGAGTAATTGTAACTTAACTTACATGATTCTTTGATTTTTATGCATCGTCATTCGACTCGCACATTCGATATTCATGTGTTATCAATGGAGTTTCCATCGAAGAAATTTGTTACTGCTAATTTTTTACTTTGATAGAATTCTTACTACCAATTACTTAGTTCGTACACGCAGTATACTCTAACTTCCTTTACAACTACGTTCGTGAGAGAAAAAAAAACTTGGAAACCGACACTAGCAAAGATAGCTTTTCGAAGAAAACCTTATCGAAATTGGTCGTTTATACCAGAACCTTGTTTTCTTCCCATGCATACATCACATATAACATAGACAGCGAGAGATTTCACTTGGTGAATTTTTGCATGAATCAACAGTTTATATAGAGTCATTTCATTGGAGGCATCTGAAAGATATAATTTGCAAAACAGTAGCAGTATAGTCGTTCTTTTTGCCATAAAAATGCTTTTAGAAAGTTTGCGATTCCCAGGTACTTATGCAAAAAAAAAATGACTTTTCACCTCTCACTTTGCCTGAAAACAATGGCAGCGTGTGCTTATATATGCACTATCGACACGCGATTTAACTTTTTCATAACAATCGTGTCAAGGATGTAATATCGATCACAATGAAAATTTTTTTTTTTTTCCAATGTACTTCGTGGGCGTGTAACTTCTTAAATCAGAATAAAATGTGTGTGCGTGTGGGTATGTATACAAGTGGTATTCCGCGCGTGCGACGACTCTCTTGCTTACGTCAATCGACTAGTTTTTCCTGAAATCCTTCAGGTTCTCTCTCTCTCTCTCTCTCTCTCTCGAGAAAGAGAGATGAAAAAAAAATTTTGCCAGCACAAAACCCGATTATTTATGACAATCTCTCTCTTTTCAAACCTTAGCAGTTAACTTTTGTAAAGGAAAACAAACGTAATAATAAAATTTTAATTTTTCATTAAAATTACTTGGTTGTTCGCGCTCGGGCTGCTACATTGTATTGGCGACTGATTTTTGAAGCGAAGTACATTGCGCAACGCGCTTTTTACGTGATTCCTTCTCGGAATGATAATCGACAGAAAAATTTTCTTTATGTCAATTGGTGATGCAAGAAGATCAATTGAAAATCCAACGTCTATTGGCGAAAGTAAAAGTTTCCTTTTTTTCCTATACTTTCACGCTGACAGGTCAAAGAACTTTGTTTTTCTTTATTTTCAAGCTACGTCATGATTTATTTGCATCTCAATTATCGTGTGCATGAGAAATATGTATGCGACCATTCGATAAATATTGAAATAATATTTTCCATTTACTACAATTAATCGCCACGTTGCAATTTCGACAGTTTTAGTTTTTATAAAAAAAATTAAATAACGAGGTATCTAACTTTTCAATAAACTTTTTTACAATGTACCGCTTCATGGCATAACTAACATTGTATAAAACAATGTAATAAAAAAGTTAAACACCAATTGCATCTACGATAATGCCATCGACGTTTTTCTCAATGTACAAAAACATCCATTACCGAGTGTGTACGCGCATACATGAAAATCTGTCGATATGTAAGCATGCATCGTCGTAAGAGTTTGAGGCTATATTTTGTTGTATTCATCGATAAAATCCGAAGGTCAAGCTCAAACCAAACCTTCAAGGATATTACAGCTGGTATATACGTGTGTTGCATCCAGTGGAACGAGTCCGAAGAAGGAGGAGGTGTAATATAAGAGAAATAGCGTTCTCTCGACGATCCTTGGGAAGGACGCGGCAAATCGATGAACGGCCAATATTAATAAACTCGTGCGTGTTGTTATCGCCTCATTATTTTTTGATTGGATCGCGATGCGCGAGTGGATTTCCAGTTTCATTGTTTTGCACGGGTTGCCAATTTCGATAACGAGAGGACTTTCTTCCTTATTTTGGGTAAGTGAACCCTCAATTGAGCTGTTATTTTTTTTTGTCGGTTATTTTTGAAGGTAAAACTTTGGAATGGCAACGACGGTTACGCGAAAAGAGAATGTCTTGTTTATACATATTTAGCAATGGTAACGGGCCGGCAGGACTGCATTTCACAATGTTAGCATCGTAAATGTGTCGATACTTCAATAGCAAAGTAAATAATTTAATTTCATCCGAATTAAAAAAGAAATAGTAATTTCACCCTTCATTGGATAATTATAATTTTCCTGCGCAAACCCGTAGCTCGGCTTTTCAATTGCTGTGTCAATCTATCAGCAATTATCTAAAAAGGCTCCATATCCTTTGTAAAATAAAATGAAATGACGTTCACATCACAACGACGAACGCAATCGCGTGGTAATTTTCTAAAATGCGCAGTAAAAAAATGAAACATTATCACTGCGCAAAAATCACTTCAGTTTTCCTTGATTCCACGAACATCGAATTAATACCCTGTGCCCGCACAAGTATCCAAGAAAGAGCAAACATTCGCCTCTTCCTCTCCGTTAAACAAAACCCACCCTCGCATCTATATTTTTCGGAAGTAGAAAGGAAATAAATAAAATGCAGGTGTTATCCAACCGAAGGACAATTGAAGGAGCTTTACACGTGGTTATGCTTCTGCGCACACACAGACACATGCTCCTAACGAGATGCCGGATTCCTTGAAAATTGAGCGCGCCGCCAGATAATATCGAAACCCGCGCAGTTCGTCAGGAATTTAAAAGCGCCAGATCCTCGTTTACAACTAAATACAGATTCAGATGTGCACTCAGCTTGTTTTTTTGAGAGAATTTTAACAACGATAGCAAACGAAAACAAGAAGAAAATCAAAATGTATCGTGAGAAAAAATAGGTAATGGTGTTAATAATAGCCGACTGTTAAATTAAAGTATAAACTGCGTGTAAGTTAGCATATTACATCTTGGAAGGTAATGATGAACGATAAATAAAGCGATATAAATGTATAATTTTCGTGGTATGTAAACTACTTCAGACATCACTTTAACAGCACAAAAATATATGTAGGTTTCAATGATTACACACATATACACGGATAAGCCATGGAAAAAGAAGGACCTTCCCTGTCGTTCTCAAAATCCAAATGAATCTTGCGAAAAAAACCATCCTAAACAGCCTGGGAACTCAAAAAGGAAACCGACACATGCTTTTTGAGAATCGTCAACATCCTGTTTCTCGAAACAAAAAAATGACGGGTAGGGCACTGATCGGCAGATTTTACCGATGCAAAAGTGCGGAAGGAGAAAGCCTCCCACAATGGAATAAAGATAGATAGTCAAAAGACGGTATAGCGACGCTAACTCGCGGTTCTTTGCTCTCTCTCTCTCTCTCACACACAGTGTGTTTGCGTGTGCAAGAAGTTACACATATAAAGGCGCGAGAGAGTTTTAAGCTTAGAAGGCGGCCGTTGCCGATCGGAAAAAGGAAAACCCGTTCTCCCACTGGCGTCTACTACTGCGAGGGTATATATACGTGTGTGCGCGCGATAGCGCATTCCTATCCGCAAGCGTCGCTAGCATCGCATACTCATATACCACGTTATATACATGCACGCACACAGAGACAAACGGCGCTGATTGGCTTGCATTATAAAAGGACTGCGGCTGTCCGAAAAACATGAATGAAAGCGCGCACCGTGCCACTTGCTTTCCCTTCGCGCGATTTTTCCAACATGGCGTACATCCGCACAGACTGTAACCACGGCAAGGCGCAGGATCATGAACTTTTCTCTGTTTTACTCACCTCCTAGGCCGCCATTTCGGTAACACATTTCTTCCTTCCTTTTCTCCCTCACTTTTGCTGTCAACACTGCTCTTCCGTATTCTCTGTTCGTCACTGCGGATGCGCCTGTTGTTATACGACTCTTTAACGGACAATCAGTCGAGACGCACGGCAACGGCGTTCGGCACTGCGCGAGAACACGGCATAACTGAACGGTTGGCTATATACACACTCCCGGAGAACGCTCTACAGTTGCTGCTCTCTCTCTCTCTCTCTCTCTCTTGCTTAACCGCGCCGACAGAGTGAGAGAGAAAGAGAGAGGGGAGAAAGGACACTCGCAGATATGCCACAGGTGCGAGAGAGCCGAATGCATGCCGATGGAAAGTCAACGGTCAGTTTACACTCGCTGCTCTGTCTGTGTGCCCGTATGCCTATATACGACTTTGCGTTGATGTGGGAGCTGCGCGCGCGCGAGAGAGACATCAATGGGTCGCGCTGCAAGCACACCCGCGGCTTCTTTTGCCTCTTTTCGGCAAGGCGGCACACGCACCTTTCGAAAGTGTCGATTGCTGGGGGCGGAGGATGCGCGCGCTCGTCGCGCTATACCTATCGGGAAGCACCGCTCGCGCCGCTATAGCGCCTTTTAACTTTAACGATCCCTCGAACAGTTATCCACGAGCGCGAAGTACGTCTACCCGTGCGAGCGAGATATTAATAAGCGCGCAAACCTTTATTATGCGCGAATTCCAATGTCCGCAACCTAAATACCAGATCCCATTCGCAGTCGAATCTAATCGGCTCGCTTCAGCGCCGTCGTCCCGCGAAGTTGCCGAGCGAGTTTCGCCCGAGTTTTTTCCTTTTTTTTTTTGTTCTGTCGAAGTCGATCGAGTGCCGCGCGCGCACACATCGAGCCAATGGAATTAAAATCATTCAATCGTATTCTCTCGCTCCCGGCTCTGCCCATTGCTCAACCTGTAGACATTCGAGCTTCTGCGTTGAGAAGCCCGCCACCCCCCTTCCCGCTCTCCACCTCCCTTTTGGCTATAAAATTTCACGAGTTTTAATCACTTTCCCACGACAGACAAGGAGTAATTGATATATCGATTATTGATGGTCGAAAGTTCGCTTGTATACTTCCAGCCAGTTTCTATTTATACGCTGAGTGGTTTTCACGTTGTTGTAAACGCTTCGTGCACATTCAGGAAATAACGAGGCTCCGTACTTGCGACGAGTAGAAAGAAAAATTGATGATTTAACTTAACAGGTGAATCATAAACAAGAGAATGATTGCAAAGTGAAGGAAAACTATCGATGAATTTATGATCGCACTAATATTATTGAACCGGTCGATATACGAAACGATCTCGGTGCGCGAGTTGTTTTCTTTTTTTTTAGAAAGCCTAGAGAAAGAAAACATCTCTCGTGAGTTGTTTATTAATCGCAACAAAAAAAAAGAAAACAAACATATTCTTGTCCTCATTCGCATTATAAACTTTGTGAAATCACAGGCGGCGATCGCTGCTAGATTTTCGATCCATAAATTATTCGCAAAAAGGCGGCACAGCGGGGCATTGTTTTCCGCTTCTCGCGAAGGTCAATCACGCGCGCGGAATTTCGCGGCCGGTATCGTGCGTTTTCCCATGGCGAAAATATTGCATAATAGAGATGCGCGCGACCAAATGGCTTCCGCTTAAGCTTGCGGTGATGAATGTGGCGGAGCGCCTTTGCCGCTGTGTGATAAATGCGCCTCTTTCGACAATTGCATTCCAATTGAATAATGCTGGATGTATTTACTCGCGTTGTTAAACATTTTCTCTTCGAATTTTCGCGAGTTTAGGGTTGAATAGCTCGCGGTCGCAGAATTACTATATGTACGTAAATTACGTGAGACATTCGTAACATTATTTTGTCGGTAGACGATCATTTTCTCGCGGTAATCGAGTTATAAACGATCAAGGTACGAAGGCATGCATTGTTTCATGGGCTATCAATAAAAACGTTATCATCGAATTAATCATAATCGAGCTACCGTGACAAATGATAAATTTGAATGTCTCGGCGTTTATTTATAGAACCAACATAAATATTTCGTTGCTCGCTACACGTGACGAAACACGCACGTTAGAGTCCATATTCCTAGCAAAGTGTAAACAGAAAAAGTAACTCGAGCATACATCGTCAACCTTGAAGTAATCAATTTCCCAATGAATATTTCAAGAATCGTGATTGCTTGAACAATCGAAAATTATATAATTGCATATAATTTACTATTAATTTATCAAGCGCACGAAAAATAAAACAAAAAATACGGTTATAGATACGCATTATCCTTAACCACGACAGCGATGAAACGAGCGGACGGCAATTTGCATGCTATTTACTCTTTCTCGACATCTTCGAATCGTCAATCATTTGTAATACCGTGGCATACGTATATTTATGCAGGCTCTGTGAAAAGGTTAAACATATTTTATTTGTGTACTTTTTTTTGAGCACTTATTAAGGATCATCGCGACTATTTGTCATTGTTATTAATCGAGCCTACAGGCCGTACCTAAATAAGAATCAGAACGTCAAGTCTGCAGATCGTATGAAGTAAGAGATAACGTTGACGCGCAGTAATAATAATAAATTACCATAAAAGTTCTGAAAATTTCGTCGACGCGCTACAAAGAATAATTGATTCCACGTCATTAAATGAATCATCGGGAATCGCTATTATACATTGAGCAACGAACTACAACGATGTGTCAATCATCGCCGGCGATGTCTGCGCCTGTCTATACAGTGACGATAGCTCGTCGCACACCAGTCTAATTAAGCATCATTTGTGACCACATATAGCTCGATAAAACAGCAACTATGAATTCGCGGAATACGTGCACTACAAATATCCGAAAAATTCAGATTTCCACGACGTTGGTTACTCAATGGGCACGTTACACGTATAGTCAAACAAACACACATACGAACGCAAATCTCAATTATTTTTATGCAATTGCGTCCTATTACACGTGTGGAACTGAATTTTCTCTCTTACAAATGATGTGCACGCGAGTGATTAGCGCGCTATGCGGAATGATCATTTGCATTACGGGATTGGGAATATAAACGTTTTGAAAAAGGAAAAAAAGAAACGCCGATGAGTAACCACAGCCTTACGATCGATCAATTATTTCTTCGTCTTTTTTTTTTTTTCAAGTTCTCCGTGACATCTTGGCGCTAAAAGTATATACGTTATAAAACTAAATTGTTATACGCGTGTCGCAAAAAAAAAAAAAAAGAAAAAAAAATATTTGCCGCGCAAGATTGTAATAACAGAAACGTGCAAAGGTAAAATATAGATTTTTCTTTTCTTTGATATATATGTTACGAAACAAATAACATAAAAGCAGCAACGTGCCAGAGATGAGTTAACACTAATAACGTGGATTTACATAACAATGAGGCAGTTACAGAAATATGCGCGAGTCTGCACCTACAATGCTGATGACGGGGGGGGGATTACCCGCGGTGAACGTTGCTGCATTTGTGCGCATACGTATAAATCGGTAAATTGCAAATTACACAAACGCGCAGAAGCAGACGAGTCTCAAATTACGTTCTTTGCCGAGACGATTCTGGACGCGCGAGAGAATCGAAGTTTGTACTCTGGCGGCATCTTCCTTCGCTGAGGAATAATACGCTAAGAGAAGAGCGAAATGAAGCACAACAAGCTGCTTTATCGACAGTTGTTTGTTATGAAAGAGTAAAGGATTATTCATTTTGGCGGGGAATTTGAGATTTTACCGAGCTATTTATTTTCTTGCGAGTTCCAATCTTTCGTCACAACCTTATTGGGTTATAAAAGCGGTCATAATACTATTATTTTTCCAAAAAGTATGGTAACTGTTTAATTTAAGTCCTTTTTATTTGTCAAAGTTCTTCATTCGAAGTTGCATTTGAATATTACATGAACGGTTTCAACTTTTAACATTCAAGACTTGTCAATCTTGATCTTCTAACCGAATATACCTGCAAATCCAGTCGGGTTAGTCACCGTTGGAATGAATCCTATTCCTGGTATGGCAGGCTTTCCCGTATTCGAATTTCCACCACTGGGTTTCTGTCCAAGTAGTCCCGGTATTGGGATTTTCGGTATCGGAGCTTTACCTGAGTTTATTCCTGGTAAGCTTATTGGCGGCTTGAATGGAATGTCATTTAACGAAGGTACGAAAGGAATTTGAGGAATCGCGCTGGTATTCAGAAAGTCTGATACTGATCCTACTTTAGCGAATTGCCCTAGAGATGGTACGGATTTAACTGCTTTCTCGAAGGTTTTCAGAGGATTCTTCAGATCAACATGGAACAGACTGCACAGAGGTGACGTGAATCTTTCTTCAATACCTGTCCACAATCCCATCTGACAGAATCTGCGGAAAAAAATAGACACTAAATATTCGAGCATTTACAAATAAATGAATAGCATTATATCGATTAGTACCTGAATTGTTTATTAACGGTTGGTTTAGAGGTAATACTCAAGAAATCGTCATTTTCATCATTACCATCCGAAAATGATGGTAAAGAAAACGGTAAAAGGAATCCATCTTTAGAATTCGAGCCACCGCTTACGTTTCCAGTTCTGGCAAATTCAGCTATCATGGTAGTAAATATATCTTTCACTCGTTGATCTTCTTCATTAAAATTGGATCTCGGCTTCATAGGTTTACCGTGGATATTATTTGGATTGAAAAGATAACCAAGTTCGTCACCGTGACTTGTCTTACCTATAACGATACAAATCTAATGTCGAAAACAATCATAGACTTGGCAAGCAATTGAAAAAAGTTATGTACAAACCATTATCGGCAGATCTACCAACGATCGGAAGTCCACTAAGGAAATCTTTACCGAAACCATGCTTACTGTCGTGATCGAAACTGTACAAATAAGCTTTAGACTTTTTGGCCCAACTTTTAACTGTCAAGAATGCTGGCGCATTAAATATAGCATCGTTCAAAGCTTCGCTGACTTTGGCAATACTGTCTCCCCTCTTGTTACCATTGCCACCAGTAATACCGAAAGGATCTAGGTATTTCGCGAAAGCTTCAGGTATGAATTGTTTCTGAATATTTCCAATAACAGGTACGATTTTTTGCAAATTCGGTACAAGATACTTAGTCAAAAAGTCGGGTATTTCTTTCAGTTGTTGACTGATAGTGTTTTTGAAAGGACCATAGACTGCACCGCCAGTTTCGTCCTTGACCACTCCAATAAGAAGTGGTATTTTTGGAACTTCGTTAGAGTTAAGAGAATCTTCAGGTTCATCTTGTACGAATTTCGGCAAAGAACTGTAAGAGCATAAAGTAATTTTAATATCGCAGAGTTAAGACTTAGTTGAGCAAATCATATACCGTTGATCGTCCTTTCCTTCCACAACAGGACCAGTTCCCAGAAGACTCGACAAGTCTGTTATGAAATTCCTCTCTTCAGTGCTCTCAAATTTGGAATCTTGCTCGATGATTCTGGAAGCTGGCAATTCGCGCAAACAGCGAACCATTTCCACAGTTTCATTGAAAGGACAATTGTTACCAGCGGCAATCACTTGGGTTGTCCTTCTTGGTTCTCTTTCTACGGCGAAACGCGATAAAAGCGAACCGGACATTGCGATGATACCACTGAAGTAACCTTTGCGTGACAAATCAAAATTAATAAATTAATAATTGATCGGATATTGAGAAATTGAAAGAATCGTACTTTGTCCATATTGGGATAAACCAAGCAAAAAAGCTGAGCTTGCACCAGTGCCTTGACCCATTGCAACTATTTGATTGGGATTTCCACCGAAGAATTCGATGTATTGTCTTACCCAGTCAGTTGCCAATGCCATGTCGAACAATCCATTGTTTCCCGATAGGTTTTCGTCTTCGTTACTCAAAAAACCTACAAAAGTACACAAATTATTAGGTACACTGACATATTTCAATATTTCCATTACATAAGTACCTAATGATCCTAATCTGTACTGAATAGATACTAAAATAACTCTTTGCTTGATAAGGTCACGCATCTCGTATTGAGAAGCAGCACCACGACGGAAACCGCCGCCATGAATCCAAATGATCACGGGATATCCGTCACCTGAGTCGGGTAAGTTTGGTGTAAAAACGTTTAGGTACAAACAATCCTCGCTCCCTACTATTTGACCGTCCTCGGTTGGCTGCAGGCACGGTGCTTCCCATCTTGTTGCATTAACATCACCTTCTAAGAATATTGGAATGGGTCGCTGAAAAATAATTTTTTTTGCGATAATTATCAAATAGTTCTTGATCAAACAAAATATTAAAGAGGAAATGAAAGAAGGCGGAAATTTAATTTGATAACGTGACATCGTAAGAATAGATGTCCTAAAATATGCCTAGTAACCCACAAGATAAGGCAGCTCACTCTAATTAGCTATATATTTTTGTAAATGCCGGATGTCACACAACTAATGATAAAAAAATCCAGTGACTTTTATCAGAGAAGGTGTCATGGATCATATCTTTTATTCGTAATGGTAATTAATAAAAGTTTTATTTTCAGCAACTAAGATAAATGAGTAAAGTATAGTATACATGTTTTGTTGTAAATAAATTATTTTCGTCTTACATATTTTTATAGTAATGAAAACCATACGTAATCTTCAGATTTTGTCGGAATAATATGCAAAGATAACAACAAAATCGTAACAATTTTTCTCGACATAATAAGACTATTCACAAGAAAAAATAAAATGATCGAAGTAGAAGATATTATGTCTTACCCGAAACCGTCTTTGTCCAATTGGTGGCTCGGCATATCTGATACCACGGAATAAATAATAACCGCTGGTTTTATCTCTGGTACCGAACACACGTGCATCGCGATCAAATTTCCTACTGTAGACGACAGGATCATCGACAGGTGGAGCAGGAGCAACTTTACCACCGACAATACATTGGACGTAGTCTAAGTTCGTTACGGTGAGAAGTGCCAAAACAGAGAATATTCGCACGTCCATCATGGGGCTCGTCCTTTACTAGAATGGTACCAGCGAGTTGTCGATGCTAGAATAGTGATAATGACGGAACGAGGATGCGCGATAAAAAATATAGAGGGAAAAAAATAAGGAAAGAAAGCCGAGATATGGAATTTCACACAGGAAGTTCCAAAAACAGCGATAGTCCCAATAACGGCTATTTGTCAACGTTCTAATTGCAGAATTTGTGACAAAATTGAAATTATTATTAATGCGCATCTTCAAAACTATAATAAGTTGTACTAACAATTTTCTATCTTGAATATATTGTTAGATATTAGTTTTTGAATATTACAGAAAATCATTTTTAATTCTTGAGCATTTTTTTTATTAAGAAGCGTATTTTTTATAACCTATTGCGTTCATCTTTTTATTTGCATTTTAACACTTGCAACTCTATTTCGAAAAATTAGATCTAAGCACCGATGTCATACATTATGTTGTACAGTGTAGTTTGATGTATTTATATAACCTAATATTTTTTACTTTATCGAAATATAAAAATTAATAGGATCGTATCTTTGGTTGTTAATGCGACTTAACGAATACCATGCCCGGATTCTTATACATATGGCCATATATTTATTAAAAATATGTTATCATAACTTTTTAATGAACAACGGCAGCCGCCGATTCTTCAGTCTGACAAAAGCTTTCTGGCAAATATCTTACAAAAATTGTCCTAATAATCTTTGTAAATATTGCAATAAGGTAAACGCAACTTTAATTTACAATTCTTTTCTTATTTATGTATATAATTTGAAAGATATTGCAGTATTTATTTATGAAAGTTGCTAATAACTTTTTATTTAACCTTATAGCATTAAGATATAGTTTTAAAATTGTCCTACCTAGACACAGACAGAATATATATAAGAATTTACCTTGTATCGTCAACTTAGTCTCAAAGCTGTATTTTGCCGCATAAGAGCCATAACATAAGTGAAAGCTATTAAAGTGTGATAAGTTATATACTGTATACTTGATATTATTTTTTATAAAGTTTCGTGCATGAACAAATGTAATACTGTACTACATATTTCTAAAGAGTTGATCGGATACCGTTTATTTTAAATTAGAATCGAGGTAGGAGGTAAGTGAAGTTTTTGTGAATATCAGTTAAAGTAGATTCAAAGTGTATATTTGTACAATAATTAATATAAATAAAATCTTGAATTTTTCCAATATTTACATGACATATTATAATATTGATGTAATAAATATTTTATATTGATGGTATATTATTGATTGATTTGAAAGAATAATCAGTTCATCCAGATACTTTGGATACTTTTATCTTTTTTTCCTTTTGAAAAAATATATAGTCATATTATTAATATCGTATTGTAGGTTATATTATATTATATTATAGATTTGACATACACACCAAGAAATAAAAATGGTCTGTGCTTTTAAGGAGATCCGGATCTATAGATATGTAAATTAATGCACATAATTCGAATTCGAGGTGAGAATCGTGCATGCATAATTCTTTGTCACGTGCTATTAAAGCTGAATTCTCCAATTTTCCATTCTGTTAACTGAGAGCTTTCTTGATTAAAATACCACAAAATCGAGGATGTATTCATAATTCCCACTTTGGGTGTGAATTCAGCGTGTCAAAATTCATATAAATGAATGGATCTCGTCAAAAATACAAATCACTTTTTGATTTTTTCAAGCCGGTGTTCTTAATATAAAAAAATCAGATTTCATATAATTTTCAAGTTAAATATTTTTCTTATACATTAGATAACAATTAATGTTGAGAGTCGCTCTTAACCCATTAACGTCCAAAATGTCAAAATTTCTTGCACGTTTTCAAAGTGATTTTTTCCTATGTAATTGGTGTTGCAAAAATTCTTGAACCACATATTCTGATGTAAAATTGCATGCTCTTTCAGAATCCGTTGCCAGAATTATGATAAAACTCACAGGAAAAGAGATATGCTCGATTGAAACATAAAAAACACCTAAATTTTCGAAAAAAAAAAATTTTTAGGATTTTTTTTCGAAGTGTTACGGTGAAGATATCACCTTGCGACCGTGATCAAAGGTGATCATGGGATTTGAAGTTTAACAGGGAATTTTTTTGTTTACCTTGAACCATCGCTTCTTTACAAAATGGCGGAAAAAACGAATTTTTTTTTTTTCAATCTTCATCAACTTTTTTCTCAAAATCTATGGTCTTTAGAAAAAAATTCATAAAAACAAAAATGCCTTAGAATCGCTCGAGGAACATTCTCAAATTTTTTCAGAATTTTTTGAGACAATTTTTGATTTTCCGGGAAACTTGGGAAATAGAATTTTCAAAAATGTCTCCAAAAATTCTGAAAAAATTTTAGGATGCTTCTCGAGTGATTCTAAGACATTTTTGTTCTTATGAATTTTTTTCTAAAGTCCATAAATTTCGAGAAAAAAATTGATAAAGTTGAAAAAATAAAAATTCGTTTCGACCGCTATGTTCACTTTATCAATTTTTTTCTCGAAATCTATGGACTTTAGAAAAAAATTCATAAGAACAAAAATGTCTTAGAATCACTCGAGAAACATCCTAAAATTTTTTCAGAATGTTTCTCGAGCGATTCTAAGGCATTTTTGTTTTTATGAATTTTTTTCTAAAGACCATAGATTTTGAGAAAAAAGTTGATGAAGATTGAAAAAAAAAAAATTCGTTTTTTCCGCCATTTTGTAAAGAAGCGATGGTTCAAGGTAAACAAAAAAATTCCCTGTTAAACTTCAAATCCCATGATCACCTTTGATCATGGGATTTGAATCTCGCAAGGTGATATCTTCACCGTAACACTTCGAAAAAAAATCCTAAAAATTTTTTTTTTCGAAAATTTAGGTGTTTTTTATGTTTCAATCGAGCATATCTCTGTTCCTGTGAGTTTTATCATAATTCTGGCAACGGATTCTGAAAGAGCATGCAATTTTACATCAGAATATGTGGTTCAAGAATTTTTGCAACGCCAATTACATAGGAAAAAATCACTTTGAAAACGTGCAAGAAATTTTGACATTTTGGACGTTAATGGGTTAAGAGTGATTCCGTAGAAATTTTCTTTTTCATATTTGACACTATTTTGAGATGAAAACCTTCTTGTGGCAAGAGAAATTCTCTAATCACAAGAAAACCTTTTTTCTTGATATATAGATGTGTCGAAAACATTTGCAAGCATAAGCTACGAATTTTTCTTTCCTCCTTACTAAAAAATGTGATGGTCTGGAAAGTGAAGGCAGTTTATTCGTGATTGAATTGGCCAAAGAATCACGTAATCAGCTGTTATTTGATAGTTATGTGAATCTGTGTGTGTATGTATGTATGCACAATGCACATACACCTGAACGATATAGCGTATTTTTATAGATGATTAAACGTTCGAAAAGTATATCTATGTTGTTGATAAAAATTTAATATGAATTGATTGATGATTTATTCATACTACCCTCGAAATAAAATCCGTTTAAAATCTCGACAGAGAAATTAATTGAACGTTGCTCCATATTTCAAAATTTAACTTCGAATAAATAAATTAGGCAATAAAAGATATAAATCGCAAATTATCAGAATAAAATATTGTACAGTGATTTTGGCTTTATTCAGTGAAATATTATTTAAATATTAGAAATTTTGTTTGATAATGCATCAATTACAATTGCGAACGTCTACCGAAATATGTTATTTATATCTTTAAAATATGACTATAGAAAACTAAAATGTTTTTAGAACTTACATTGCATTTTTTATCATGTTATTGAAACTTTTTGATGATTTTTCAACACAGAATTTTGGATAACGAAAATTTAAAACTTCATTGATGATATTTTTAATCATGTGTATCAATGTCACTGATCATCTATCTAATCTAATTATCGATTAAAAATTATTAAAGATACAAAGAAAGCTCTTCCGCAACTGTGTATAATTCGAACGAGCTTCTTGATTTCCCGCGTCAAAATTGTCGTTTTTTCATGTGAAACATGCAAACTCGCCTAGTACGTTCAGCGAGAAAGAGAGGAATGATCGCGGCGCGTTTACGTTTTAAAGAGCCGCCGTACTATGCCACTACCACCACCACCACCACTACCGTTATTAAAAGGATAATTCAAGTTTGTATATATAGCGAACCGTGGGATCTCCTCTTTGTATACAATAGTAATGCTCGCAACCGCGTGAAAGTCGACTTGAAAAAGAGGAAGAATAAAAGGAAAGCAGCAGGTTGTGGCATACTATACTTCAACAATCAGTAACGTTGTAATAGTTATGCGGCTTCTATTAAGATAAGGAAATTCCGAATTTCATTACTATATCATAAGAGCGTGATGTGGGTAGAGATGCCCACAGCCCGGGGTAAATGATGTTCGTGAAAGATCCCTGTGGTATCGTCTGCATCATCATTACTTACGTCGCCGTATTCTACGCTGATTATGTCGTCATCAATTGGATCATCCTGCATACCATGCAGGACAGGTCAGTATCTGTCCATGTTTAGTGGAAACTTTTATTGTGACGTCACGATGTATACAAAACATTTTCTTTTAAAGAGAAACTTGCTTGCCCGGGAAAAAATATCGCCCGTTTGGCAGGATTTTTCTCCGTTCCTATATTATTACACTTCATTCTTGCACTTGAAAATGCAAGACAAATTATAGAATATTTGAATGTTGTCTAGTTGTGTTTGAGCCAATTATCATAGAATCATAAATAACTAACTCCTAACTATTTACGTTTCTGCGTACGTTAAACATAAATGTAATAATAACTTTTATAATAATTATCATTAAATTTCATTTATAAAACAATGAATGGTTTTCTATTCTATTAATATAGAATTTCAAGATAAACTATTGTTTCTCTTAAACGTGTTGTTTTGTTTGAACATTTATGGTTTACTATGAACTTTTTTAAAGTAAAATATTATTATTCAAAAGTAGAATTCATAATTGTAATATTTTAAAACATAATTTCTAATATAAATGTTGAACAGTTTGTCGTGTTATTTTAGAGTAAATTACTAACAAGATGTTTGTAAAAAGAATTGACATAAGAAACTGAAATATATTATTAATTTCAGTTTATGGGGTCCATTTCATGTCATCACTTTCAATACAGTGGTATTACTGCTGATGATGTCCCATTTGAAAGCAGTATGTAGTGATCCAGGAGTGGTACCTCTGCCACAATCAAGAATGGACTTTTCTGATATTCACACAGGTAGCTCTGGGGGAGATGATTGTGACGAGAGAGATGATTGGACAGTTTGCACTAGGTGTGAAACTTACAGACCACCTAGGGCTCATCATTGTAGAATTTGTAAAAGGTGTATTAGAAAAATGGATCATCATTGTCCATGGTATACTATTCCATTCAAATATTCATTCCAATAATTATTGTTGAGACTATGATGATTGTTTACTTGTTTTGCAGGATAAATAATTGTGTGGGAGAAAGAAATCAAAAGTACTTTATGCAATTTTTAGTATATGTTGGTACTCTAGCTTTATACGCAATAGTTTTAGTTATTCTATCTTGGGCATTTGATTGTCCACAGTGTAGCAATGACATGGCAATAAAACAGACTCGCATGTAAGTGTTACTTCTGTATTACCATGATCCTTCTATTATATAATTATATATCCTTGAAGATATTGGGTGATGTATTGCTTTCCTATTCTTACAGCTTACATTGTGTGATATTAGTATTAGAATCAGTTTTATTTGGGCTTTTTGTCATAGCAATTCTAATATATCAATTTCAAGCTATCTTTGATGATGAAACTGCAGTTGAAAGAGTTCAAGGGGTCCACAGTCATCATAAGAATGTACATGCTTTTACATTACTTGCCCAAGTTTGTGGCAAAAGTCATCCAATATTCTGGCTGCTTCCATGTCATAATCCGCCTCGTTATTCTTATAGACGAGATGATCACCTACTTGATCATCAAGTTTGATGCAACGTTTGTTTTGCAAGTATTCTTAAGACAATTAGATAGCTATTTTTGTTTGATTTTTATAAAGAAATAATGCTCCAATAGGATTAATTATTTAATTATTGGTTCTACAGTAATTTTCTTACATAAATACTTTTATAAATTATCATACATTGAAATTTACTGAAAACACAAATATCTTTTAATACAATTTTATAGCCAATTGATAAATGATTTAATTAATTAAAATTTTGCCAAATAAAAAATATAGAAGTGAAAGTATATAAATAATAATATGAACATAGATTCATATAGTATAACATTTTGTATTTATATTACCATTTATTTTTTGATATCTTTGTAAAACTTACACATTACTTTTATTCTACACATGTTTAAAAAAGTAATTTATAAATTAATTTTCTAATTTACCCTTATTTTTGGCTTGATTGAATGAAGCTATTCTATAAAACTATTATTTATTTTTACCAAAGTCTATATACAAAGAAATTATAAAATACATTCTAATTGAAATTTTATAATATGTATTAAATGTATGAGTTAAGTCAATGCTAATGTATTTTTATGTATGTGTTTATGATACAATTTTTTTATGAATTAATTTGTATATAAACTACAAATTATATAAATATATATTTTTCCACACAATTTAGTATAATAGAAGTTCTACATATGCATACAGAAATGATGGATAAACCAAATAACTTGAAAGAAATATATATATATATTTTATCAATGTTAATTTTATTGTAAAGTTTGTTATGTTATAATGATTTGTATAAGTGTATTTGTAAAACACGAAATTTTTCAATAGATTTTCAGTAAAAAAATTGATGTTATTTTCCAATTTAAGGTGATTTGAATGATAACAAATTTATATCAACATCATCAGAATTTATGTATGACACATATGAAATGAAAATAAAAATTTCATTTAAAAATGTTTTTAATTTGTTAAATTACAAACAAGCAGCCATCAATCCAGCGACATTATCAAAATCAATTTTTTCTGTTATGTTCTTAGTCTTAATATTTTCATCTTGGTTTGCAATAAAAATAATGTTACCACTCTCTGCACGTTCCTCCATCCTCCATCCATACTTCTTGATCCATTGACTCAATACATTTTCTGTAAAAAAGGAAGACAAAATGTTATGAAGAATCTTTAAATTTGCATATTTATTTATAAAATCTAACTAACCATTAACTTGATATTTTCCACCTAATAGTTCAACTAAAAGAGACTCGTTGATTGTTTGGAATGTTATACCGACGACGTGGCAGACAAATTTTCTGATAGAATCATTAAATCCCATAATTCTACAGCAAATATTGTTCATTTTGTCTATTTGTTGCCAAGCCAACTGGAACTGGCACCCTTCTAACATATTAGCTAAATATAAAATGTTAGCAATATCTGGATCTTGCATCTGTAATAAATGCATTATAAGGAAATAATAACACTATATAGTATCATTTAGGATTCAGTCAAGAAATAATACTCACAATCCTCTCATTCAATAAACACTTGCAAAGCACAAAGTCAGTATGAGGTAAGTTTGTTAAAGCTTTTAAAAGAATTTGACAAGTAACATCTTTGTCGAATTGTGGAGGGTTTAATTGGTATAACTTTAGAACAGCCAAATTGGCATCAAGATCATAAGCATTCTCATTAACTTGAATTTCTACGTATTTTTGTAATAATGACAAATTTTCTGGATTGTATCTGAAAACATTAATATTGTTAATAAATAATAAATTGCAACACATTGTTATAATGTATATAAACATGTATCAAACAATTGTTGATGATTTTATCACTTTGTTAACTTTTACAAAAACTTTTACCTTTCAATTCCCTTCAGCATTTCTACAAGTTTCTGCTTCATTGCCTCTGCCATGATTACTAAATTTTTGTATTCCTTATTCTTTGTGAAATTATAAATTTATCGCAAGTCGTACGACTTTCGAATAATTTAATGGTTGAGGTTAAGTAAAAAAAGACTCGACTCGTGTTGAGTCTCGGGAGTATATGGACTATATGGAGCAAGCGTGAATGAGACTATACACCATATAATCTTCATTGCTATGAGCAATTAGCATTCTGTCACGGCTCAATGTTAAATAATCAACAACAATAATCATAAAACAAGGCGTTTTAGCAAAATGGCAATTGCTAGCCAAATATGATTAAACAGTGGGAATTATGGGTCCTTTTTGTTCATCAAGAGTCGTATTATCATGCTATTAAAAAACCACAGGGAGTTTATTATTATTAAAACTATCATAAATTTGTTGAAAAAACATGCACTTTTTTTGGAATTTTTTGTTTTCAATAACTTGTTCAAAATTCATATTGTTACATTTGTTTTTGCAATATAATATTAATTGTATTTTTTTACACGTTTCGAAAAAAAAATTTATTGCTACGACCACTTGTAATCGAGATAATTTTTTTATTCAAAAATTAATAATAAATTTATTTAACATTTTATCGAACTTCATTTTGTACTAAATCAACAATAAAAACTTATATTTTGATAAAAAAAATGCCTTAATTGGGTTTTCCGTGGTTTTTTATTTATACGGGTCGTGGGCGCGAAATACGAAGACGAAGATAGTTGCCGAGCCGAGCCGATTGCGGATGTTTTTAGGACGTCAGACGTATTGTGCGGGAACTGGAAAGTGTCATCATTGCCATCTTTTTGAATCACGATGGAGTAATGCCAACAGGCATACTCCGATTTTGATTTTGTTTTATTTTTCTGTTTGGTTTTATTTGATTAGTTTATAATTTCGATTTTCCCTTTTATTTATGGTTTGTTTTTACTTTCGTTTTCTTTTTCCCTTATTTTATAATTCTATTTTCTTTTATGACTGTTATTTCGCTAAATAACCTTCAATAATATAGCGTTATGATACGTTTGTTCCGGGAGTAAGTGTGTTCGTTTGGGGCATGCGAGGAATAGTAGTAACTTTCTGTTGTTAGCACTATCAAAATTTTTAGCGATTTGTACGCGTTTGTACGCGCTCGTACGCGTGCGTATACGCACAGTCTTCATGCTTGTCCTGCTCCTGGTTGTGTTGTGTGTGGTTCTGGTTAACCACAGACATATGGACTAATCTAGATAGTTCTTGAATTTAAAATTGTGGAAGGTGCCGACCTCTATAGTGTATAAACGTACGCTAGAAAAGTGAAAGACCAGTCTTTGCAAGTTTTGTGCTTCGCGAAAGTCGCGAAAAGAGCTTGAGGTCAGACTGTCAGGGCGAACGAAAAAACTTTACTTGACGAATAATATCGCACAGTCCAATTACAATTCGCGAGTGTGTTCCTAATTCCAACAAAATAAAAGTCAATACTAAATATTTTGTAACATAAATCCCATTACTAAGTCTTCTATAATGTAATAATCGTTTGTAGTGAGTAGTGGCATATAGTAAGAGAATATTCGCATCAATAAAGTATAAAAAAATTCAAGTGATTTGTGCAAAAAAACTTTTCTCGAGTCCTCAGTAAAGATGGACTGCACAGGTCGGGCTTGGATTTACGAGTGACAATTTGATTACTTACACTCATAGCGTCTACTGAATGGTTAATTATCACTAATTTCAGCACCTGCAATTCACAAAGGCAAGCATATATATATATATATATATATATATATATATATATACATATACATATATGAGACTTGAAATTGAGAGTTGGAAGAGGTTAATCGTGCTTTTTTTCGTTCTCGAGAATGCGATAATTATAACAATACGTATCAAAATAAAGTGACGTTTTAGAATTTCTTTCGAAGCCGGCTTGACAGCCCTGCTTTATTTTCGCATTTACTAAGTGGAACATTTTTTATTATGAGATAGATTTCGTAGTAGCCGAGTAATATGTAACAGAATATATATGTATGTATGTATGTATATACATATGTATGTATATATATATATATATATATATATATATATATATATATATATATATATATAATTTTTTGACTTTAGAAAGTTGCTATCGTTGGTTTTTACCGTTAGACGAACCTATTGCATTTGACAGTCGTTCATTTAACTCCGCAACTGTTTCATTATCGTAATGTTATGCAGTGCCGTTACTTTTTCCAAACGTTTAATAAATCGATTATTAGAAAATGAATGAATCTTCGACAGTTTTTCATTTTTTTCAAAATATTTTCTAGATGGCTGCCAATGCACTTGAGGAGAAAATAAATAAAATTAAACAACAAAATGAACAGATAAGAAAGAGATATAAAGTAACACTTGTCATAGATATTCTATGAGCTAATATTAGAAAGTTCTTATTTCATCATTATTTTATTATTAGGAAGTTGAAGCTGACAAGAAAAATGCAGCAAAGCTGAATGCATTAGTTCAGCTAGTTCCATCAGATGATTGGCCTGAGAGAAGAGAGCCACCTGAATTTTCAGCTCCACCAAAAACTGTTCAAAAACAAAAGTCAGTAACAAAAGATAGGGAAAATGAAAGGTCTACCCAATACTATACAGGAATTCAAGAAAGGCTTGCCAAAAAGGAGCATAAATTTGCACAGGTAAGAATTAAAATAATAATTTACACTAAAGTACAAATATGAATCAAAACTTTATATAATTTTTTTTAGGGAGAAGGGCCTCCACCAGATCCAAAATATAACTTTTTAGCAGACAGTGAAAGAGAAACACGTACAGTTGAAAACAGGACAGATGAGGACAAAAACAAATCAAGAAATAGGGCTTCTCGAGGAGGAGCTGGTCCTAGAAGAAGAGGTGGCAATAATGCAGTAGGTGGAGGATCAAGAGATGCTTTTTTCAAAGTGAAATATTCAAATTAGATATAACAAGTTAGATGATCAATCCTCAAATTTTATGGATAATATTTATGTGTGTTTGTAGGATAATCAGGGTCTGCAAGCTTTCCATAATAGAGAAGAGTCTCTACCAGAATATAAGGCTTGGAGAGCTGAGCGTAACAGAATTGATGAAGCTCGAATCAATAGGCAAAAGACAGCTGAAGGTAATTGGCGAAGAGAGTGGGATTGTAACAAGGTGATAATTTTTTCTATCAATAATCCAAATTATTTCACCTTTACTTCATGTTACTATTAATTGATTATTATTTCAGGTAAGTCTTGAGAAAGATCAACCAAAAAGAGATTATACTCATAAAGATTTATTTGACAGAAGGAATAATCGTTATGACAGTATGTTTCTAAACTCTTATTGATTTTGAAATTTTTATTAAATTTAATATTTCAATTAATTTTTTGTGGCAGATGATTACTCCACTCGCGGACACGGAGGAAGTAGAACTTATCATCAGTCACAAAAAAATTACAGTCAAGATTATCGTCATCCTTATCATGAGCAGCTTCATGAGTTTAAGAAACAACAGTCAGACTGTAAGACACCACTTTCACCTGTTGACAATAGAACTGTAGCAGCTTTTGACCAAAGCATTAAAGTTACAGTGAACCAAGGAAGCCAAGCAAATAAGTCCACAGTGATGAGCGTTAAAGGTGCGAATAATAGAAGTAGGAATGCTCCACATGGTAAATCTGAAAAACACAAGCCTAAAAGATATTGATTTCAACTTTAGCAATTATTCAACTTTGTTATTGTTAGTTTAACAATGAATGTCACTTGTTGCATTGTTCAAATTATTTATTTAACATGAACAAGCTATCAATTTGAAATTAAACAGAAGTCTTTCAATAATAAATTGCCCTACATATTTTTTGATCAAAATAATTTCAATTTAATTCCACTTGAGATTTCAATAAGTGTAAAATTTTTACAAAAGTAGGCAAAGCATTAATAAAAGTGTGGTAAGTAATGGAACAAACGATCGATAATAGTAGCTGGATGTATCATGATTTTGTCATTTGTTAGATGTTTTCATTTTGATTTTGAACCAATTGCTTTTTCATAGATGCTTGTTTTTCAAATTTATCAGTGTTTATTATAATTTTATTGTTTATTATCAAATCGTCGAATAATTAGTGAAAACTTTATACATAATATTTTTTTTTTGCAGTGAATTCACCAAGCATCGCTGGGACTGGACGAGTTGGTCCACGGCAAAAAAGTCGAATTACCTACAGCAGTCAGTCAGATTCTAATACTATGGCTTCCGAATCAAATTCATTTATGAAGCAAAAATCTTTCGATGAAAAAGCGGCAACTGCGAATTTTAATAACGGACCTAAATTAGCTCCAAAAAGTCCTTTTGCACAGAGGAAAAAAGAAGGTAACCTAAAATCTTCTCATTTTTTTAAAAAGGAATTCAGAAATGACCTATCTCCTCGTCCTAAAAGTCAATCGCAGGCCTTACTTTCTCAAAGAAATGAATCAAGAGATCAACGACAATCTAATAATTTCTTTTCAAAGTCCCAACGAATTCAAAAGCGAAAATTTGAATCTATTAAAACAGGTAATGTTTCTGTTGTCGAAGATTTCATGCCTGTTGAAAATGATATCAATAAACCAATAGATAATCAATTTCATATTCAAAACAACGACATCATAGAGCGTGAAACTAATAATATTGATTTTCTGATAATACAAGATACAACTAATAATACAAGATTTTCTGACCTGTTAAACAATTTCAGTCATTCGGTTGCTGATGATAATGAAATTAAAGTCAGAATTGAAGAAAAAGCTGTTGAAGAAAGTAATAAAAATAATGAAAATGACAATAATATAAAAACTTATCAAAAATCGGAATCAACACAAAAAAGTGAGATCTTTGATGTGTATCTAGTTGATAGAAGTATTGAAAAAATAGTTAATTCTTCTTCTGACTTTGTTAATAGATCTATTGCAGATCACCAAGAAATTGTCACAACTTCTTATGAATCATCTTCAACAGCTGATTCTAAATCAGATATACTAGGTGCAGTTGAAGTAAAATCAAACTTAAATACAACAAAAGAAATTTTGGAAACGACAGTTGATATGAATAATAAAAAAGAAGATATTGATTTGAAACCAGAGGAGGAAAAAAATGTAATGTTAGAGCAAAGTGAAAAGAAAATTACATTTAAACAAAATGAAACAGATGACGCTACAAATGAAGAATCTCAACAATCAAACTCTGCTGAGTTGAAAGTTGATAATTCAAAAGTCGAAGATAATTCAGTAATTGATTTAGTTGAACCAGAAGAAAATGCCCAAATACACGATTCAATTCCTAAAGATAGCGATGATAGTGGTTTCCTTGATAATGCTGAAATCGATTTCTTCAATAAAACAAGTATATCTGAAATAAATGATTCTGCATTACTGAGTGACTGCAATGTTATTGAAGATTTAGATGGTTCGTTTAAAAAATCAGTTGTTGAGACTGAGAAAGACAAAATTTTCCAAGAACCAACAAAATCTGACTTTGTAAGTATAATTAAATGCGATTGTAAAGAAACTGTTGATATTTGTGATAACGTTAGTGTCGCATCAAGTGACATACAAGTAATCGAAAGCAAGGAAAAGTCGAATGAGATTTCAGCGATTTCTATCACAGATAATAACGATAAAGTTATAGAAAATGATCAAGAAAATTTAGAAGCTTCTAGAATGATTAACATGAAAGAAGAAAATATCAATACTATGGAAAAGAAAGCAGAACAATTATCAGAAGAATCTACTGAACTTAAATCTGAAGAATCAAAAAACGTGTAATCGCGATATAAATGCACTAAAAAAAATATTCTTTGAAATGCCGCTTTAATTCAAAAAACTGAAATTTTTAAAGTTGAGTAAGAAGTTGATGGTTCTTATAATTACGAAAAGAAAATCTATTTTTATTGTCTAGGAATAAGGTATTTAAAACTAACATTTTCAAATTTGTGCAGTTACTTAACATAACTTCGATAACAAATTATATTTTTAATCAAATAATACATAATAATAAAAAAATGAGTTAATAATAAAATAGATTTTTCAATAAATTATTAAAGCGAACATATACAAGAAGTTCTGATTTTTCAAAACATCGGATGTGTATAAATGCAATAAAGATATATACTACTTCATGTGAAATTAGTAACCATCTAAAAGTTAAAAGGTTCGTCAGTATTTTCAGATTCTTACGAACTCTTACTCAGATTCTTATAACGCGAAATGAGATAGGCGAATTAGAGCATAAAAATGTTAACTGAATAAGTGTTTACAAAATAGTGATAATCTAGCTAAAGAAATTGTGATAAAATAAAAAAAAAGAAAAATTAGCGCTATATTACTATTAAGAAATCATTATCAAGTAGATTAATAAAATCACTTTTTCTGTTGTAGATTGATTCTGTGAGGCTGGTTTATCTATATTTAGTGTATAAAGCCATAATTCTATTTTCTAATGCTTTATTATTTTACTTACAAGTAAAATTTTTTATATAAATTTTACGCAGCTTTATATGAATAAAATTACTAACAATCGTTTGTCTTTCTAATTTTGTTTTTCTGTTATAACAATTTTATTTTTGACTGACATAATATTATCTATCTATCACTTTTTGTGTGAAATTATTTGTAAGATTATATGTATTCAGCAAATAATGATTTTGTTAGTTAACTGTAAGTTTATCAATGCCTTAAGCACAAAAGGTAGCGTACGCAAAAAGTAATTCGCTCATATATTTAGATTACCTTCCAAGAATTAATACGTAAAATGATTTTTTTACATAGTAATCTGTTGTATTTTTGAATACTTTGTTCAGCCAATTATTTACTTTTTTTTAATGTTCAGAGTTTTATTTCATCGTGGAATTCATTTATTTCAACGAATTTTCTTTGAATTGTACAATTCATATAATTCATGTTTTATGCTTCCGAAATACGAGGTGAAAGGATGTATTCAGGATTATTTAATAAAATAGTCAAAATCGAATAATCTTTAGAATAAGTTGTTTAATTCCTTATTTGTGCTCATATTTAATGTTGTTTAGTCAATACATTGCACATTAATTTTTTATATAAATTGCAAATGAGAATGAATATTAAAATGAAGTGTTATGAGCTTCTGTCATTAGGTTGGATTCACAATGTATAAAGTGGACTATAAAATAGATGTACGCATGATTGTTATTTTTCGTGACGAAAAAATATCGTATATTATTATATTATTGTTTTTGACAACGAAAAATTAATAACCCAATTACCTATCAAGTTTTAAATTAAAGAAGAAAAATTATACATCCATTGTTAATTTAAAAGCTGTTAAAGCAATTTTTTTACACAAGCATCATGTAATTTTTTTTGTATTCATCACACGCGGTCATGATATGTTCATATAATAATATAAGCAGAATATAACAAAATTGATAGGCGCAGATCTTACAATAAACAAAAACAGCTTATTGTGAAAATAGTATACTACTTTATTTAAATCATTATTTACGAAAAATATTTCTAATATCCCAATATTAATTTTCATAACGTATATTTAAAACTAATAACATGTTCCAATTTTGTCAAGAGACTTGAATTATGTGCACGAATAAATTTCAAATGTATAGCAAACACGAATTATACATTTACATAAATATAATATCCGAATTTGTTAGTACAGTGATTGGTGATATGTTGCCCAAAGGACGATCCACAGTTTTCCCAGATTTAACCTCTCTGAAATTGTTAATAAAACTGTCCTGACTATAAATCGAAAGTCTTATTTTTCATCGTACCTCGTCTTCTATTTATCATACGTATCAAATGAAATAACAGAATTTGAATTTCTGTATTCTGGAGATATGGCGATAAGGCGAATATAAGATGTACTTGTGATATTAATGTTATACGTTTTATAAATAATAAGAAAATATTTACCTTCTTTTGCTCAGGCTCGTTGATTTCTGAAAACTTATAATACTAGGTTTGACAAACGAATCAAGAATCACACAGACCAGTCATGCATACTCGCGGTCGTTAAGAGCTTAAGGCATGTAGAAGAAATTTCGGAGTGGAATTAAATAATTAGTATAAGATGATAATAGCGAGCGCGCACAACCTGAGATACTTAGCTTGGTAGAGTTGCGAAAGCAAACGGCGGCTCTCAACCGGGAGTTTCTTCTTCGCTGCCCCCCACTCAGACCGCGGCTATTGAGTCCTAGTTCGATACTGATCATATGAATTGATCCCTTCGTCCTAATATGATAAGTTGACTATGGGTCAGTGAGTGTGTCGAAGGTGATGTCGGACTGATGCACGTGGTTGAGGCTACGGTCGTTGAATCGGTGCAAGGTTTGTAGATAGTGCTGGTAGCCGATGGCCCGCGGAAGTTCAAAGTTTATAAACAAGTTTATAAAATTATCAACCTGCATTTATGTCATTAAGGCTTACATTTATTCTACAATATGAATTCATCACTATCGTAATTCTAATATTGATTTGTGTTTGGAATGCTTCATTAGAAAATTCATTTTGTCTCGCAAAAAGAAAAGTACCCATTACAGTTAACTCTGATATCAGGAACTTTCGATTAAGGACGATCGAAGTCAAAAAATCCGTCAGTTGTTTTTCAATTGCCTTGGAATGTGAATCTTTTCCTCGTTGTAGCCAATAGGAGTACAGGTTGCTTCGGGGCTGGTTCATGTTGGTGTCCTAATATCGCTTACAAAGATCCATCAGCATAGTGTGATGCAAGTAGAAAAAGGTGCTTGATTCGACAATAACCATAATGGTGATTTTCAAATATATTATATCATTGCCTTGCAATAATTATTAAAATAATGAAAATATAAAATTCTTTGTTACAATGAACTTTTTAATATTGAACACTTACGACCTCGAAAATTTGGAAAAGATTATTGACCATATGAACTGCAGCCGAACTGCTTGGCACGTGCCAAGTGAATTGTACTTACTACCTTTCCTAATTTTTACAGAAATGTTTCTTTCATAAAAAAGATTCACGGAAGTACAAGTTGTTTGCTCGTGACAACAATCACGTCAATCTAGACGCATTTCATAATTTGTTCCGCATTGTCTCTATCATTACAGCGCTCTCGTTTGGATCGTTTATGTCAATTTAGTATTGCAAATAAACAACTGAAGGATATAAAGAGGTTATCTAAGAACAATTGGCAGAAACAAAGAATGTTTGCCTATCAACTAATGGCTCACGGTATTGGTACCTAAAATGCCGAGGTTGGTGCGAGTACGTATAGCTTTCTCTGCAATCTAACAGCGAAAATTGACATTGGTCGAAGTTTTACTATAAAATAAAAAAAGTACGGTACAGCTGACGCGCCGTGACTATGGCGCAGAAAGAAATAAGTTTTGCGTCGGGCGATTCGGAATTTACTATTGTAGAAGAAGAAAGAGTTGAAACCGAAATCGAAATATCAATTAGCAGCATTGAGAACATTGTAAATATTAATTTAAGCACATATTGATTTGAAGATGTGACGTTCGATCACGCACGTATGACGTAACATCCAATGGCCATCTCTTATTTTCAACAGGGTAGAGATAGTAGCTTGCGAATAAAATTCAAAATCGAGCATCAAGACGTCGTTTTAGGAGAGAGTCAAATAATAAACATTGACATCAGCAACGAAAGTGAAAGTATAGAGCAAGCCTCTATCATTGATTTTACCGTTGGATTGCCTTACTGTGCACATGATTTGAGTTCTATTCGACCGCTTGTGTCAACGCCTGTTTTAAGTAAGTTAATCGTACACAAGATTCTCTTGCCCCTACTTTTTCCCACTGACCAACGAAATTATTTTTAGTCACAGTGTTTGAGGTTATAGAAAATACTGTTATACCTATAAAGAAGAATACCAGAAGAAAAAGTAAAACTGTGATAGAAGCGAACCCGCAACAATCTCCAAGCAGCGAGCTAAGAATTCTTGGTTTGTGCAACGTCGATCTCGTACCACTTGTTCTAGGTATAACTTAAAATCTTATTTCTCCGACAAATATTTATTGATTATTCGCATATATAGGCGAAATAAGTTTCAAGGAAACATTAGTTCTGGAAACTCCGTTATACTCGTGGGATAACAACGGCGTTGCTTGGGAAAACTTACCACGCATATCGATTGTCACGAGCCAAGACGAGTCTGATATGATGATGAAAGGCGTAGAGTTCAATATTATGAACATCACTGTTGAGAGTATTTATAATTTACCTTCGTGTTTCACCGATTACATGGATTACAAATGTGGCACTGTTGCGTTTTCAAATAAGGTAGCCACTTTTACATTTCAACCATCGAATAAAGTGAACTTGTAATTAGTGTTCGATTGGAGATTCAGGATTCGTGTATCGTATTCGAAGGTGGAAAGTGGACGGATTATCATGACGTGGAAAGAACAAAAACTTGGAAATCTCTATCCAAACTTGACAGTCGCGCGAAGTTTTCTAAATATAAAGTCGATTGCGATTACGATTGCGTGAAAAACGACTTCAAAAAACAATTTAATCTACAAGTAAAATGTTATGGAAATTGGCGACGAATAGTGTGGTTGATTTTATGTGTTTTTTAGGAAGTAGCCAAACGTAATGAACCACGCATCGAATGGAACTGTATAGACAGAGTTTTACTAGAAAAAAATGATGTTCAGAATATCCGAGAGCAATTAATAAAGTAGTTTTAACTTTTTTTCTCAAATTGTTGATTTATAACTGAATACTAAGTCTAACATGTTAATTAAAGATACAAATGCTGGCCATTCGAGATCATGATAACTGAAAAAGGCAGCGATCAGTTGGCAGATGGTATAATTTATCAATTTTACGTTGATGCAAGTCAACTTCTCTTCCCTGGAAGTGAGTGAATCTATCAAAATTCCACTTGCAAATAATTATTTTTGATATTTATCTAACTATAGGAAAAATAACTCGAGTATTGGCTCAGCTTTTCACGCAAAGTTTATTTGATATGGAAGAGAAAACTGGATTGAAAAATGGCATCTTTAATGACGAATTTACAGATGAGTCGAAAAATCGAAGGGACAGTTTTAAGCCGGAAAGTTTATCCTCGGTGCGTTTCTTTTCGAACTCGAGTGATTGGTATTGAAACATGCATAAATTTTTAGATAGAATCAGAGTGCACAAAGAAAGAAGAGTGTATACCACTTTTCACAGACAATGGGGAGCCTGTACTGATTTTGATCGAATTGGAGCTTTTTAATCCACTTTACGCCGCGCGTACTTTAGAAGAATACACTAAAGCGTTCGTATACTCCTCGCACCACACAGATTCGGTCTGTTGGTCACTTGTAAAGTTAAACTAAGTATTTCAGGATTGAAGCTTTGAAAAAAACAATAAGACCGAAAGCTCCGTTTTATTATTATACACCGGACATCGCGCACGATCAGTATATGAATTGTGTTAAGCATTTAGTCGACGTCATCGCTGAAAATTATCGAGTAATAACATCAGAAATTAATATGAGACATGTGTTTTTCGAAATAAATTGTGTTTGCGCAGGATTTTATGGAGCGATGTGAATGCAAAGAGAAAATAGAAGATCAAAGCGATGATCCTTGCAAAATGTTATCAAGTTCTAGATTATCCGACAATGAAGAACTCACCTGTCCATATATTTATATTCCAGTTAGTTTTTACATGTTTCGGTAGGTTTAAAATTAATCTGATTTCTATGTGATGTTTAGGACGAGCTGAGTCACTTTAAACAATTCCTTCACGAAAAGGGGAAATATGTATCGATACGTAGCAGTCTGAAAAATAAAATCGTCAATCTACTCGATCAAAAATTTGCAATTGATTCGCCTGATTGGTATGCCGTAGAAAATCAAGTAATTCTTTTCCGTATATTTTAAACGTTTCGAAATGTGAACAAAAAAGAAATGATCATTTGCAGAATTTAGTTTCATCTTGTTACATATACTTGATAGAACAAATGCACATAGCGTTGAATTCGAAGCTTGACGTGCGTTACGCCGAAGAACTTGAGGAGCGTGAAAATATTAAAGATCTTTGGATTAGAGCCGAAGAGGCTTGTGAATTTGAAGATTACGAGAAAGCCGATAAACTATTCGTTAAGGTATATCATTTGTTTCTACCTAAACTATCGTTAAAAATTATAAAAATTGATATGGTTATGTATATATCAGATTATTTGTGACAATCAGAAGAATCCAGATTCTTGGATTATTTATGCTACTTACCTTATAAGAAGACATAACATTGATGAGGCAATTGAATGTTGCCGAGAGGCTATCAAATTAAATACCCGTCATAAAATCGCGTGAGTTTATGTGAATCGTTCATCCGAGTTTCGACAGTGGAATACCTAAATATACTCATTATTTCTAGATTATTGTTTTACGGAATAATCCTGGCAACGAGAGAGGAATACTATGATGCTGAAATATTTCTAATGGCCGTCACACAACTATATCCACTATTTGCTGAAGGCTGGGCTATTTTGCATCTATTTTACGTAAAAATTCAGTATTATCCAGGTAAAATAGCTTTTATGAATATTTGGCCCTTTCCAAAATATTACAATCAGCTCTGAAGATGTAGATACCCAATTTTTGTGACATTTGGTATGAATTTTGTCTATCTAATACTGAACTTCATTATAAACTTTTCGGTCGACATGATAAGTAGATCAACATTAATAAATATTAATTTTGATAAGCATTTTTTTAATTTATGCCTGTGGAGGTATTAATATATTTTTTACATATCGTAGATTCATGAACAGTCAATGTATTATGTAAAAAATGCTGCCAACTCATTGACAATTAGCTTCCTCGTTAACTAATTCAATTTCTAAATATTGTTTTCATAAATATATTTTTTTCATTCATACAATATTTATGAATTTTATTTTATATAATTTTTTTTATTAATTTATTTCATATAACGTTTTTACGTAGATTTTTATCCGTATTGTTTTTTATTATTTCCCAATCTTATTCATTCCATTCCATCTATAATATTCTAATTTTATGTCGTATCATTTTATTTTATCGATATATATATAACCAAGATATGTCGTTTATTTAATCAATATTTTTCATAACATATTGTTTTATTTGTATGTTCATCATGAACTGTGCTAATTTATCACTAAATCATGCGTAAAAAAAATATATAAAATAAGAAAAAACAAGGACACCGATATTTTTTTTATATTTTAAATTGCGATAACTTAGACTACATATCATAAAATTATTCGTGTGATGTTTCGTTTTAAATCTATTATCGTCAACTTTAAATAGAATTTTTTAACATAAAAAATTCGGTATTAGTCAAAAAAGATGGTTATTTTCGTTGAAGAATTCTATATTATACTACAAGCAAAAGAAATCATTTCTTTAATTTACGATAGCTCAGGCTAAATATAATCGAATTGCTTATCCAAAGTCTCATTATTAAGCTAGAATCTTTAAAATGAAACTTTAAATTTTAGAATGAAATGATTGTATTATGAAGAAATTGATTTCAATCAAAAGTTATGGCTGTTTATTTAAAAGATCCTAAATTAAGTATATATTATCTTAATCTAAAATAATCTAAAATACTCTAAAATCTTAATCTAAAGTAATATTACCTTAATCTAAAATATTTCGAGATTTCGTGGCCCGAATGATCCGCACAAAGAATTCGGTTCATTGTTTATAATAATTAATATTTGTACCAAATTTCAAGTTGATTAGATTTAATTTATTCCTGTTATTATAAAAACAAAAAAAGTTTACTTATAGACAAAAAACATTTTTTTGCAGAAACAAATCTATACTTAAGATTTGTAGGATATTTTACTAATAATATGAGACACCTTCAGCAAAACTTTCAAAAAGTTTCATGCATTATTTCTTAAAATATTTCTTATTTGTTAACGTTTTGCAACATAACTTTAAAATGAAAGTAGCTAGAGATGCGATTTTTTTTGCAAATCAAAAGAAAATAAAATTACTACAAAACTCTAACATAAGATTCAACAAATCTCATGTATAAGTCTAAAAATAATTAAAAAATCAAATTTTCATAATTTTTCACGTTCACAAAATTTTTATCTTTGACAAAACTACTCGATAGAGTTAAATAAATCTTTTTTACATTCTTTACGTATGAAAAAATCGTCCAAAAAGTCTTTATACAACAAATGACACACGCGCACGCACGCACACACATAATTTTCTTAAAAATTACATTTTTAGACCTCTGATAACCTAAAACAAACTTCTAAAGTGATTAAATCAACAGAAAAAACTTTAATAATATTAAAAAATTTATTAACTTTTCCTAGGAACAAGAAGTTATGCTCAACAATTGTATTTTCATTTTTTTTTATTCTTTTTTCGTTGGATTTCTTGCACTTTTTCCTATTAAAAGCAAGATTAAAATTAGTAAAGCGAGCTTTATATAAGAAGTAGAAAGAGATGATGGTGAATGCTATAGTTTTCACAATATAGTCATGTAATTTGAAATCGTGCATAAACTTTTTCTTAGTTATTTAACGTAATCTTCTACTATTGGGGTTATACTACTTAATTGATACATTTTTTATAAATGATAATCTACTACTTATACTTAATGTTTGAAATAGAATTATCCTAAAAAAATAGTAAAAATAGATTGGTCACTCTATTAAAGCCGAAGTAATCAAAACACTCATTGTAACGATACTCTTCGGTGGAATTTTGATATTTAATTATACTAAAAATCTCTTTATAAGTAGTTGACATCTTTTCTGTTAGCTTCTTTGAGATAATCAAGGAGCATAAGCCATCTAGTAATAATTCAATGTTTTGGCGGTATATGTACACAAACGTTGAATGCCATTCAAATTGTGACTTCTCATCACGCAAGAATTAGTCATAGTTGGTTGATAGAGGGTGACCACAACGCGCCAGTGGAATAAGCATTTATTATAGGTTTAAGATCAATGTAATAAAATAAAGCATTTCTATATCAGCATCCCATTTTAAGTTTTCACCGACGGATGCAAGCCTTACCTTGGTAACCAGTGACGATGACCGTTGTAGTGTGAACTACTCCCATCCTTCCTTAAATCTCTGCAATATTCGATGTATAATTCGGTTTTCCAACATGTCGCCTATTAATGGGTGTCGCGAACGGGAAAAACATCTCATAACACATAACTAATTCTTCAATTTCCACTAATTCCACACAATAAAGCGAAGTTTGACAATACGGCAAGGAGTCCGAGTTATGAACAACGAACTCTAGTTGGATCTTCTAAATCATCTCATTTAGAACATTACTTTCACTCAACACATATTTCGTGTCCAAATTCTTTACTTCATTCTCCTCATAAATGACAATGTTATCATTCGGTAGAATATAACTCAATTCTTGATACTCATTGTAGATCTAATTTTATGAATAATAATAACCCGCAATAATAATGTGAATTAATTTAATATGAATTTAATGAATAAAAATCTCTCGTTGTTAATATATTAAAATGCTTCAATGGAAAAAATAAATCCGAATTAGAAGATTCTCAATCAACTAACAGATTTGCGAATAGTGTAATTTTGGTGAAAAACAATAAAAACTAATCTGCTGCACATTTTTTTGACGAATTGGGAAGGAATTTGCTACTTTCGCTACAAATAATATATTAAAGTAATAAATTCAAATTGTTCTTGATGCTATGTGCATATTCCACACTGCCTTTCGTATCAGGCAGATAGTAAAGGTCTGCTAGTACCGGATAATCACCTTAGGCGCGTGGCGTTGATTCTTATAGAAAACGAGTCTACGATATCTAAACGAAAAATAATTTTTAAAGTAAAAAATATATTTTTTCAGATATAACCTTTCGTTCATAACAAAATTTAGTAAATTTTATAATGTTGTTAATAGTTTTTTTCATGATACACTTATAACTCATTATTCTATGTCTATTTTTAAAAATTGATGTTAATAGTTTCAATGATTACGACGACGTAGATTTTCGACAAATTGTGGTCAAAATTATTTAATTGTTTATAACTATTGACCTACCCATTAGGTTGACCTAAAAGTTTATAATGAAGTACAGTATTACGTAGATAACATTTATAACAAATTTCAAGAAAATCGGTCATCTACAGTCCTAGAGTTGATTATAATAACCTGGAATGAGTTATTTTTTGAACAATTATTCATGCAAATAATTTGAATATTGAAGGTATTGATGTAACACTCTGCATTACCGAAGAGTGTATGAGGGATCGAAATCGTGATGGTGAAACAATGAAAATCCTGAATGAAGAACCCATGGTCTGGACGACAGCTCTTTGCAAAAGTGATCGTGTTTTTCTCTTAACTACTTGCCTACTTCTCAAACTCAGTCTCTACAATGTAATTTGTTACTTTTTCAAAAGTCATTTACCGTTGATTACCAAGCTTAATGTTGCTATGAAAATAGTTTGCAGAGCTATCCTTGACTCAAGACATTTGTCGTAATGATAAATCGATAGCATTCCTATATTTCTCCAGCGCGAATCGATATCTACAACAATCATACAGCTCAGTAATCGAGTGCTTAGAGGAAGCCGAATCAGTAATTGGATTGGTAATCACGCTATAAATGTAAACTTCAATGGTAAAAACAAGAAATTGTTAAAAACAGCTGAAAATCACATTTCAGGAGTTCAGCGTCGCAGCTCTATTAGGCCACGCACACTATAAAATCGGCAACATCGACCAAGCGACGTCTCACTACAAATCGATCGACATGATGTACGAGAGGCCAGAAAATATTCACTTAGTACACCTTAGATTGGGTTATCGTATGATCGAGTTGGAAGAATACGAGCACGCGAGAAATGTCTTTTTGCGAGCTTGCAAGCACGAGCGTACTTGTAAAACTTGGCTGGGTGTCGGCATCTGCTATTATTTTGTAAGATATAAGTAATATTGACTCGTTGGCCAAATGGAGTACGAGCTGTTTTCATTTTCGGTGAACAGCTGGAAAAATTCGATGAATGCGAACTTTCACTAATGGAAGCCAACCGAATTGATTGTGAGGATGCCGAAGTTTGGGGATATCTTTGCCTGTTGAGTATAGCTTTGCAAAGGCACGAGGAGTTTACTCAGTGCTATAGACAAATGCTTAAGGTGAGCATACGCTATTATTTTTTTCTTTTTTTTCGAAAAGAATGGGAACGAGACCGTCACGTACATCACGGTAATATTAATGATTCACTATGTCGCAATAGAACGGCCTCAGAAATGACAAACTGTGGCAGCTTATAAGGCAATCTATGGACATATTTGGATATGCATCTCCAGTCAGTGTAATAGAAGATACAATTGACAAATGCATTTGTTGAATCTAAGAGCTACACCATAATTCAACAAAATTGTTTTTAAGAAAATCAGTGAAAATAAAGAATCAATTGATACTCAATACTGCACTTATCTGTTGTTCTCTGATCGTACGATACAATTTATTGTCTAACATCGGTTCGCATAAAATGTTCGTTCCAAGATTTCTTCCTGACTCTGTGAGGATGAGTATCGAACAATAAAGATTTTATCAATATAACCAGACATTAACATCACTTCTTTTACTACTTTAATTCATAATAATTCATCATAATGAGGTCTTATTCAGCTATATTCGTTGGTAAGATTTTTATACATTTGTTTGGAAAAGGTTTAGGTTATAAAAAGTTATTTAGTGAAATATGAAAAAATATTCAATTAATACTAAGAAATAAAATATAGGTAATTAATCTGGGCTTTGATTCAATATTCCTCTTAAATTACTGGTAAACATCGACTGATTATCATTATATAGAAAATTATCATCGATAAATCTTCATTTTGCGATTAATCAGTGTTACAGTGTCCTTTGTCTTAAAAAAAATTTCCTTTTAACCGAGTCCACGTACTGAACGTAAATTTTGATTAAAACACGTTAACTTTTTTAAATTTTACTTCTTTGTGAACTTTAATAAAATCTAATTTATATGGTAATGAACAAAATTACGTAAAATTTGATTTATAAGCGATTGACATGTACATTTTGTCGAATCCTTAATAATTGAATTTTCATTGACAAGTCATGTATAATGCGAACAGCGTAGCGCCTACTTCTAAATCAAAATTGATATCACAATCCCAGTACGAGTACCATACCGTACACCAAAATATTATGTGTGTGTGTGAATGCACCGTTATACTTGTATTACACTAAAATATTATATATAGGTTATAAAAATCAACAGTAGGTGACATATCCACAGAAAACTTTAATTCACTTTTGATAATGCCATTATGTTAATAAGTTTCAAAGTTTGAGTTAATCAAGTAATCGATGTTTACCATTGTCTTTTGATTTTTAATAATAAATAAAATATACAATACAATTTTTTTATCTTCTTTTTATTCAATAAAGAATTTCAATCTCGTTAATGACTGTGTTCCTTTTAACAAAATGATTATCAATCAATTACTGCTATCGTAATGTCGCAATATGCGTTATGACAAGGGACTCGATAATACGTGTTTATGTACAAGTGCAAAGATGGATGAAATCTGCTAATAACGTATTTCTTTTCTTTCAACTCGACGAAATTTCGAAGCCAACGAAAAAAACAATATACATACTAATCTAATTCGTCTACCGTTGCACTTTTGAAACTCAGCTCAAAATATAATAGCATTGCATGAAGCAATGTTATACTTTTTCCAAACGTTATATAGATATTGGCGAGTTTCACGTGGCTCAACCAAATGAGTCGATGAACTCATCCAAGTCCAGGCGTATAGAGCACTCTACTCTACGTTACCGAAGATAATCAAACGATATCTCGCAATTTAAATTTTAAACAGCGAATCGACGCGATTGAAATGATATCCCACTCTTCAAAATAAACCAAAATCAACTAAATTCGTCCAATCTTCCCTCCATGTTGCGAGATGCATATGTGCGTTTGGTATACAAATGGGCGTTAGATAAGGTACTAAAAATACGATTCGATATCTTGTGTCATGTAAAAAAAACAATTCACCCCTTTACACCATACAATAAAACTTTCTCGATTCATCGTTTATTGCACACACACACACACACACACACACACACACACACACACACACACACACAGAGCGTTATATACCGTCCGAAAGATAATTTATTTTAAATAGCTTTCAGATCTCTCCCTCACTACGTGGTCAGAAAATGAATATATTATTTACAATAGAGAAAAAATATCAACGTTATAGCGAGCGCAGTGTCTTATCGATCAGCCGTAACGTCGTCTCGGGTACGGCATCCGTTAAAGCTTTACGAAAGCCATCGTAAGGAGCTAGTAGTCGGAACGTTTCTTTCGCGTGTTTCCTGCAATAAAAAAACGATGTTTCTTTTCTTTGTTTTTTGACGGGAGAGGAAGGAATGCGGAGTGCGCGGACGCGCGCGATCATCGTTACATATTTACCTCGCTTGCAAATTGCCATCGGTGAGAAGTTTAGCGACAGTCGAAAGTAGCTTATCCCTGACGTCCCGCGGCAGGATCATCACGTGTTCCGGACCAATGTCGCTGACGATTATGAACAAGAGTCGGGCCGTCGTCGCGTGCACTATCGTGTTCTGATGGCTGTAACGCATATCGTCGCAATCGCAATCGAGCACGTGATTTCGGCATAGGGGCGAGTCGCGCTTACCAAGCTCCGCGATTGGCGATCGTCAAGATCGTGCGCTGCGGCGGCAGATGCTCGATCATCGCGTCGAGCGCGCGATTGCAGTCCTCGCGTAAAAATCTGTTCGTGTCCGCGGTCCGATGCAGCAGTGGACCCGCTATTTCGTCGAGATCCTGCAATCGAGAACACGAGGCGCTCGTAACGAGGATGTTCGTAACGAGAAGTGATCGATCGCGGGCAATTCACCTGATGATCGATTCCTCGTATGTGCGAGCTGAATACGTCGCCGGCTGCCGAACACGCAACTCTGGCAACCTGGGAGCGCAGATTTTTCACGTGCTTGCCGAGGAGCCTCGCAACTAGACCAGGCGCACAGGCGTCTAATAGTTCCGGCTCCTCGCGTGCCATCTGCGACAGACTCCTCAGTCCCTTTAACGTCACTTCCCTGAAACGTTAAAGTGACCAGTGCAAACGCAGACAGCGACGCGACAAAGATAGCTCGCTTACCAGTCTTTACTTTCCAGCTGTGCAAAGCACTGTTGAACCACCTTTGACGACTTCTCTACGTGACGACTCGTCGGCACTGACACTGCTCGATGACAATTCGACCGCGGTCTCATTTTGCAAGGTGAGACCTTTAGTAACCTCTTTGGCAGATCGATTGGCGTTGCCAAACGAGACGGCTGTAAACATAGCGCGTTAGGTGATTAAAATCGAGTACCGTTACTCTGAAAAGACCTACAGCACGTCTAGCTTAATATAAATTGAGAAGAAGCTTCTGGCAGCGATCGGACAGCAAAATGTCTTTGCGAAAAGAGCACTCGGCAAGCCATGCGAACACAGTTACCGTCGAGTTGAATAATAAACGAAAGCAATAAATTAATCAAGTAACCTGTGGTTTGACGCCAACGTTATCGATACTATCAGAGCTGCTTTCGCGGTCAGAGCCGTCAAAGCCAATCGGTAACGGTGGAGTCTCCGATTCACCTGATATGTCCGATCCTTTTGACACGCTATACGCGCTGATAAACCTCTTTGGACTCCTACTTCCAGAATTGGGCGACTAAAAGTATAAATATCATAAATGATGAAATGTCGTCGTACATTTATCGTCGTGTAAAAACACTGCGTCTCACCATATTTCTACTATTGCAGCTGTAAACCGAAGCTTTAGACTCGATATTACGCAGCTCGTTCTCGTCGTCGAACGGCGTTTTCGATCTAACTGACGAAGAAGCAACAACGATCGACGTAATGCTTACCGCCTCGCCTGTCCTCCCATTTCCAAAGTCTAATGTCTCGAAAGCCACTTCAACGTCCTCCTCCTCCTCCTCCTCCTCCTCCTCGTCCTCTTCCTCCTCCTCCTCCGCCACCACCACCTCCTCCTCTTCCTCTTCTTCGCCCGAAGGTTCTCTACTGTCATTAGCTCCGCTCACCTCTTCGACCTTTGTAAATGTTTAATCAAATGTATTTTCGTCAACGAGTCCGACTTCCGTATTGATTCTATAATACTACTACGTTCACACGTTGTAATCGCTGCCAAAACTACAATATTCACACGGACAAATCACGTACACACGCACACGTGTAGAAAAAAACATACGCGAGTGATGATATTTTACCGTAGAACTTGCTGGGCTGACGGGTCTAGTTGCTGAAACTGGTCGAGACTTGGCGCGATCGTAACCATTGCACAAGGGTTTGGATGCCAATAGAGATTCGAGGGAGAATTGACGAGAACTGCTTTTGACGGACTTGCTCGGCGATTGAATTGTTTTCGATCGGTCGAGATTTGTCGCGTTCACCAAGTCGACGCTAAGCCGATCGGATGACGAGTCCGTTGATGGTGATTTCGGTATGGGATGATCGGTGGCTCCGCGTTCGTCGCCATTCGACGTCGGACAATCGGATGCTTGCTTGACGCTCGTTTTGGTGGACAGCTGCGGAATTAATTGGTGCCTCGACTTTACCGTTGGAATTTCACAGCGAATTTCAAGCGCTTCGTTTTACCTCTCGTCAGGCTAACCGAATTTGCTATGTCAAAGGGCGCAAAAAGAGTACTTACGTCGTGCACGAGACGACTAGAACGGCTCTTGAGAGAGATAATATCGAAAGCCTTGTCAGACTCATCGCTTTCGGTGCGAGCCGGTGACACGACGATCGGTTGTCTGTTACTGCTGCTGCCGGTACTCCGAAGAAGACGAACACTCGTGGACGATCGATTCGACGACAAACTACTTCCGCTACTGCTGCCGCTCCTCGCTTCGTTCACACCTGTACATGTATGGTTTACCGATGTTTTGTTATCCGGAGATTGCGTAAGTGCAATCATTGGATGTTGATAAATTGGCTAACATTGATAATCGATTATTCTATCATTTTTTATATCAAGCAATTTCAGACAACAGCTATCATTTTCGAAGAGCCTTCATCAAATTGCGTAAGAGTGTCCGCTTTTAATTTGTTCTATGCTCGCATAGTTCTGGCAAATACGGTTTTATTTAATCGTCGCGAATTTCAAAATTAATTTTTAGTTTTTATTACGCATTATAAAAATCGTAGCTCCAAAATATACGAACCAAAATATTTATTTGATTCAATGGAAATAAATTTCAACATTGCACATTCAATCATCAGCATCATATAATTCAAAAGATTAAGCGACTCATTGCAGCTTTAAAAATTTATTTATTTCTCAAGTGCAAAAATCATCTATTATTTTATTAAAATTGACCAAATGGCACTTATTCATGATCGCGCGCGCACACATACCATTACCTCCGCTGGTCAACCTGCAATCGATCATTAGCGCTCGTGCGCGCCTTAAGGCCGCAGCTCTCGCGCATCAAGTATTAATGGCAATTGTAATCAACGAATAAACCTGAGCATTGTCGCGTCTCTGTATTTGTTTTTCGCGCGTCTATAAGACAGAATATCGATTTGACATCACTCGCTCAAAAGAGGAAGAAAACACGACGCTAAATATCGATTATCGCGTTCAACTGCCGCTATACCTGCATAATGCACCGACACGCCAAGCAACGACGGTGCGCCCGGGGTTCAAGAACCTCCCGTTCCAGTTCAAACGTTTTCGATCGCTTGGTATACGCCGGTGCCTATATATACTTATTCTAGTATCTATATGTATGCGCGTGAGACGAGAGAGGGAGAGAGAGTCTGCGCTAGGTACATATATATATATAGTGTATGCATCTTGCCGGTGAAACACCACACGTGTGTGCTTTTTTTCCGGCTTGTATTTCGTCTGCGATGATTGAAATTGAGGATGGATTGTTGAGGGGCTCTGTGCATTTCATTTTAGAGCTGGTGATGAATTGGTTGTTGTTATCAAAATTGAAAAAAAAGCGCTGGTTCGTAATTTAATATTACTCTAATAATTTCAACAAACATATTGGATTGATAGATATTAGTTTCTCAAGGTATTTTTTTAAAATAAAATATGCGAATTGATAATATGAATTTAACTGATTAGGCTCTTTCTAGCAAACGTAGAACTACATCAATGATATAATACACGTTCTAAGTTAGTTTTTATTGTACCGATCTAATGAAGAATTATTCCATCTAACGGTATATTGTAAAATATGACATCAATATATTTATTTTAATAACACTCGAGTTTGAATGTCGATGAACATTCTGTTATCGTCTCAATCCACAGCAGTATTTTTAATTTTGAACGGTGTTTCATCAATCAGGGATTCTCGCGCGTAATTAATGTCAATATTATATGAATTTTATTCGAAATTAAAAAAATATTAGAAAACGTTGAGCTTCCATCAAGCTTTCCAAGTTAATTAAAAGTTGACGGTGAACTTCCTGAAAACAAGCGCCAATTAAATCGTATAGCTCGTTAAATAAAAAAAAGAGCCACTAGCTAGAATCGCAATCAGCTAGGCAGCTAGTCACGCCACAAATCGATTAAAAGAAAGACCAGAATGTTTCCCAGAAAAAGATAATAAAAGCGAGCATTTTTGTAAAAGCCATGAAATGTATGTTTCGCGCCGAGCACACGACCTATCTCAACTTGGAATCGCGCAACAAGGCTCTTGCTCTCCCCCTCGTCGCGAGCAATCTGCTAAAAAGCATTTGGGGTAGGTCGATTCGCTATCGTCGTGCAATCGCTTGTGCGAATAATGCCAAATGGAAAAAAAATGGCGAATGTATCGCGTTTGCGATTACTCACCGTGATTTCGTGGCGGCGAGGCTTCGCGTTCGACGTTGAGATTCGACGACCTGCTGCCTGTCAGCGGGTCTGTTGTCGAATTTAACTGCTGACGATGATCGTCGACGTTTGTTTCTTGGATCGCCGGATCTTTGTCGCTGCAAACGATTGTTTCGTTACGTTGCTTGTTTTTTTTTTCTCGCTCGACGTTAAAAAAATGAAGAACGTTTCGAGATATGCAAAGTTATGTCAGACTTATCGTACTCGTGTGATAACCGATGTCTGAATGAACCTATCGTGTTCGATATAAGAAAACATACCTTCCAAAAGTACGCGACGTCAGCTAAAAAAATTAAAAATTCAAATCGGAACCGTTATAAATATTCATAGTCATCCTACACAGTGTCAGTACTCCCGTTGAGCGTGAGGGCGAAAGCAGGTGTAGTCAGGTGAGTGGCGGCAGCAGCGTTGCCGTTCTCCAATACCACGGAATCCACGCCGATAGGTCGTCGACATCTGAACGCACACGGACAGCAACCCAAAAGACTTTCCGTGAACTTTCGTCCACTCGCCGGTTTGATGATTACCGGACTGACGTTCAGTACTTTGCCGTCGTCCTTGGCCGCATCCGGCCAGACGCAGTATTTGAAGATCATGTTCGTCAGGCTTGTGGTATTAATGAGTGGCGAGACGAGTTGGGTTTTGTGGTGATGATTAAATGACCCATGGTGATCGCTTGAATAGTCACATGTTCATATTGATTCTTGCAATCGAGTCTCTGGTTTCGAATAAACTAAGTGTTTGCGTGAAATCTGGTTAAATATACGGAATTTAACGGTAACACGACAACATCGTGATTATCCGATGGTTTTTGAGGTCGTGATGGTTAGATAACAAAAAGCTCTTCTTTGGAAACAAAATGTTTATGTTCTGTAAACAATATAACTACCGGCTATACTGAAAAAGTTTAGTTTCAAAACAAGCAGCTTCAATTACTTGTACTACAATCCACGCGGTACTTCAAAGGAAACGCGGCTTAACAAAGTAAAAACAACGTACGTAATCAAGTTGTAATTTAGGAAAAGAAGCATCACTCACGACGAAATGGCAAATTAAATTAAATCTACTTGTGTAATTACACATACAAAAAGCAACACAAACCAGACATTCATATATTCATGCCTAACTAAACGCCCCCAACGTGTGTTTACAGCCAAGCTCGAAATGACGTTGCCAAGTACTATAATAGATGTTTGAATAATTGACACCACGAGTTTTTTTACTCCCTGAACTTTGACGTAGAGACCTTCGTTGCCACTCAAATAAATATCGGTTAATGGGCTACGTTGGGTTTATCGTGATTGCTCCTATGTAATGTGTGGCAAGCTTTTTTCGATTGAGTCATTAGAGTGTGTAAAGGTTCGCGCGAGCTCATGTAATATGAAATAAATTTTCGCGATATTTCCGTAGGAATTTCAATTTGTCTCAAAGCGTTTAGGCAAATCATGGAATTTAGCACTGAGATTTGTTCATCGGGCTATTTCTTGTTTTCACTCATTTATTCACTTGGCTGCTTGACAATTACGTCAACTTTTCGATCTGGATTTGCTAATCATACAGCAATCCATACGTGCACTGACTTTGCGAATCAAAAACGCGGATTCCTTGAATTTATCAACGAGCCAGCGCGTTCGCGAAAGACAAGCGATTCCGCTCGTCGCAATTGGACAGTTCGCCAGGAAAAAAAGGAAAAAAAGGAAAAAAAGAAAACGTCTTGGCAATCGCGATCGGAACACACTTGCTCGGTGCGGACACAAGCGAGCGAATAAAGAGTCACTCCCGAAAACGGACGAAGCCGCGTGGAACAAAGTGAAACGAGCGGGCTTGGTCGCGGCGCTCGCGACACGCACGACTACTGGCACGCCGGCTGGCGAAGCAAAGCTAGAAACGCCGTCCGCGGGCGCTGCTGACCGTTTACAAGCTCGAAACCCTGCGCGCAACCGCCACCACCCGCACACCGCCTTCCCTCCTCCTGCCTCGCTGCGCCTTTGTTTCACATCGCGATAACGCGCTTAATGTGCGGACTGCCCGCGCGCGGGATTGTTAGCTTCGTGTGTCTTCTCGCGCTTTCGACTTTTCTTCTTCTTTCTTTTCTCTCTCCCTCGAGGGTTCTTATTTTTTTACATCGCTCGGCCGGTCGATGATATCAAACGCGACAATAAAGATTGCTTTTGGCTAAGAAGTTTGAAAAGCTTGGGAACGAAAGAGTAAGTATAAATACGGTATTCGAATGACGTTTGTCCATCGCACCAAGTTCTGATTAATGAAGGTTCATTCTGCTGGCAGAATACGAGTATATTTTTCATTCGATACTGCGAGTGCGCGCACGTAATTTCGCTTGATGACAAAATCACCCTTTTCGCGATGTATATCCATCGAGCATACATACGCTCACCGTATTTGTGCATAAATTATTCACCATTCGCTTTTTACCTTATCAGTCTGAAACACATTGCTCCTCGCCTTGATGTCTTGTGGGATAATATTTTAGTCGCCACACACTGACGGTACGTATACGGGTAGTCCACTGCACTTTTACAGGTATAGTGTGTACTTTGCATGCGTCAACGGAAATGATATGAGGTAACGACGCGAAAAATGTACGTGCGTATACCTGCACTTCACGACGAAAATTACGAGACGGTTATATCCAAATATATCTTAGGATGAGCAAATGTTTTCTTTTTATTGCGCGCAATCGGCATACGAAACAATAAAGAGACGTTATTGTTCAGCGATTCTTTTTGACATTGAGTGCTTTACATTTAATTTCAGCCTCGATTGAATAAAACTCAGTGACTGAATTAAAACTCATTTGATCACGAAAGTGTATAGATATAATCGATTACCACTTAGATCAGGTAAGCGTGTGGATCTCTGGCGAAAGTTTCCAACAATCGCGCGAAGGAGAAAAGCTGTCACGGCCACAAAAGTGTAAAAAGAGGGCGAAGAACATAAGGATAGGCCGGATGTGAGAAATTTCCCAAGGGGAAAATTTTACACTCGTGCTCGTCAAGAACATTCAGTATTTTCCTTTTTCGTCATTGCGCGTATACACCGCGCGCTTGCCGATTCTTCTCGCGAGCTAGTTACATTTATCTTTGCGTGAATTCTTTAGTTTTAGATTCGATTAAAACGAGATTGACAAAATGTAGAATGGCCAAAGGGACGTCGTACGCGCCGGCGAAGCGAATCGTTGTGCTTATCGCAACGTTATTTCTCAATGAATGTTTGCCTGCATACGTACCGATTATCATCTGTAATTGCGGTCGACAATGTTTTCTTGAACGCGCGAGTGCGCATATTGACTTGACGGCATTACGGGTCGAATTCGAAAGTGCCCGCTCAACTCGACGCTATACATTTCGCTTCCACGCCCTTCGTATTATAAATCAATCATCCGGTTATCGCAAGCCCAACGAAACAAAATTCAGGTGATCGCCGGATCGACGGAAAGAACGCGACAATGCCCGTTGACGCGACGAAGGTCGAGCGTCCGATAAGCGTCCAAATCTAAATTTAGAGGCACGCCAGCATAGTAAAAATAGTACATATCCGTATTTTGGATTCGCTTCCCCCATCGAATTCCATCGCGTACACGCGTAAATGCGTACGCGCCGAGCAATCGATACAAACGACCCACCTGCCCCACGCGACCGACCTCGAGATACGTATGTATTCGTAACGTGTGCCAGGAATTAGGCCAGACGAACACGCACCAAATTCTCATTTGCTAGAAGGAGAAGGCGAGAGCTTCCCGGCTGACGTGTAGGTTTTTTTCCCTCTATTCCGCGACAATATTTCCGAGCTAGTCATGATTTTAATTCGTGGGGAAAGCTTACTATCTCATTTTATACACTCGTTCGCTTCTTATTGCGGTGCGATTTGCGATCGATTTTTCGAACTGGGCCACATCGGTCTAATATGCGATTACTGCCATTATGCTTGATGTTTTCATTGACATACCGTAAAAGGATATGAAAAATTTTAGGCTGATGAGCGATACCCCTCGTCCCCTCTTCCTTATATGTAGGCATTTATTTCATAATCTTCCAGTCTTTTCCCCTCTTCATTGAATATAGAGCTGCATTAAAATGATAAGATATACCATAGACTTTTAAAAGAAAGAGTTTTTCAATTAACATGTAAATAACTTGTAAGATCGTTTAATAAGTTTGCGCAATTATCGAAGAGTGTAAAAAGGGCTTTTGAGTGTAAATTCGCCTGTAAAATTTATATAAATACGCCGCGCCAACTGCAGAGAGCTACCTTTTCTCCAGCCTCTCTGTAGTGCGGCTAGGCACCAATATAAGAGAATAAACTCAGCTTAATTCCAAAGAAATTTCTATATAACGATCTATATTATGTATATACGGTCTATAGTATGAAATATTCAACTAAAACTTTGGGGAAAAATGTATCGTTTTTGTTTTTTTGTTGTTTTTGTTCTTGATACTAACGCTTAACCAGTCTGATGATTATCAATTTTTCGAAAATGCCAGATAATGTCAAACTATCAATAGAATTTTTTTAATTTTACTTTATGTATCTTGGATATTCAGTGTATAGTGTGATATTGAAAAATTACTGATCATTAAAACTTGTATACAATATTTAAAAATAGTTGATCACTTTATTTTTTGAAAATTCTCAAATCTTTTTATCGTTGATAAAAATATTTAATATGAGTTACATCATCGATTTCCTTGTTTATGTTTATTTTATAATACTACAATGAATTTATAAATTGAAATTGTATTCCATTTTCTATATAGATTAATCGTTTCAAATTAAACTTTGGATTTTATTTATTATTTTCTTAATTTTAATGAATAAGAAAAATTGAATAATAAAAAGATATATTTAGACCTGCCTCTTACTTAATAGTTAATTAACATTCCATCTGATATTTCGAGATGTCACGTGATTTAAGAATTCATAATACAAAACAACATTAAAATGGCTACTATAGTTGCATGAAATCATATACTCAGAGTATGTACAATAAAAAGCTGCATGTGTAAATGGCTTTATCGAATACTTACACTACTGATTAATCACTTACATCTATAAACTATAAGTATTTTTGTAATCTTTAACATAAGAAACTGGTAAAGTTTAAAGAAGAGAGTTTTAAATTTAAGAATTTCGAACGAAACAATAACACGTAATAACAGAGTCAACTATATTCTATAAAACACCCTCAAAATAAAAGAAAATTTAAAACAATACGTAACAATTTTTATCTGATAAGATTATTTCCGAAGAACTAAAATTCACAGAAATTCTACTTTTGGTGGTACATGCACATCTTTTCAATTGACAACTTACAACTGCAAACAAAAGTATCTACATTGCAACAAGTTGAACTTGAGGGAGTAATGCCCGATAATAGAAATCACTCAGCGCGCGCTTACACACGTGACTACTGTGTCTACCCCGCATCTAAGCGAATATAAGTGTCCGGTATAACTGCTGCAGGATGCTAGAAAATTTATAGCCGTCAACGAACGACTGACGCCAGGTAAAAAAATCGATATACTCCCTCTTTTTTTTTTGTCACCTGCGCGAACTCTTTCGTGTCGCATTCCGAACGACGGCATTTGTTTTTCGATCGTTAATAGATTTCTTTGCTGATGCTGAAAACACTTTGAAACGTATTCAGATGGGCAAGAACAGTTTTCACCAGTTTGCTCCATAATAACTAAGCAAGCATTTTCATCGTAAAATAATCATTTCGATTAACGGAAAGCGTGCGTGTTCGCCAGCGTGAGTATACGCGATGAATAAACGATGATACAATTGCAGAGTAAAATGCGACCTAAAAAAATGCTATTAACCCTTTGCTTTTATGAAGAGTCAACAAACTGCAATTTTTTTTTTCAATTGCAGCGTGGAAGCAAACCGACAAATAAGTGCATACTGATCCCGATTTGCTTCTGTTCCGAACGAACGCTAACTAAACCAAGTGGTCGTTATTTCGGTGCATTTGAACTATCGAATTATAATCTGAGCTTATGCAGCCTGGCGCATCTCTATACTGGATGAATTAACAAAACTTGACGTGAGCACGGTAACCCATGTAACTTAGAGATTAAGTGCATGATTTAATGCTGGTTTGCCATGACGTTTGGATATCACGGGAATCAGAAACTGAATTATTTTCTAAGAACTCAAATCGATTTATTGAATTTACTTCATTTATGTATTCGTATAACATTTAAATTCAATATTATAAAAAAAAAGTTAAGTAACTAGAAACACCGAAAGACGCTTAAGAAAAAGAAGGAAATAACGAGAATGAAATTAAAATAACGATACCCTTTTTTCAAAATATTATTCCTCTTATAAAAGAGAACCTGACAAAGTGAAGCCAGCTAATTCGTGATCTGATTGACTGAAAGATATAGTCACGTGATGAACTGTTATATATAGTATATATATATGTGTTGTGTATGCTCATGAAAGATAAGTGTAGATTTTCGTAGATGATTAAACTTTCGAAAAACGTATCAGTATAGTTGACGTGAATTTAATGTGAATTGATCAATTTCGTCATACTGAACTGAAAAAGCCGACTGATGTCTCGATAGATAAATTAATTAATGGGACAGTTTAGCTTTAAATAAACGAAATAGGCAATAATAAATTATATAAATCGATATGTTATCAAAATACAAAATGAATATATCGCAGAGCAACTAAAATTGACATAAATTTAATTATTGTATATTGTTACTTATTAATCTCATTTACTGGTGATGCTTTGGTTGCGTATAGGTAGGTACCTGTGAATACCTTTGCAAGGCAATACTATGTAGTTGTAGCAAAATTGATTAATAAACGTCTAAACATCTAACATCTAACAATTATTAAGTTGCATAAAATATGAGACATTCTTTTTTAAAGCGCTAATTATAATTGCGAACGTCTATCGATGTTATTTACACCATGAAAAATATGATTATAAAAAATTATATTGTTTTTAGAACTAACATTACATTTTTTATCGTGTTTTTCAAACTTTTAGCTAATAACTTTTGAACAGAAAACTTTGGATAATAAAAACTTTTTAATCATAAGTACCAATGTATCTGCATATTTATATACCAATAAATAATATAGTCGGCTATGTTTCATATCAAATCAAGAGAACATTCAATGCATGTTGAATTTTCGAATTTTTAATTTCGCCAATAAAAATTTTAATTCATATTAGTGCATTAAATGCGAAATAAAGTCGAAAAAGATAAGCGCTGAACATCACTAGTCTCAATTAATATTTGCGACTTCTGGTTTGATATATTTTCGTCAACACACAATCTGTCTACTTGTAGTAAATAGATGGTGAAACATTCCTTTCAATCGCAGATATTGAAATAAGACAAGATCTTATTGTCGAACAATTGAAATATACGTAAAATGCGTACTTGAATCTTCTTTACCACGAATGTCAGCGTTTTCTCAAAAGATAACTTATTGATTTACATACCGGCAAAATAGAAATCTTTGGACAGTCAAACGAAAGGAAAATAAAATTGTTATCAAAGCTAATGCATTAATAAAAGTATTACGAGTATATTTCAAACATTAAAATTAATAAATTTATAAGTTAGAAAAAAAAATGAACCTTTGCATATCTCATAGCAACACGCGAATGTAATACTCACCCTTTACTGGTAGATTTTTCAGAACCGTCGAACGGCGAGGCAAAAATACGTTTTTTTTGCGCATTTCGGTGTTCCGGCTGCATTTCAGTCGTATTCTGACCCTAACAGCAAAGTACGAAGCATATAAATAATAAAACGGATATCACAAAAGTATATCTGAATAATGATAGATGCTAACATTACGAATGAGCGTCCTGCTTAGCGTACGATAAGCTTGATGATCATATCCTCTATAAAACGGCGGACTCGGTGCCATATCATAAGCTCTCGCGTTCTTTTCGTCTTTCTTACGACGTTGTCGTTGATATATCGTCTCGTATCTGTAAAAGATATCGCAATCAATCGTTTATTTTCCGATTCACTGGCAAAACAATTGGAACTCACGTTTCAGTCGTGATCGAGGACCGATGATGCGGCGCGTTTCTCGAACTGGCACGAAAATTTTGTTGACTGCCGTCGACGTCATGATTTAATTTCTCGAAACTCACGGCTTTCTGATTGACCTCCTTGAACGTATCGTGCGGCGAGTTGGTAGTCTGCGGTGAATTCCCATTTCGATGAAAAGCGATTAAAACAAAGGCGAAAGCTCGTGACGTCGTAGCACTCACCTGAGAATCGGTGTCTATCTCTTCCAACGATTTAGCAAACTGCGTATGTCTGAAACCATTGGCATAAGTAGCCGCGTAACTCGCCCTCGGCGCCGTACTCCTCACTGGTTGGACTTTCATCCTCGAGTAGCTGCAACCGACAGACGTTGTTCGTCACTGTCGTAAAATCGTCGATGATGACTTTCTCGCAACTCACCCGTTGCCATTGCCGAGATCAACGAAGCTGTCTCTCCGCGGCGTTGCGTCAGCGGGACTTTTCTCACGACTCATGTCGTGCTTCGTACTCGATGGTATTCGGTCACCCGTGTACACGGGTATCCGTGATTCTTGGCGTTGCTGAACCGCTCTGTCCGCTGCTGGATTGTTACTTTCGAAGCTCTGTAAAGCAGATTTGCAGTTAGAGTTTGGTATCGTGTAGTGAGCGTTGACGATTTACCTGGGTATTTGCCTGCACGTAAAATTCTTCGGTCTGTTTACTTCTGTGTACTTTGCCGTCTTCTTGCGCTGTTTTTCTTTTTGGAGTAGCATAAGGCTTGTAATTTTCACTGGCTCTCTCGTCTGCCTTCTCTCGACTTTTCAACTCCTCTAAATGAACTTCGAAAAGCATTCGTCGTCGTTACTTAAGTGACGTAATTTTTGAGCTTGCTGTTTTCAAACAATTCGCTTATTATTTACCTTTGGACGAATCAGCTGATTTTGATATTCGATTTAAATTCTTGCGTGGCTTGTCATTCTGCGAAAAGAAATTGAATTTGTTCACGAAATTCGTGATCGATTGTAATTTGGCCAGTATTGTGATAACATTCATAATTGAAAAATTTTTGTTTATAACCTTCAATACCAAACTTAATAGATGTAAAACGTCAACGCGGATTGGTAGCATTTGCACAGCTATTATACGAGTCAATCAAATATGCTGGTTGTCACAGTTGTTCTCCGTTTCTTTCGTGTCTGAGTAATCGATTCATCTCAAAAGTGTTTTTTATAATTGTATAGAAAACATACTAAAATGGAATTAAAAAAAACTTGCTGTTTCGAGAAATTGTTGGCGTCGTGAAAAAGAAATAAAAATCCCGCGAAATTGCAAATACATAACCAAATTATTGTGAGATTGAGCATATGTTCAGATTGGTTTATATATAAACGACTTATTCTAAAATTATATAGATTACTGTTTACTCAAAGTTAAGGGAAACTCTTTTTGCAACGTTTGAAACAATTATGTTGTTCATTCGACAATTGTATGACACCATAGTCGATTTTGACTTCCTATTACCTGATCGTTCTGTGGTAGCAGTTTCCAGGACGAAGTTCTTTCGCTTTTTGCCAACATACTTCCACTCGTACTAGATAAAATGCTGTGTTCACTTGCTGGTCTACTCTTGATCTTAATCATGCCGTTACTTCTTAAAAGTGAAATACGGAGTAAGAACATTAATTTAAAAAGACCTTGTTTAATTTTTAACGTAAAAGATGTTTTGTAATTACTCGTCAGTTTCGTTTTCCATTTTTAACATGGCAATCAATTGACCTCTCGTGCGACCGGTGCCAGGAGAAACCGAACCGCTGCCAGCAGCTATCCAGTCCACATCAGCTCCTAAAATATTTAAATGAAATAGATGGAAATTTTATTTTCAAAAACTGCAGATCTAGTTAAAATGTTTTTTTTTTTTCATTATTTACATAAATAACTGTGTAATGTCGCGAGAATTTTCTTTCATTTACAATAAAATTATGAAAATAAATTGAATGATGTTCGGTAACTAAAAAATGTATAATTAAATGCCCAGATTCAAAATTTTACGCACTTAATGCCGAAAAATACTTGATTATTGAACTATAAAAGCATTCCACAAAAAATTAAATATATACTTCCACCTTTAACATTATTTGCTTCCACAAATTACACGTACATAATTTACTCTAACAATACATCTGCAACGAAACTCATTGTTATTATACAAAACGTTTCCAACATTAGCAATTTAATAAGAGTTGACAGAGTAGCCGCTGAAAAAATTTTTTTCAGGATCCCTAGAAATTATTACGCTACATTATGTTAAATGTGGTAATATCTAGGGATCTTGAGAAAAAATTGTCCAGCGGCAACGCTGTTGATCGGTCGTGATTCAAACAATTGACTTGGAGCAAGAACAAAAACGACGTTTTCTACCAGTATGCGGTGAGTTTGGTGTTATTTGCAATCCGTAAACGACGAGGCCGTCCATCGAAACTGTCGGTAACAATCGTCGAGATAATCGTGTTTTGATAGCCGCATTAATAGCCGGGCCATCCTGCTTCCCTTTCGTGAATCTTTTGCCGGCTTCCAATATGTCCTAAAATAGATTCGCTTGAGATCAAGTGGTTTTAAAAAAATGGATTATTACCTCAGTGTCATAAATTTGCGATAGTACAGCTAAGGTGTCGAGGGCAGAATGGCGAACTCTTTTGCGGCGATCGCCGACCATCGCCACCACTTTGTCGATGACCGTCTTCACCTTGAACTCGGTGCTCGGGAACGTCACGAGCGAGAATATCAAGAGCTGCAACGTGTTCTCTCGCATCTGCAACGCCCACGTCAGCACACGTTTGTCGTCAATTCGTGAACATCGATAAAAACAGATTGCACCTTAGCATTCCTTGCGTCGATGCATTGCGCTTGCAGCAATCTTTCTAAAAATAATCCGGGACCAGTGCGGAGCATCGCCAACCTCGCGAGATTAGCAGCGCTCGGTCCGCCCTGCCGTGCTAAACCCCAAGTGATCAGTGATAAACGATCTTTTAGCGATTCCTCGGATACCCCGCTGAGCACCACCTGCAATATTTGGGCATTCTCACATCGGCTGGCACAATTACAATTACAATGTTTGAGAAGCTTACTCGGGCAACGGTCATTCCAGCAGCTGCGACGCGACAGCTTCTCTCGCCACTCAGAACCGCGTGAAGCAACGAGCCCACTCTTGGTTCCACTGCCTCCAGTGCTGCTGGTGCACGTAGCGCCGAGGCGATACGCTCTAACCCGCGAACCCGCGCGCGCCAGTCGTCCTGCACATGCAAACATTTGTCGTTGGATATTTTTTTATAGTCGTTGCTGAGAAAAAGAAATGACGGACAAGCAGATCATTTTTTTCGTCAGATCTACAATCGCCTGTACGCGAAAACATTTCTCGAGCAATCAAGTTTTTTTCCTGAAGTATGAAAAATGTTCCACATTTAAGAAGAAAGAAAAAAGAAAAGAAAAAGACGAATTACTCTTTCTCTCTTTCCCAGACAAAACAATGCGCACAGGGTTCTACGAACTTTTATCTGACCTACCGAGCTACCACCGTAAAATCATTACTCTCTGAATAAAAAAGCAAGTTCATCCCCCCAAAAAAGAACTTCAAGATAAAGGCACTCGAGGAATCCTCGGGAAAATTACGAATGCAAGTGGCGATCGCGTGCTTTACTTTCCAACATGCAACACGTATACGCAAGAAAACTAATTATTTTACGTGTTGAGCTCCGCATAACGGCGCGGATGTATATTATACAGTGGGCGCGTAATATCGTTGCTACGCTACGGATTTGATATTAGTTCTCAAGAGTGACGTTAATGTGCATAATCGTGGTAATTTACGGCGATTGTGTTGTGCTCTCATGTATACGGTTCTAAAGTGGCTGTTTGAAATTAATTAGACGATTGAAGATATAGACGATTGTTACGACGATTAGTCGTCTTCTTTTAGGGTAACATTTGCATCTTAGACCTGGAAAGATTTTCATTTTTCAGTAAATCTGAAAAAATACTGAGATATTAATTTTGTTGTTTCAACTTCTTACTTTCAATTTTACATTTTACCTTCGCGATTTGTTTTATTTTAACTTTCGTCTTTCAATTTTATATATCGACTTCGCGGACGAACCAACGACAATCTCACTCTCGTCTCTAATTCATGGCAGTGTGAGTGTTGCATTTGTTGGATGGATATCATTAAAAAATGACTTATGACGTTTATTGCATCGTCTAGTATAGGGCAATTCAAACCTCTCGTTATTACTGAAAAAGCATTCAAAATGCTTTGTGATAATGCAATTTATTAATTGTTACAAGAATTGCACATGTGTAATATTTGTAGCGCAATCGCAGAGTACTCTAATTTAACATCCATTTGTCTAATTTAACGAATTTATTTTCAATTTTATTTAATCTTTTATTTAATCTACTCTAATTTAACATCAACATTTTGTCTTAGATCTTCAACACGTTAGCGACTTTCAGGTAAATCCGCCATTTCTCATCAGCTTTTGCTTTGCGATCTTCGTCTCCGATGCACTCATTTCCATTAATAGTTATTGTCGTCATTTCAAGCACATTCTCATTACCTTGGAGGACAGATTAAATTCTATCTTTCTAATATCAACTGCTAAACAACACTGGTATGGTTACCCATAACTTTGGGATTGTACAGAAAATGTCGCCAAGTTCAAGTCCTCAGAAAGTCATTTGATAATTAGCAACCTACGTTAGTTGGATGTAACCATGTCCGTAATAACCGTTTACCCGGTAAGCCAACGTCGTCTATGTACTGGCCAGCGCATTAATCAATGCGACATACGATTTCTCTGCCGTAGTATTCGAAACTATAATATAAGCAATACAACTTTAATCGATAGACTTATGTTAGGAGAATTTTTATTTGTTGTTAGATTTTATTTTCTTTATATCACTTTCCTCTTCTGAATGATATTTAGTTGCATCGAACAAGTAAGTGTATACTATAATGTTGTTCGGTTTCGGGTAATCATTTGCTGTGATTGTCAGCAAAAATCAATCACCTTGAATATTCAATAATTTAGAGTTATATTTTCAAGTGCATTTAACTATTGCATATTGACTACGTTTTTTAATCAACTTTTATTACAAGATTAAATATTTTTACGACAGTAACATGCCTGTTTGAATACTCACTGGTGCACAATTCCATACTAGTCACACTTTGCATAAGTGTCTATTATAACGTTTGTGTGATAACATTTTTCTTTAATTTACTTAGCTATGAGGAACAGAAAATAGTACATTACGATACAAGCGCGAGAAAGTAAATTTTTGTCTCGTGTGGCGTTTACATCCGAGCGAAGCGAGTTTTGTATTGCAAAAATGAAGTAACACGAACACAGTATACGAATTTCTAATTCTTAGGCAACTAAGAGATAATTCGGATCACACTTTCAATTTTGACAGCATACAGTTATAGTAGACAAGGAAACAAATAAATTAAAAAGACTGATTTCTGAAACGATTACTATCAACGCTACTAATTATACGATCAATAGGCAGGAGGACACACAACTGTTAAGTAATCAATATCACAGGATAAAATAAATTTTAATCTCATTTCCGTAATATACTGTTACGTCTAAAATCATTCTAAGTAGACTTAATTCTCAATTAATGTCTCACTACATACAACAAGCATAGTAGTCATTCCCCTATAGATCAATATATTTTGAATTTGTAACGTGCACAGTTTGCTTTTGTGACGAGCGTTTTATTATTCTCTCAATATTCGACGATTATGTGATCGAATTGACGATGTGCATACGATCTGAAGAGGCCGGATAACACTCCGGTGAAACGTAATCAGGTTAAGTTTGCGAAGTAAACTTGTTATTTTTTCTTTTCTCGGTTGTCTATAACTTTTGAAAACCTAATTTTTAATAACATCCAGAAAATTCTTGGATACGAAATCATCAAATTAGCATTAGTAAATGAAGATCATTGATGTTCATATTTATCGGAACACTTGTAGCCAGTACTAGAAAAATTATTGTCGGTGTCACCGTGAGCCATCTATATGCGACGTAAAATCGCACATTGGCTGTATGCTGAAAATTATGGAGTTGTTTTTTTTTCAATTTCAGTAAATAATTTTATCTAATTTTGTTCTAAAGGGATGCTTTGATTTTCGTTGCTGGAACATCTTTCAAAACTACGTTACATTTTGCTCAAAGTATCAGATCTGACATGTGACTTTTGATATCAAAATTCGCGAGTATGATCAAATTGTATTATTCACTAATGATTATATTCACATAGAAACCTTCGGTCAGTACGGTTACGGAAGCAAAGAAAACAGAAGCCCGTTGCCATGTATTATTAAACGATTTGTTCGCCAATTCACAAGTAGACGCGTTTATTCTGTCATCTCTTTAAACTTTACTGTAACGATCCAAATATCTATCCATATTTTGCAGAGTCCGACGAAAGGCAAAAACAATTACCAAGCTAACGCGATATTATTCACAAATATTTTAGCATATTTTTGTCACCTGAACGCTGCACTCGTAAAATTTAATTGGTTAAAGGAGCAAAAGCAACTCAATAACGCAATAACTTTCGCACGCAACAGTAGCATACAAAAAGTATACGTAAGGCATCTGAGAAATAGTTGACAAACGGCACCGAGCTTAAAAAAAATTTTTTTTTGCTCTAAAATATGACGAGTGCTCGCGCTTATAGATACGCAGCGAGAGTAAAAATTCTGTGCATTATCAGAAGGAAATTCAGCTGTTGTACTTTCCCGAGAGTCACCGGGCGCATCGCATAATGAAACCGAGCCCGACTGCGAGAGAACCATACGTGCTCGCAATATCGGAGCAGCTGAACATTAGTATGTGCACTAGATCAATGACCGCTCAAGGTTGCACAGTGACGAGCCTCGCCTCCCACTATTCTCAGCATCGCGCTCGAGAGAAGCGGGAAAACCTGTTATATCTGAGATCGGCTCGTCCACAGTCACGAGATGCGCGCGGCCAGGTGTTGAGATGTTTTGGTCCGGCTGACCGAACTTGAGAATTATGCTCCCTTGACGGAAAAAATCGTCGTTTCGAGAGCATATGGGTGTGGGTGTATTAGTGAGAAGAAGAGCTTTTGTTAAAAAGTGGTTGAATTTTAGATAACGCAAATCGATGATCTTGTGGGATCGAAGAATACAGTAATTGTCACAACGAATTGAGAGCAAGTTGGAATTTACGATTAAAAGATGCACGAAACACTTTTGCCAAAGAGTGCAACTTCGAGATTGAAAAGTAGCGCAATTATTGTTGAACGATTGACTTGGTAAACATGCCTCGAGCCTTCAGACGCAACGCGACCAAATTTTTAATCTTATTAGTTACCGGCGCTTTATTATTTACAATTCTATTTAAAAGTAAATCTGTAGATAAAAAAGCAAAGCCTCCAGTGCGTAATAAAAACGTAGATCGTTTAATAGTAAGTGCGCGAAAATTGTAAAATATCCTCGGTGGTTGTTTTTTATCCATTAATGCATTGAAAATATTTCAGAGAGAAGGGGCAATAGAAAACAAAGAGCGACTGCGTCACGTGCAAAAGGTCTGCGAAAAGTACAAGCTGGGCACTTACAAAACTGCAAGTTACGACGTCGAGTTCAAAGAACCTCCAGCACCGCAATATGGCGTGTATTACTTTGACAGGTATATCGCGCGTTTGTATCCAGCGCTCAATGAACTGCCATTAACGGTAACGATCGTCGCGTTTTCCTTTTTATTACAGTCAGCACAACGTATCTTACTGCCCCATTTATAAGTCTGGCAGTACAACGTGGTTATACAATTTGTGTTTGTTGAACGGAGTTCCCGAGGAGGAACTACTGAGTGGAAAAGAGCAAATTTCTGTGATTGCCAGGAGAGTTATGCCGGAACTTGAGTATCCAGAAGCGGACGAGGTATGAAATAAAGAGAAAACGTTGAGCAAATCAAGTTTTAGTTCAAATTGCTTTATTTTGATAGATACTAAAGAAAACGGCTAAGTTGATGATTGTGAGGCATCCGTTTGAAAGGTTACTCAGTGCTTATAGAGATAAATTGGAAAATTCGGTGGCCGGTCGAGAACATGGTAGTTTACACTTCTATAAGCGATATGGCGAAGCCATCGTGAGAAAGTATCGAGGTAAGATATATTCAAAAATTCTCAAATCCATATAGATCGAAATTCTTCGTATTTATCAACAAAATAATTGCTTGTTTGTAAATTAATTATCCCTCAAACGATGTACGACCTAACGACCGATGATCCGCCATTTAGACAAAACTCGAGCGATGCCCAGTAATAATCAAGTGATTCGACGTCTTGGAATACCAGAACCAGCCGGTATTGAGCCAACTTGGCGCGAGTTTGTCGAATATCTGATCCACACTGATTTGACTAGTTACGCAGACGATCATTGGACACCTTACTACCTCTACTGCACTCCTTGCCTTCTCAATTACGACTTTATAGCCAAGGTAATTGAAATTATAAAAGAATATTATAGAAAAGTACACCTAAATTTAAAAAATTTGAATAGACGAGTGGGATCGATGGACGCGCGTAGGGACAATAATACGAGTACTAAGTGTTATTTATATATGAAAGTGAAACGAAAGTCTACTATTCATTCGTATCGTTGAAATAAGGATTCTTAAGGCCTCCAGTTTAAATATGACGATTGTTGCAGGAGAGATTAATTGATTGTAAGTCAAGGTGGTCGACTAAAAAATAGTAAAGTAGATGCATCTCGCGCATGCACGAGTGCAATTGGTACAATTCGTACGGGTACACGTTAACTCAACTTACGTGCAATTATCCGTTTTGCACGTATTTTTATCGTGGGCACGCTAATCTCGAGATGGCGAAAGTATCTTACTGAAGATAATGGTTGTTTATCATTTCAGGTCGAAACTCTAGATCGCGACCAATTGTACGCGATCCACCAGCTCGGACTGTCGGATCTAATAATTCCACGCTGGCAACATGCTACTAGTGGTGCAAATGACGCAGCTTCGATCTACTTTAGTCAATTGACCAAAGAACACGTGCGCAAGCTTCACGCCAAATTCAAGCTCGACTTTGAGCTTTTTGGCTACTCATCCGAGGAATATTATGAACTCGCTACCTCGCTCTCTTAATTGTTTCTTTTTCCTTTGCTGATTATGAATTGCGAAGGTGGTGATCTTGATAGCAGTGCTGTTTTAATGACTTTTTTGTATATTTAAAATAACATTTTGCCATCTAGCGGCGCAGAACTAAAAAGCAAATTTGTTTGCTATATATTAAAAATATTGTAAATATTTAAAAATGAAAATAAAGATAAAATATCTGTAATGATAATCAGTTTGATAACTAAGTTTTACAGGGCACATCTTTGCTCGACAAACGTACAACATTAGGACGATCAATTGATTTTCCATGAATACATCAATTAACGTTTATTCAAGTATATATATACAAGTAAAAGTTATTCTTAGATAACAACACGATTACTATAATCGCGTAAGGATAAACTTGATTTGGCATAAGTGTTCGTAATCTTGAAAAAGTGATAAACTCCACGCCGAGATCAACAACGGAATGAACGAGCTACAATCAACGTTTGATCGACGCAGATCAACGACGACGACGACGACTCAAAGTTCAATTGCGAATGCGGAAGTGGCTTATACAGTCGAAACAAAAATGACACAGCTGTCCATGTAAACGGCTATCTCTAGTATCGGAAATGCTTGTAAGCTTTATTTTGCGAGCACTTTTCATCGAACAAAGATGCTCAGGTTAAGAGTGAAACTCGTCTTGTTCAATGAATTTACTCTCGTTTTCTCAGGGCTGTCAATGAAAACCACTATGGTGTAAGCTGGCGATTGATCTACACAAGTGTTCGACCTGTAGTCGTTAACAATTTGTTGCCTTGTCAAGCGGCACCCACAGGAACACTTCACGCATAGTCAAGCTCGAAAAGCCCAAGTCCCCGCTCCGACGAATATTTAAGTGCGCGCATTGTCGGATCCGGAGGATGCGCTCGTCGAAAAGGATTTGGTCGGTCCACGCGCGCTTCGATCAGCGTATTTACGTACGCCGCGCTCGATGTTTTCCGCACTCTTCGCGGTGGTGCTCGGCGGCGGCGTTTTGATCGATCGTCAAGCGACCCACTTTCGAGAGAGAGAGAGAGAGAGAGAGAGAGAGACAGAGAGAGCTCGCACGGCCACCGCGCGGTTCTAGCTTATCGGGCTGGCCGGCTGATCGGTTGCCACGCGCTACCCATATAACGTGCTGAACGAGTGCGTGAGAAAGCTCCCTACGACTACTACGGTTGTTTGTGATTTTCTGCTGGGTCAGCGCGCGTTTAGTAGTGCAATGAACTTTACATTTACCTGTTGTTTATTTTTTTTACTTTAACGGATATGCCGTTGATTATGCTCGAGGGAAAGAGTTTCTCCGGTTATTTTTCAATGCATTTGGAAATTTTAGTTAGAACTTTCAAACCTGGATGTGATTTAATGTCGTTCAAAAGTAATAATATTCTGAAATACTGCGGAATGTATTCGCGAACGGAAAGAGATTATATCTTCGAGTGAAACGTAAAAAACGACCAAAGGTAGTCGATAAATATAAGTTATGTAAGTGGGTCTGCTAATTTCTCGTGGAATCCGACACATATCTTTGCGATAATCGTTTTGTTTTTCATGCAAGCGAGCCTATGTCAGTTATCAAAATACGATCGAGTTCGCTCTTATTTTGAAGCTACATAAAATAAATTGGCGAAAAAAATCTAGAAGATTTTCCCTTTGATAATATATGACCAACATTTGCAATACCAGCAATGAAAAGAAAACTTGATTCGGTGGCCTGCACGATGTGCATAAATTAAAATAAAAGATTGAAAATAAAGCAGTTTAGCCTTCAAAGACAGTAAGAAAATCAAGTTGCCATGTATGGTCTATGCTATATCGAGAGAGAACAATGAAGTATCGTACATCTGTACTTGATCGTTAAGTAGTAAGGTTCAGGCTCAAGGCAGACACTTCATTGTACAGTCGTGTAGCCAAGCGCTAATAAAGCACAGAATACACGCTAAAACTTGTAGAGCCCTGTCATTCCCATTCGTAAATCAGTGAATTTATAGTTCTCTCGATGAATGTCATTCACGATGTATCTCCTAATTTTCTTTGCAATAATTTTTTAATCACTGTACAGACGTGGGGAGGATGAATTTAGAAATCGAATGGTTTCTCCGTGTCGCGTGATTTTACACTTTCAACCATGCAAAATAATCGAACAATTTTTCGATGAAATATTCGTACGTAAGTTTTCGCTGTCAGTGCGTATTCCGTGACCCAGATTACTAAGGGTCAAAGTGACGACGTTACACGTCCAACTATTTTTTTATGAACTTGAAATGGCTAGAAAGCTCTTTAGTGGCTATAAGAGAAGGTTATCGATCGAATTGAATTCCTTGAAAGCACAAGTTTTCCTGTATACTTTGTGCATAATTCGACGTCGATTGAATTGTCAATGCCTGTGTGTATAAATCTACGGCAATATGCTATTGATGGAATTTACGGTTTGTATATGATTGAATAGTGTTTTAAATATGTAACCGAACTGTGTGTCTATCTAAAAACGATAATTAATTGTGGGCTTGAAAGCTAATCGATCATTTTTCAATGAAAGTAAACAACAATTGCAGTCAATGCATTGCATTTCTGACCTCAATCCAAAAATAAGTTCATTCATAGAAGAAAATTAAAGTATCAATAAAATATATGAGCTCCAATCGAACTTACTTTGTTATGAAAATCGTCCAAAACTTCCTGATCGACAATTCCAAGTTCCTCCCAACTAGGTTCCTTACTTTTCCATTCTCCATCACTGCTACTGTCTGACGATCTTTCCCTAGCGTCCAGCGCTGATTTTTCTAGATCGTCGTCTAACCGTACATCAGTTTGCTCAACTTCTTCTTGTTTATTCTCTCTCACGATACTTTCGATTATTTTATTCGAATCTACTTGTGATTCTTGATCTGAAACTGGTTGATCGTTTATCGTGATTTTTGGGGTTGAAGGTTTCGAATCTTCTTTTTCATCATTATTGGCAGTTTCGTTTTGATTCGCTGAAGGTTGTTTGCTTGGTGTGTTACTTTCTAGCGAAGAACGTCTACTTAAGTCCTTTACAGGACTGGCCAATTCCATAAGAATGTAGTTTCGTTCTTGGCGAGGAAACGTCTCGAAACCTGAACTTTTTGCTGACTGACTTCGTCGATATCTTCTGTCTGATAATTTATTGAAACAAAATTACACGTTCAAAATACTAAATCATTCAGGATTGGCTATATCACGGAGTGCGTCTATGGAGATTTTTAATAAATTTGATGCAATACTGATGTGTTCAGGTAAAACAAAAAGAGGAGTAAAAGAACAATAACAAAAATATATATCGGAGAAGTGAAAAAAGTTAAGAAGCATAATGACTCGTGCGATCGGTAAAGTTTTTTAAAGAAAACTTTCAACTAATTATTTAGAGAAATCTTAGACTTTTACGCGAAAAGAGACTATAAGCTTTTCAACAAATTTCTAAAACATGCAACTCACCATGACCACTCGTCAGCTCGTCATCCCAATCGAACTTGGAAGTATGTTCCAACGCCGAATTCGACCTATAACCCGATCTTATCATATTCTCTCGTTCCTTCCTGCCTTTATCTTGCAAATCCAAACCACTTCTGTCGCCAAAAATACTCTCGATATCACGTGTCTTGGCGTTCAGCACGACTTCGCCAAGTGGACTGGGACTTGGTGTTCTCATGTCGTGGTTGACGTTTTTAGGCCGTAGTGGCGGCGGCGGCGGCGGCGACTCGTCGCACACGCGAAACGACGGCTCGTCGTCAGTTATTTCTTGAATGACGACGGGCGACGGGCTCATCGAGTCACGACGAGATTGTCGTCGCGTTACCGATGGACTGAATGTGATATAAGCGAATCGATCGATTCAAACCTCGTTACGTTTAGCGTGAGAACAAATCTAGAGCGTGTTTGTCTTACCTGAGAAGTCTGCTGTTATCCGAATTCTTCGTTAGAATGCTCTTTTTCGGGCTCAAATTGGCGTCGTGAGTATAATAATTCTCTCGACGTGGACTACTCGACGACGAGCGTCTTCTCATTGGATCTTTCCGTCGTTCGTTGGCAGTTGGCTGGGAAGATGAACGAACCCGACGCCTTTCATGCGGTGGCAATCTTGTTGCTGGCGATACTGGCAATGGAATCTTGGTTGGACGTAATTCTTGTATCGATGGCGTTAGTAAATCCGATAAGACAGACTCGGTATCTTCGCTGTCAGGTGTACGTAGCTTCACGATTTCACCACCGAAGTGTACGCGTCTGCGATTATAACGTACACTTACAAATTAGGACTATGTCTTTGACATTTGTAATTGTGCAATTATTATCAGTCGTTCGCGTTGAGTGCATTTAATCGGCCGATCAAATGATTGCAACTCACCTCGGCGTCTTTTTTCGCTCGTCCGCCTCAGTTCTACCGGCAGACTCGATCGCCATTTTCTCTTGTTCGACTTCTGACTCGTCGCTTCCTTGTTTACCCTCAGGTTGTTTCTCTTGCTCCTCTAGTATGGTCATCGTAATCGCGGTCTCCTCGTCGAATTTAATCTCAGTCTCGAGAATTATTCGTGCTGAAGTGATACTACTACCCGATCCACTTCTCGAAGCTAAGGCACCTTCATCTTCGATACCCGATTCGTCGGAGTCGTCCTCGCTCCCCCAAGTTTTGTCGATCGCTACGATATCTTTGATCGTTTCTTCGGCGGAGCTGTAGCGGCGTATCGTTTGCTCCGTCCCGTGTCCCGCCCTTGACTACGCACATTTTCACAAAAGTGACAATCAAACGACCCAATAAAAAACAAAACGAACTTACCATCGCTCTCCTCTTCCTCGCTCCCTCGAGCCCATAAACATCGCACAACAATTCGAAATTCCTCTTCATGCTATCGTCCACTTCGCGAAGATAACCGTCGAACTCTTCAGACCCGATGACCTCGCGGATCTTAGCCAACGAACGCAACGCCGACTCCTGTTGAGACACCTGCACGAGACGCATAGCCAACGCGCGACATGCCTCTCGTACTACATCCGTGGTTGGTCGGTTGCTCGAACGCGACGGGAAGAGTAGCAAAGGCGTGCTGAGAATTACGCCTTGAGCAACATTAGTCTCGTGCTCGTCGAGGACATCCGTGCGATTGAGACCGTCGTGTAAGATCTACAGGTTGCTTTTAATTAGGAACTCAATCTCGTAACACGTTGTGCGACAACTTACCTTCTTGGTAATGTCATCCCTTCTCGACGAATGTAGCAAATAAATCCTAAGCGCGTCTAGCGATCCTTTCCTCACCGCCAACGCAGGATTACCGAGATTATCGACGAGATCGGGTAACAGCGGCTCAACGATCTCGTCGACGATTTCGTGATCGAGAGTTGGTAATACATCGACGAGCACTCGTAACGCGTGTTGACGTACCTCCCATTCGGGATCGTGCAGACGTTCCCCGATCTCCGCGAAAATCGTCGTGACGTCCGCATCTTTCGGAAACTTCTTCGTGCGGACCTGCGAGTGTTTTGAATGCGCGTTGATAATGATATTTATCTAACGATGAAAATGCCGTCCGTAAAGCCAAACGAATTTTTTAATATTTTAAAAGAAATGACAATACTCACAACGTACTCCCACAACGGAGTGAGCTGAATCGGCTGTCCTTGTCCTGTAGATGTGAGGCTGTTCATCTTACGTCTTGGATGTCGTTGATAAGGTGGCGGCGGTGGCTCGTCGGCGAATAGTATATCGTCGAGTAACGGCCCAACAACTTGATCTTGTTGGGGCTGTATTGGCCCCAATTCCGTCGAGCCCGTCATGGATGCGAACTGTACGCCGCATCCGGGCATATCCTTTCTTTACCTCTCATCATCGAACGCCATCGCTCTTGACGATGACGATGCCATTTTCAAGCACTGCATCTGACATTCATTTTGAGATTTTATCGACATTAGTTTCCTCTCCGATTTGACAACGTTTTTTATGTTGTTAAGGACGTTCTCTTTCGTAATTCTAAAAAAATGTTCTATATTCTTTCTTAAATGTAAATAAGAAAAATTCACTTCTTACGGGAAAATACGTAAAAACCAATATTTTTTTTATTTCTACCTAAAAAGTAATATGCAAAACTTCTTTAGAATTTCGCAAAACTTTTAAAAAATAAGGCTTATTAAATACTGAAGTGATCGATATTTAAAAAAATATAGGTAGCGGTCCTTTTTCTGAAGTTACTAACAATAGTATTGTTAAGAATCGGCGCCGCGGTGCGAAGTCGTATCCATAAATCACTTCTATATTTTTTTTAATGTATATTAAAACATTGTGTTTGATATATATATACTCTGGTCGTTGACAAATAATATAGCAATAAAAAAATTTGAAATTTCAAAAATTCGTAACAGACTTTTGTCGATCATAACTTTCGAGGTTATAATTTTTTATAAATAAACAAGTACATTTATCACAATAATTGGATAAGACCATAAGAAATTACACAGTAAGAGAAGTATGTTCAAATTTCTTTACTTCAATATGTAAATTACTTTTATAATAATAGCGAAATGAATGTAAAAAAGTGTTCTTTTCGTTTCGCGAAGCCATCACAATAGTACGCGAATAAAAACATGCACATATTTAAGTAGACGAAGTAACAATGCATGTACTGTAACGTACACTTACAGAAAAAAAAAACTTTAGACGATTGAAGTAATTTGGGTACCCGTAATAAGATTTGGGTTATTCTAGCTTAATCAGTATGGCGAAATTATGAGGGGAAGATTTACAGTCATTATCGCAGATCAGTCAACAAATAACCTTTAACCTAAACTTTGTATATTTATTGCGATATTTTTTACGTTGCAAAAAAATGTGTTTATGTGATGGTAGATGTCAAATGAGCTTCAAACAAATTAAAATTATATTCTTTCGTAATAAGAACTTTTTAAATAAAATAAAATAATTAATTAACTTTAATTCCTGATAGTAGATGTAGTGTATATATATATATATATATATATATATATATATATAATGCACAAACGAAAGGCAATCACGGCAAAACCTTAAAATCCTACGTGTTTAAATTTAAACGTTTTAAGTGTGTAATTGTGACGTCACCCATAAGAAATACATTGTCGCTGAATTTAAACGTTTAGAAGTGTTTAAAATTGAGGACAACGTATTTCTTATGGGTGACGTCATATTAAACGTTTATATTTAAACACATGGGTTTACCGTGAATGTCACAGATAATTTGACAAATCTGATGCACGTTGTATAAAAAAACAATTTTTCCCGGTACTTTAAACATGTTAATAATAAACATAGGAATGTTGAATGTGAGTGAAGCATTATTATAAATTTACTTTACAGTAATATACAAAATCTTATAATATACGAAATGATCAACGAATTTCTTAGCTTAAAGGACTATAAAAAAAAATAAATTGTAAAATTTTTATTAGTCGTTAATCGGTATGTATGTTTGCTTTGTTCGCACTTGCAGTATTAATAATTAAGTCAATTATATTATCGACCTATCACGTGGATCAACATTGATGCAAATCATTAATGAATTATTATTAAGTAACAAATGAAAACTCTTGAAGTGGCTATAGAAAAATAGTTGAACGGCCTTTTGACTATGCTGTCGTCGCTTTTACAAAAATTCACTGTAATTCATCTAAAAACAATTTAACATTGAAAGAAATCTTTAATAACAATGATAATCGTGAATTGTCAAGGTAAAACTTTAAGTAAAGCGAATGGAGAGCAGCAATGAAACAAGAAAGACATATAGCGACATTGTAAATGGCAGTGGTGGCGCGCGCACTGTCAAGGTGAATCCCCTGACTTCGATTATTCCGCTTGTCTTGCAGTCGCGGCTATTCGTGGTGCTTTTGCATGGTGTGTGTATTGAATGCCAGTGCTTCGAATCCCGCAGTAGCTGTCTTAATTATGCATAGATCATGAAATATTCCGTTTCGCATGTGATCGTTCGTTTCCCAAATTAATTCTGTTATTGCAAAAACCAAATATGATTCGCCAATTTAAATGATTTGTCACGCTTCATATTAAAATAATGCGGTATGATTTTCAGCAGTAATTTTGAAAGTAAAATAAACAGGACACGATGAAAGTCTCATTGATGGATAATAGAGGTAAATAAATAAATAAATATTCCTCGTCGATGAAGAATGATCCAAAACTTTTTTATTGAAACCACTAAATTCTGATCATCATCCACTTTTCCTAAAGATACGTTAAACCATCCCTCGGTTTCTCAAAAGAAACTCGGTTATCCGATTAAAACAATTCCGTCTACTGCAGTCGAAACTTAAAAAGAGAAAAACTTACAGACTACGTAAGCTTGACAAACTCGCAGCAGCAGCAGCGCTAATGACTCGAGAGCACGAAAAGAAAGAGAAACAGCAGCAGTACACGCGGAAGCGAAAAATTTTATCGTGCGATCTTCTCCAGGAGGAAAAGTAGCGCACACGAAAGGCAGTTGCAATAATCGTGAGATCGTGCGTACGCTTGTGGCCCCACGTTTTTTCCTCCTGTTGTTTAAAGCACAAGCGGCTCGTTGCAGCTTTCGCAAACGTGTACTTTGCCGGTTGAGCTTTTCTTACAGGAGATTCGTTTGAGGATTGTTTCGCGTTCTATGGTATTTCATTCAACTGTAGAAATGTCGTATATTATGTGACACGTTTTCATTTTCTAAAAAAAACAACTCTATTGAAACTCAATACAAACAGATCACTGTTTCATTTTTTTTACACTCCGAAAGAAAGAAATAATCTTTTTTGCAAATCAGATTATTTCACAAGGACCGACTCGGTGAACACATACTGCATTGAAAATCGAAAGCAAGCGAATTTAATCCTCGAGCACCGTATGCGTGCCGACATCAGCGTGCACGATATTTCCCAAGTTTCTTGAAGCCGTCGCGAGCTAGTAGTGAGAGTCGACACGTGTCAGACGCCAATGGAGAGAGAGAGAGAGGGCGCCGCAACGTCGTTTACCGACGCTTGCATGTGCATATGTACGGCGTGCGTGTCGAAGAACTTCAGTTCAAAGCTTATTGCACGGTATTCTCGAGTAACAACGCGCTATATCGCTTTTCAGGCGAAGTTCAGCAATGCTTGGTTTGAGCATCGAGATTCGAACGATGCGGCACCTATTTGATCGCCGTACGGAATTGCGACGAGCTACATTGAATGCGTTAACCCTTATAAACGAACCTTTTCTCGGCCAAGCTTTCTGTGTCGCTCGCTCGTTCAACTCCTCGCAATGATCTCGATCTCGACCGATCGCCAGCTACGTGCAGACAAAGAGCACTGCGATCTTGTGCTTCGCGCGCGCAACAAAGCAGCCGCGCGTTTCCTCACATGGTAAGGCCTTCTGCCGGACGATCGACCCTTCTCTCTGACTCAAAACGCACCACCTCTCGACGCGCGCCTCGCCATGCGACTGTTGACTCTCGCGAGGTCGGCGTTGTGCGCGACGTAGCGTACTCAGGCCTGCTACCACCTCTGAATATCGACCCTCTATACAAGCTTGGCACGCGTATACGTCACTCCCCACCCTTCTTTCGGCACGATATACTATACGTGTTCTTTCTATAGCTCTTTCGTGCGACAGCTTTTTTTTCCTTTTTCGCCTTCGCCTTTAACTTGACGTTGAGACATTATTCACGAATATGCGAGCATTGTTTCGTGGAAGTGATTCGAGTGCCGTTTGTTACACGTCAGTTTGATAATTGCATGCATTGTGCGCCACGACGCCATGCGAGTCGACAAGGTCAGAGTATTTAACTCTTTATTCTATTGTCCGTATGCTGTTGGATTTATCATTGGACTTGAATCATTAGAAGAGGGTAAATAATAATAATAAAAATAAAATCGATATATTTTTATTGTGTTGCGTTTGAGTTGGAGTATGTTAATTTCTTCCTGATCCATTCTATCAGAGTACAAAGTTTCATTTTAAAAATTTTTCAAAAGTAATGCTATTTTTAATGAGCAGCGTGTATCTTTTGTGAAAGTAGTCAACGAGTTCCACTAACTTCTCGAAGTGTACAACTTTTCTGATGACATTTAAACTTATAAATGCATTTTTATGAATCGCGTGACGCTAAAGAATGAAAATTTGCTTCTAAATATATCTTCTCAGATATTCGATGACAACCGGTAAAATTTGATTGACGTGCCGATGAAACTAATCTAATCGATAAAGTGATATCACTTATATAGTATTACAAAATAAGACCTGCATTATATATGTTTAAACATCCACGTCTACCAAACACATCCGTCCTCAAAAAACTCTCGGAACACCACAACGGTCTCACGACATTAACATAACTTCCGTTTGTAAAGGAGGCTAACGTCCACGTGGAACTCGAGTCTCGTTTGCCTATATATGTATTCGATCAAGTCGGCTTTTTCCACGCGAAAGAATAGAAAGTGAAAAGATATTATTTATTAGCCCTCTGGCAGCCTCGACGACGACGACCGTACGAGCAAAGGAACGTCGACCTACATATTTATTTACTAGGTGTTGTGCGCACTACAATCTTCAGCCATTCATCGCCTCCACCGACGTCGCGTCGCCTACGCAATCTTATCGTTTGCCCACCGAAAGGCGACAATTCGACTTGACTGGCCTCTTGCGCCACGATAGCTTGGTCGACTTTGCTGTTTTTTCAAAGGTCATTATGCTTCAGGAATTAAGATAGTGACGGCTGTTCTGATAATCAATGCTCTTTTGTGACTTGACTGCGACCTGCGATGGTTGAATAGACTCATGATTGCTTTTTGACATTATCGAGTTATTTTTTTACTGACTTATTTTTTCGAAATTGGCGCTATAAATTGCATTGTATCTTTTAATACAAAGAAGATATCCAATAAGCGATCCTCTTCATCTGAAATCGTCTAATTATTTAATTATCCAAAATTCTACATTCCTAATATTTCACTCTGTTTACATTCAACCCATCTACATCTTCAAAAGAAATTTGACGGTGAGCGCAAAAGAATTCCGGTCTATCCGTAATTCTTTCGGTTATGAGACTACTTTGCCCCAAACAAAATAAAAACTGACCGAGCGAATTGTCTCTACATATTAATCTCACGCGACGTTTCGTAATCTCACGTTAAATCGGTTTTGATTATTGCAATATGAAAGGGGATGAAAGTGGGCCAAAAGTCACACGGTCGTAAGGAAGGAGTGTACACAAATAAAACGTTCTAATTAAATTCAAAATGTACTCGTTCGTTTATTATATTTGTTATTAGAAAATACAAGTGTAATACAAGTGAACTATTTAAATAAATACTGTTTTCTACTCGATTCCCTTGTAATTAAATTTAGATTTTTGCGACTCAATGAGGTTATCCATAGAATATTTTTTTAATTTACACACGGTTTTAACGCACACTTTCAAAGTTAAGGACTTACAAAAACTATGAACTTTGTTGTTCAAAGCTTAAACTAATCAGAAACTTGAAAAAGATTTCTATCAAAGATAGATTAGAAACTTATATTCATATATATAAACATGTGTGTGTGTGTGTGTGTGTGTGTGTGTGTGTGTGTGTGTGTGTGTGTGTGTGTGTGTGTGTGTGTGTATATATATATATATATATATATATTCAAAGCATTTTATCAAATAATTATTTTATTGCTGAAGTGATTTAGGAGTAATTCACTAACATTATAACTATATATTATTAAACTCATAATAAAATCTCTTATTTTAAGATCACATAAATCTTCATATAACATTCCTGCGTATACATACCGTTAAATGTTTTCTCTTACATTACATTCTTAGTTTAATTCTTTAGCAATATACCTTGCAATATAATTTGTTTGTATATCATATTTCGTAGCTACAAAATATTTGCAATTCACATACACAGAAAACACAATTGGAAGCTTTTAACATAAATCATGAATATTAGTTAACTTATTGGGTATATCGTTGTTTACAATATTGTAGATATAGTGTTTGCGATCGGAATCGATGTATGGTGTTAAACATGTATTTCTTCAACAAAGTCAGTTCCATTTTTAAATCATTTCTTAGGTGCTTGCAAATTTGTAAATTTCATAAACATAGCGTAATATGATCAAAGTATCGTATAATTTCAAGTTCGACACCACTATCTTCTTGAAAAGATCTTAAATTATAATCAATATCTATAATTTTCGTGCTCTCTTTTCTACAAAAGTTCATTTCTTACATCCGTAATGTGACGTAGATGTTTTGAGCAAGTTTTTAGTAATATTTTTACAGTCACAATGCTTGCGTGCACATATCATTACCCAAAAATATATTAAAGGCTTATTGTGAAACATGATTCTAAGAATATGCTTCATCGTGTGGTGCTTTAGTTTTAAGTTGGCTAACCACTTTATAGACAGAGCATGACATTGATCGTAATCAGGGAGCTGGGTATGACTTTGTGAATTCATTTATGTTTCATTAAAAATTAACAAAACTTATTTCTACAATATTTAGCTTTGAGTTGAATTTACAACACGACATGATTTTTCAGTTACACAATTACTTTACAATAACAACTCGCAACAAATTTGTAGGGAGGTGACAATAGTAGTACAATTTTTAGATTTTAATATCCCATTTTTTGATCGCAAGAATATCCAGAACAAATTTTGATACAATGTAGTCTGCAGTTACCAAGCATCGAAAAAGTCCTATTATTAATAATCAAATCTGCGTCTGTCGATAACTTGCGATAATTTTGAATTATACTCATTTGTAGATGAAGTCATAAAAGAAACAGGCTTTTTCGATTTTAAAAAATACTGAATAGACAAAAAGCTATCAAGGTTAGTACAGGGAGAAAAAGTTCATCGAAAAAATTACTGTAACAGACCGGTAACGCAGAGACAACTTTTATGATGAGAGTCCACAATTTTTAGAGCATTGAAATTTTATAAAGTGCACTCGTAAAAGTTCTGAAAATTCATTGTCATTTTTAAGTCATCGCCGTAAATTTTACGCCGATAGTATAAGTACACGTTTTTTTACCCTAGCCATTCGCAATCAGGAGTCATGTGATCATAAAATAAGAAAAACTCCAAATCGCAATTGACACGTCGACATATAAGTATAATTAATTATCCTGTATTAACAGATATGAGAAATCCTTACCTTCCCTCGTAGTTGAATTGCGTGGATTTGAAGAGGCGAATAAATGGATGACCAGTAAAAGTTAATATAGATCGTGAAATATTAATGTGATCAGTTGGACCTGGGAGACACGCAAGCAACGCAACAGGGTATAACTCAATGAAACGTGGCATTAGCCGCGGCCTGTTACATGCCGAGAAGGACAAGGTACGCTAAACTCATTTCAGCTTGGCATACAGCCTGACGAGCCAAGAGACCAAGAAATACAGATTTACAAGTAATGAGGCCGAGAGAGTCAGTCATCCGTATCCATCGTCAAATTCAAAAATCACGGAAAGAAAAATGGCAAGCCTTATCAGTTCGTGTAAATCGACATCCGAGGCGAAGCCGAGAAATGAAGAACGCCCAAAATGTTTCGCCTGAAGAAATTCAGTGAATTGATTTCATGGATATTTTCCTTGATTCACGTGTATTAATTGAAGATTTTCATCTAATGAAACGCCGTCTTGAAAGAACACAGAGAACTAAATAAAGTAAGCCACGTATTTGTATGGTTGCAGGAGTGTACTGCTCATAATTAAGTGGACTTGGATTAATCTCAGTTGAAAATCTTGTTACAAATCATTTGACATTTTAATCTTATCGACTATGAATTAGTTATTTACGTATCTTGGGCTATACCACGTTGTATTACGTCGAGGAACGTTTTGAAGAAGGGAGCAGCGGAGCGTCCCAGTTGCTTTTTCCCTTTTAAAAAGGTCCGAGACGTAATACAACGTGGCATAGCCCAAGTTTCTCATAGCGCGAAATGTTCTATGAGTCGAGCGTAAATTACAATAGGAAAGGAAGGAATTGCTTAGTTAATCACTTGAAAGAAAGAACTTAGGTATAAGCCAAGTTTATTCGATCTCGAGCGCTCACTTTGCAAGGCTAGGAGAGAATAGCCTGTGCAAAAGTCAGCGTATTTATACACAAATTTTCCCGTCTCTTTTCGCAGGACAGCCCTCTTCGAGCTGTTTACGCAATTGTGCCAAATCATTTTTTCTAATTTACAAGAGAATAGACCGTAATAACGAAATTCTAAAGTATATAAAATTTACAGAAGTACAAATGGGTTATTTAAGTATACTTTACAATTATCGAAAAAAGTATAATCAAAAGTTATTAATCAATAAAGTTATTTAATATAATAATGCAATATTTACAATAAAATAATGATAAAATTTGACATATAGCAATAGTTTATTGCTTTTAGAAGTAAATTAAAAAAAGAACTACTTAAATTAGTTAATAACATTTGAATCATAATCAATTTTTTCGTATTTGCAACGGTTTTTTGTAAAATCTTATAATGCAAATAAATTAATAAATCATAAAAATGTCGTTGTTATGTACAAAATTAACGCTTTCGATTCATATACAATTATTTGTTTAAATAAATTATTAATTATTTATTTATTGATAACAGTAATAACTAAGATGTTATCAATGAAACGAATTCTTATTCATGTTTCTCAGATAGTCATCTTGAGTTCAGAGTATCAGCTTTATTATAATAATTAACATTTACAACATAATAAACAAATTAAATTTGCAAATTAAAATTCAATATAATTTAGTAATTAAAAGTAATTAAAATTATTATAATCTTAATCTATGCCCTAAAATCTATATAAAAATAACTTTGTTACATTGAAATTACTCTTAATTAGTGCACTTTAATTGAAAAATAAAAACTATTATATCTATATCTGGGTAATTCTAGGCTATTTCGATTGACTTGTAACCCTTAGGTTACGGATTTTTTTTTAATTTGGCACAATTGTTGTACACATAAAACTGAGATTTTTCCCAAATTTTGGAGACGATACATTAATTATATCAAAAGTTATTAACAATTAAAGAAAAATGATAAAAAATTTTCAAACAGCTATATTTTAAAAACTAATAGATATCGAAGTCGGATTTTTTTCAAAATACTTATAATGCCTTAAAATTTCAAAATAATTACAACAATAAAAAATAAAAAAATTTTTTCGAAAGTTATTAACTTTTTGTTTAAACAATTGCTAATATCTCAAAAAGTATATTTTTTTTTGAAAAATTCTTGCTCCTACGTATTCCTGAGGATTTTTGCTATCGAAATCAATCATAAAATTCAAGGGCCCGACATATCGGAAAGCGTAGCCCTAATCAAAAGAAGACGCCTCGGCGTAAGGCTGCGGTAGCGCTCCAGCGGACTCACGGTCGAAAGGTACTTTAGCTTTAATCTAAAAAACTAATAAAGATACCGAATCGGAGTTTTCCCAAATTACTTATAATACCTTGAACTTTCAAAATAATTACAACAATAAACAATAAAAATTTTTTTTCGAAAGTTATTAACTTTTTGTTTAAACAATTATTGTTGTAATTATTTCGAAATTTTAAGGCATTATAAGTATTTTGAAAAAAATCCGACTTCGATATCTTTATTAGTTTTTAAAATATAGCTGTTTGAAAATTTTTTATCATTTTTCTTTAATTGTTAATAACTTTTGATATAATTAATGTATCGTCTCCAAAATTTGGGAAAAATCTCAGTTTTATGTATACAACAATTGTGCCAAATTAAAAAAAAATCCGTAACCTAAGGGTTACAAGTCAATCGAAATAGCCTAGAATTACCCATCTATAAGTTGAGTGACATCACGCTCCTCATATGGTCGTGAAATTTGACTCTAGTACTAATACAATCATATAATATATGAGGTGACGCCGTTTAATATGCTAATTTATGTAAGTAGATTGACGAGTTTAACGGGTCGCAGTAATCCAGTGAAAATAAGAGAAGAACTCAGATAGGACCGTTACAATAATAAAATAAAAAAGCTCTAGATGGAAGACTTTGAAATCACCTTACAGCCAAAGGGAAATTATTATCTTTTAGCAGTGAATGCATACGTTTCGAAAAGATAAAGAATAATAACTCCATTAATTAAACACAAAATGTACAAACTGCAGCTACTTCATTTCATAATGAGTAATAAAATAAATAATAAAATAAATGTTTTCGACGATATACATCGATAAGTTTAAAGTACGTTTTCTTATTTATTATATGCCATCTGCAACAAATAATCAATTATTATCGTTTTGCACATCTGCACGCTAGATAGTTGCGCGACGGTCTTAAAATACGGCTTGGCAGGAGGAGTGTAAGTCTACGTCGAAGAGACCATTGAAAATGAAAAGCGTGCCGAACTATCGCTGCGGAGCAGATCCACTTTTATTCAGCGCCAATAGAAAAATTAACGATTGCTATACGATACGGTTAATCGTGGACTTCGAGCATATCTAGCAGAGATAGAATATTTATCGAAGCTCGCATAAGCCTACCTCGGGTATACGCGAAGCTGCTGACGGACGAGATAATATAAGTCAACGGCGTGATATCTCTGTGATTCAAGAGTAACTAGCGAGATGGATAATCCACCAAATACTCACAAATGTGGTCGGAAGCTTGAAATACCAAAACAGCACAAAATTTGCGATCATTTACGAAGCTATTGTCTCAATGTTTTGCGAAAGCATCGAAATAATAATTAGAAATACAACGCCGCTTATTATGTCACGCCGTTTGTAGTTTTGGAAATAAGCAGAACAAATTATCTTGGCTATAGAAATTAATGTTAATATATTCTTTCTTTCACATTTATATTGATACCAAAACTTGGATGCTTATTTGGAAAATAATAACTTATTATTTTCATCATTGAAAACTGGCTGCTTTTACCAGTCTGAAGTACTCGATGCGAATTGTCTTTAACGGGCGTTTTATAGCATCAGCAAATTTGAAAACTGCCAAACGTATACGTTTTTATTATTAATAATTTTTTTTTTAACAGGTAGATGACGCTCCAGACTTTTATCATTGTTTCTGACTAGCTGACACAGCAACGTGATTTTTTTCAGTTTTCAAGTCAGTATCTTTCAAAAATAGTTTCTGTTTAGAATACGTAAAGTTGCTGGAGCGTTGGATTCCTCAGCGAGGCTCTAATGATCTCCTTAGCCATAGAATAATCAAATAAAAAAATAAGAAATGAAATATTGCTGTGGCACAATTTACAGATAAAAGATATAAGTAGCTTTACTTTTTTTTGAATCGTTACGGCAATGCAGTTCCACAAATATCATGTAATATGTTTTTCTCGTATACTGCCATTCACATACTATTGCCCCCTTCCTTTTCAAAATTGGTCAAACTGTAAAACTGCGTATCTTTGGTAGAAATTAACATAAAGAGAGTGTGAGGGCGCGTTTGTTAGATCTTTTCGAGAGCTTTCAAACGGATGGGTCACGAATGCAATCAAACGTTTTTCTATTTATTTCAAACGATGATTCTTTGATCGTTCATCCTTTGCCAATTCTCGGAAAAAAAAACGCACGAACATTTAAAGTACAGCATTTTATAGCTGTTTCCAAACCCTACCTAAATCTGATTAAACATTTATTTTTATCAAATATGATGCGCGTACCAGCATTTTTCCCGAAAATTGAAACTTGCATTCAACTTTTCATACATCTCCGTAAATATTAATGACAGAAAATAATGTATAGGAAAGAAAATTTTTGTATTTTAGGTAAAATACGGTCGAATTTTTTCAGATTGTTTTTCGTTAGCTTTTGGAAAGAGCCAACAAACGCGTCCCCGCTCGTCTCTATACGTTAATTTCTACTAGATACACAATTTTACAATTTGTTACGAACAGTTGGTTACAAATAAAATACAAACTGACTGAGCACATTATCTCTATATAACAATCTCACGCGACGTTTTGTAATTTCACGTTCAATCGGTTTTGATTATTGCAATGTGAAAGGAAATGAAAGTGGGCCAGAAGTCACGTTTGATTTTGCTCGTGGGGGCGCAAAAGTACGTGACTGGTAGTATAAATTAATTTTGATTAATAAATAATAGTTAAATAAATAATATAAATAATATAATCAAAAATGTTATTCTATCAAAATAAAAAAGATAGACATTTAAGAAATATTAGTTCGTTCTAGTAATTGTCTTATCACAATTTTTTATTTAACAAAGCCTTTGGTCATTCTACATTTTCAAATAACAAAGTATCGTTTGTCGTAAATGTTTATATTATAAATACTCTTCACATTAGTCGCAGTTTGATTTTATAAAAAAAAGGTTGTTCATTCACTTTTATACACAACTCATGTCTTTCTCATATACATAACATGCTAAATGTAGAACTATATATTAATGTATAATTATAATCAAATATTAATAACAAAATCATTTCATTATCAAAAAAACGCTTAGAATATATATTTATAAATACTATAATGCTTGTCAATGAAACTTGTCATTTGCGTATCTAAAATACTAATATTATCACTAAAGATTTCCATTTTTTATTGTACAGAATAATTCTCCAAATCTTTAAAAAGTTAATTTACACAATCAAATTTGAAATTGTTATTCATATAAATGTCTATAAAAAGATTGTTTCAAGTTCAGTGTGTTTAGAAATAAATTAAATTAAAAATAATAAGAAGAAATTTTTTACAGCAATAACTGATTTTCGCTAATACTCAAATAATGAATTTCTTATTTAACTAAGTATCTTAAAACTATTAAATCACGATATTGTCATTAAAAACTGTATTCTTTGATTGTACGCTACAAAATCGATTCTAAGTGCAAAAAAGTATATTAATTATGTAACAGTTCATCATAATAATAAGAATATTCTTAAAGATATTTTTACATAAAAGCAAACCTAGTATACTAGAGATGAAAATATTTAATTCGGATTTTAAAACATCAGTATTACCATATGATTGAACATGATGTTGAATCTCATCTAAGAGATTATTTAAACAGTAAAAGATTTGTTTGTATGTGACATTGAATCATATAAGAACTGAGTCAAACAAAAAAAATACTTATTTTGCACTTAAAAAATCTAAATGATAGAGTAATAAGAAGTATGATCCATTTTTAAACAATTTGTGAATCGCGTTTTGGAATAAATTCTTGGATTTGTTCGGTATTGGTAACATCATGCGTTTTTGATCTTACATTTTGTACTGGATTCTGGGAGTACAGTATGACTGCATAGCTAACTATAGTAATTGCAATAGCAGTATTCAAATAAATTGGAATTCCAAAAAATAACCAACAAAATAAGGCAGTAAAAACAAGTTCTAAGGCACTGGCAAAAGTCTTGACAATTGAATTTAAATTTTTCAAGAAAAAACTTGTAATAACGCCTATTGCTGCATTGTTAAACATTATCAAGAGAACTTTAGGATCCATAAATATATGAGACCCTGAATTGTTGAAAGCTTCCAAAAAATTACCTTGTATAAACAGTACAGCAATGTTGCATAATATACTATCTAGGTACATAAAAACATTTTGTACAAAGATATTTACATTAGCACCTTCTCCTTTCAACAGGTACTCATTATAAACACCTGCTAGGCAAGAACAAATTGTCTGAAATAAAAAATAAATAGTTTGAGAATGATTTTATAACTACATTTAGCAGAATATAAGACAATTGTTTTTATTCAAACCTGAATGAAAATAAATACTATGTTAATATTCAACTGAAAATTGCTTTTTATTAGTGAATTCTCATAGTCCAGATTCAGATGTTTTATCATACATCCTAAAGTTAATAATACTAATGATAGCCATTGCTTGGTTGACAATTTTTGTTTAAATACAAGCTGAAATAAATAACAAATATTAGGAAGATACAACTTTGTAAATAATTTCATTAAATAAAAGAACAATACTTGAAATATAATTCCAGTGACAACAACTCGTAGTTGCAGAAGCAGGAAGTACGTAGGAGGATCAAATGCAGCAAGATTCACAAATGATAAATTGTTATATAGACAGTAGAGAGAGGATGGAACCATATACAGTAATAGCACTGCAAGTCAAAATATGAATGTATAATTTGATAATTTTTTTCAAATTAAATAAAGTGTAGAACCTATAGAAAAACTTACCCCTTTTATGCTTGAAAACTTCATTCGCTAAGCTTGCCAAACTATTTCTAAAACATAAGAGTTTATTGCAATTTTTATAAAGAAAAAATAAAAAATTTAATCTTATTTGCAACTCACTCTTTGCAGTACAAAACAGCTGAAATAACTAATTTAAGGACTTCAGTCATAAGAACAACAATGACAATGTTGTAATCATATTCTCCTTTATTCTGAGACCATGTTATAATAATTCCTAAAAATGACATACAATCAAAATACTAATGCAAAAACACGCATTAGATAAGATTTTTATCAGATATTTAGTAAAGTTATTAAATATTTAAAGGCAATCATTGAAAATTCATTTGATTTTTTAGACAAGATTTTCACCAATCAGTATTATTTTAAAACATTGCAATTATTGTTAAGAATTATATATATTATTATAAAAAGCTTTCTACTATATTCTGACTAAATTCAATAATTATAAACGAATACGCTCAATATAATCTAAGTAAAATAAATTAAATACGCAATAAATGATCAAGAACGCTTGTAAGCTACAAACATTAAATGAATCGTTTTGAAAGTCGATGATGACATTTGAATAATCAAAGCAACGAGTATTTTGATGTCATACATCGAGAAATATTGCGTGATCTAACCTATCAAGCCTTACCTTGATTGACAAACAACGCAATGTAAAGGATGAATATAATGGCACTCAATTTAGTTGGAAAGAGCTCCGACCAATTAATCGTGCTCATGATTTTTCAATTTTTTTCCTATTCTCCTAATACCATTTTTTCACCGCATCCCAACATGAATAACAGCAATGACGCGAGACATCGTACAAAAGACTGCCGATTTGCAAATTGGCAGCCTAGTTTAGATAGGCCCCGGTCACATATATATCCATACGCTTGCGTACGAATACGGACGAATCACACGATTCAAGTGTAATCACTAGAAATTCGTAGTTCTAGTTACTAATACCAACAGTCGCAACAGATGATTAAATGTCGCTAACTATGAGTAAACAAAATACAGTTTGTTTATGCTATAGCATAAAAGCAGCAAGATACGAGATAACTTCTTGTTTAACGTCGACGCGATTGTTGTTTTTTAATAATTGTGCTATTGTGGTGCTATTAAGTAGGTAAGAAACATGCAATATAAATAATAATTATGTTAACGGTAAAATAATTTTGAGGTTAACAAACTGTATTTTGTTTACTCATAGTTAGCGACATTTAATCATCTGTTACAACTGTTGGTATTAGTAACTAGAACTACGAATTTCTAGTGCTTGCACTGGAATCGTGTGATTCGTCCGCATTCGTACGCAAGCGTACGTATGTAGTGGGGGTCATAGCGTTTATCTCTTATCTCGAAAAAAATGTACTATCCTTTGGAAAATCGTAGCTGCTTCAGTTCATAGGCTCGAAAAACTCTTTCCAGTTTCATTCGTTCCGACTATCTATGTTTCTATACATTGAAATAATAGCATTTTCCTACTGCTACCATAAATTTTTCTTTCGATGATTTTGCATTTTTCTGTAATAATCGAAATAATTTTATAAATATAATTTTTATATATAAATTAAAAATTGTATATACATTTTATAGCAAAATGTAAAAAACAAAGCAATAGAAAAAAATATTAAGCGAGTCATAACATTTTTTGACTGTTTATATTATGGTATGAAGCTATTTTTCAATAAATCCTAGTATATCATCTGGCAATTAGAGATTTACTCCTTGTATATTATTTATTAACTGATATTTAATTAATAGGTTTTTTCTGGATTACAATAATAAAAATACAATAATAATAATGATAGTAATATTTTTTTATTTTAGAATTATAAAAATAAAAACGTATATATATTTAATAAGGCACTGTTACCGTAACATAAATAACGGCATTTAGAGATTCGTTGACAATTATAAAGTTGTGCAGTAATCGATATGTACTATCTCCTACTATATTTGTGTTTTTAAATCTAATACCCTTTTCGAACTTTTAAGGTACCTCATTCACTACTATAGCGTGAAAGGTAGTTTTATTTCTTACTTTTTGTACCTAATTGTGATATGTTACGTTTAAAAACGAGCATAAAAAGTACATAGATGGCAAATTTTGCATTATCTTATATGACCTCACTACAAGAAACAACATAAAGAATACATTAACAGGAATGGGCGTTAGAATTATCTCGTGAAGTACTGTATACTCGAGTCATATTATTGTACATGGTTTGATTTTATACTAAAAAAATAGCTTCTCATTGCAGATTACAAACAACATTCCAAAATGGCTGTAGTATTTTACAACTTAAAGCTTATAATGTAGGACTTATACATTAAATTATATACACTATGTACATGTTTATTACAATGTGTTTTATCTTGTTGCTGTCTTATTCTTATTTTTTTTGCCTTTTTTCCTTTATAAGTCCTACGCTTTATCCACTGGATTAGTACTAATTTTTCTATAGAGATGATTATTTCAATTTGTTTGTAACAAAAACTCTTATTTTCTAAAGATAAAGTTATTTTATATGAAATGTACAAATTTTTAACAAGATTCATTTTCACAAATACTTATTTATGGAATTAGTACGAAATATTCGTGGATGCAATAGCAAAACACGAATTTTATATGGGACGGAATCATAATCGTAAATCACAAAGCGATGTACTATAAGTCTAGTAGATTCACAATCTTCGCGCATAACTAAAGCGTTAGCGTTTTTTGGCTCATTTGTTTCATATTAAAAAATTATTTTACTTGTAGATTTATCAATTACGAATATATTCTTTAACTTCCGCAAGAGAAATTTTCTCACAACGATGAGTAAAGTTATCGTGATTTGTTTCAATCGCGGTCCTCAAACAATTTAATAAATGCAAGTAAAAATACAAACAAAAGTTAAAATTGAATAACTGTAGACCGAGGCAGAATTGCTGTAGTCACCATAGTGGAATACTTGGATATAATTTTCACTTCTTATCCATGGATTAGAACCATCATCGAAATGCATGGGGCATTGATCACGTTCTCTCTCGTATTCCTAAAATGTATATCTTAATTAATTTTGTCTTATTAAAAACTAAAATTTATTTATGCCTAGCTTGAAGAACTTACCACCAAGTCGAGAGCGACTGCAGCACCCTCAGTATAATTCCAACTTGTTACATCTTGCTTTACATCACAATATGGACCAATAGCTTGCGACATTAAAACTCTATTTAAGTCTGCTCTTTGATAAACCCAGCAATGGTATTTACTGTAAGGGTCTAATTCATCAAAAGTTATCAAGTATGATTTTAGATTCTCTTTGTAATATCCGATGCATTTCATTTTGTAATCAGGCCAACCTATAAAATAGAGAGTTATTTAGAACATTTATAAACAATGAACATTCAAATTACGAAGAGATGTACGCACTGTAAATATCTACTGGACGTCCCAGATGATCGACGGACAGACAGTAAGTTTCGTCAATAGCGATTTCTTTTTGATCTGTATCACATACCGAAAAGTCAGAAATATTTTTTTTACAGTAAATATTTGGTCGAGGCGTGTCTGTGACACCACCAAGAATTCTAGTTTCAAAAAGAACGTCTCCTTTTTGCTGGAAACTAAATTTACCAGCAACTGGACATCGCACAGGTACCGGATCTTTTGCTGAAACAGAATAAAGTACAGAAATTAATTACGAGCATTATTTTTAAATGAATTTAGGAGCAAATTGAAAATTATGTACTAACCCAAAAACAGATCATATTTCCAGTCTACTTTATTCTGGAATTGTACCCAAGAACAAACTGTATGAAATTTGTCTTTAATAACAGCTAATCCTTTTCGGTATCTAATAATATTATGATGTTGAGGTACGAAATCGAAGCAAACGTAATCTTTTTGACTGAATTAAAAAATTTAATTTGAATATGTATATTAAGAAAGCTAATTATTCCCACAAAATAAAATAAATTTATAATCCTACCATCCATCTACAGTCAATCTTGCCATCATAACTCTCGTATCTCTTTGTTCACGACAAACGTAAATGGTTCTTCGGTAACGACCAACGTCGGGGTAATACGTTTCGACAATATGAGTTTCATTTATAAAGACATCGGCGTCAATGTTAGCAGTATTGATCCAATTTCCCGTCATATTTCGAGGTAATCGACAACCGGGTTCTACAACTTCGGCTTTGACTGGCGTCACACGAAGACGCTCTGGACTTTTTTCTACAGTTTTCAAAGTATTACACTCAGCTGTTATTGACACACCAATATATAAATCGTCATCTCGATTTTTTAAAAAACAGCGATACTTTTCGTCTTTTCGAGATTCTTTAGTATTTGCTACAGCAAAGAAGTGATTTTTATCAACAAACCAATCTCCCAAACAGCTGTATTCAACCACTGCAAAGTAAAATATTTTTTATTAGTGACTAACTAAATGTTAGCTGACAATATTATCCACGATGGCTTAGTAGATAGAACACAGAACTCCCATCCAGGAGACCTAGATTTGATTTCTGGTGAGTGTCAATGGCTTTTTTCAAGAAAGTGTAAATGCCAAAATTAATATCACAACTCTGGTACTTCCAAACTCACTTTAAGCTGTAGATCCAATAACCTGAGACAATTAGTGTTCATAGGAAGGTTTACCCATGAACTTAGTGGATGTGAATAATGATTGGTTTGTAACGTGGTAGTTCGATGTATCTCGATGGAAGAGTATCGAAAACGATAAAGGGTATTAAAAGAGGGAGGGGGAATACCTTGTACACTACAGTGTTAAGTGAAGTACCCTTAAAACTTGATTTTCTCAGTATAGGAAGTAAAAATAACTAGAAATTATAAGAATTTATTTTACCTCCATCAAAAGTTCCTTTCATTCCTGAACATTGTTTGTATGTGATATTAAATTTCTGATTAGTAATGAAGAATTGAGAACCAGCTGTTTGACACGAACGAATTTGTGCATCTGGGTTGTTGCATTCACCAGTGAATCTAAATCGGTTCTATAATATATAATATACTATATGATATTGTTTCATTTAAATAGTCATAATGAGAGAAATAATATAAACCTGATAAGCGAATTGCCAAACACCTTCAAGAGATGATCTACAATTAACAGGTACAAAATTTTCAGAAAACAGTGTGATCAACTGCTGATCTGCACGTAATCCAGTACATACATTTTCCACAGTTGGTAGCATTCCTGGTGCTAGATTAACACAGCTGGCTATAACATAAAGTTACAAATGAATAATTATATCAATGAGAAATATTAAACTTAAATATAAAAGATAATGATCATACTTTCAAGTTTTTCTAAAACATTAACAGTCCGCACCAACAACTTAACACAACTATAACAAGTTGAAGATCTGAAGACAAATGTGTAATTCACGTGATAATCTTCTTTAACGTCCATACAAACGCCTCTGTTGGACATTGACGTAGCATCCATTTCTGTTAAAGTATTTTGTCCATTTTCCCAAGAAAACCACGCTCCACGAATGATGAACGGAATGGAGCATGATCTTTTCTCTTGTCCAATGACGACCACTGGAAATATATAGAGAAAAATTGGATTTCAGAAACAAAAAGGTCATCTAATGACAACCGACGATAAATTATATAGACTGTCTACGGGTCGAGCATTTCGCGCGTGAAAAGAAAGGAAGAAAGGGCGAAATGAATCTTATAATGAAAACTAATAACCTCAATAGGTCAATAATTTTGATACTCAACACACACCACGAATGGAAAGGAGCTGGCTCTAATTAAACAACTAAAAAGTTCTTAAACTGCTCACACTCCAGACTGATTTTAAATTTATGAATAATGCATCTAAATATCTATAAATAATCTAAATATCTATAAAATTTGAAAATAACTTACCTGCGAAGCAAATAAAACTCGCGAAGACTAAAAACTGTTTCGTTGGCGAGTTCATTTTCCCCTGTTAATTAAAGAAGATAGGACGCTTTATTATACGCACACCTCTGCAAAAAGAAAAGACAGAAAAGTAGAATTGCTTTTTAGTACAAATTGAAGACGAAGGGTTGGTAATAAAGGAGTGCGCAAAGATAGCAGAAAGCTACGAAAAAGTACATTATCTAACTAGTGCGAGAAAGTAGATTCTTGCCTTGTGCGAGGTTCACACCCGGGCAAAGCAAGGGTGAAAAATTACACGAGGCTAGAACCACTTTCTCAAACATATTAGAAATTTTTTTTTTCAACAGTGGAAAGTGCGACTTTAAACGCACGTTTTTTCCCGAACGTGTGGTAAAGTCGTGCTTTCTGCACGGTGTGTCGTTTATTCTTTTTTCCATTCATGCATTGAGATTGTTGATGCAGATGCAGCTCTATAAAAAAATGGCTGATCGCGAAACGCCCAAGATGGCAAACACGGTACTTCCGCTACTAGCCTGATAAACTACCAGAGATTAGGATGTCTACCTCCTAATCTCTGGTACTACTCTCCCTTCCTAACGGCGCACTCGCGTGTGCTTTAGTTTTTGAAAATACAACAGACGCCCCTGCGGAACATGCATTGACAATCATAAAGTCATTAATTGGTTTCACTTAAAATTCAATCATATACCTTTAATACTTTATAAATGTACGTGAAATAATTTTGTGATTTAACAATCATCGATCCAGTCATTGATGCATGGAATATTTAGGAATCATAATAAATAATTTCGTGATCAAAATTTAATGTTAAATTACGCTTTCATTATGTATTTTAATAATAATAGTGACCAACTAGAAACCCAGTAGCAACCTTATATGGTTGTTACATATTTCGTCAAGGGCGTTGTTTCGCAATGACCTTAACAAAACACTCGATGAGCTCGACGAAAAATTATGTGGTAATTTTTTAATGACCACATTACAATAGGGAATATTGTAGAAAATCGATCTCGATCGATCGCTATAAGTACAGTGTAGTGTGTACTGGAGAACACCTTCGTTTAGGACACACGCGCGAGCAACGTTGATAATTACCGAAAGGCGTTGGTCTTGGGTTACGTGTGCGACAACGCCTACTACGTCCTACGTCTACAGCTCGCAGGATGACTGACAAAGTGACAAGTGCCGCCTGCGTTAGTGCGTTATCCTGGTGCCAGCACTATGGAAATGGAATGTTAAACTAAATCATTCAGACGAACACCACAGCTGCCCTGATGGCGCTACTATCCGTCCGTGGCCTGTACTCCGCGTTATCATTTTGTAGTCAATCAGTCGGTAAGTCAGTTTGACAAAAGTTCACACCCAGATAACCCCAGATAACAGCACAATAAAAATAATAGTTTTGGCTTTTAAATTTCATAATAAATACGTACGGTGCTAAAATTTTGTTAAACATGGCTAGTTTTATTAAGGAAGGCAATAAAGTTGTTATTTTACTGGCACCTGGTGAGAATGAAAGTAATGCAAACAGTTTTGTAGAGGAAATCAAGAAAATTGCCGGTGAAACTTTATTGACAGACGCAGTTAACCTACAAAACAGTGAGCTTATGATTTCGAATTATAGCATAATTTACATCCATCATGCTTACATTGCAGAAAATCTTTATGAAAATATAAATTTATGTAGAACTTATTTTACTTTCAGAAAAGTATGAATCATCGTCAGTCGATGTAATTCTATCAGGATTCACAACTGCATTTATTCAAAACGATAGTATTCTGAAAGAATTTCTCAAAATTTTGAAACCAAAAGGTATTTTAGTTATTCGTGAACCTGTAAAAGATAAGCAATTGGATTTTAGTGATCAAATCGCCAAATTAAAGTTAGGAGGATTTTTATTGAATAGTCAACCTAAACTGGTCATTTTAAATGATAACAATGACAAACCAACTTGTGAAATTATTGCAGAAAAACCACCTTATGAAGTGAGTTAGATCTTATAGGAAACTATTATAAATATAGCATTAAATTAAACAATTTTCAATTTAACAGGTTGGTTCTAGTGTAAAATTATCTTTTGTAAAACCAGCCACAAATGTTTGGAAGTTAGATGATGAAGATGAAGAATTGATAGATGAGGACAATCTTCTCGATGATGATGACATTTTGAAACCTCAAGCAGCTTCATTGAAAGGTAATTGTAATTACAAACTCTTAAATAATAATTTTATTGTAAATAGAAATAAGATTTTTGAATATTAGGTTATTGATTGAGTTTATATTGATAATATGTTTTTTACAAAAAAATTTATGAAAACCGTTTTATTTCAGTCTGTGGAACTACTGGGAAACGAAAAGCTTGCAAAGACTGTTCTTGTGGATTAGCAGAAGAGTTGAGAGGTGAAGCTGCAACTAAGGAACAACCTAAGTCATCATGTGGCAGTGTATGTATATTTTTATGATTCTTTATTTTTCTATATATTTTTCTAAATATTTTTTAGTTGAATATGAATTTTGAATTAATGAAATTTAGGAATGATATTTGCTGCTCAAAGTTTGATAAAAACTGTTGAATAGAAATACGTGATTTAGATTAAAATTTTTACAAGCTCTTTATAAATTTTTTGCTTTACTTATTTGACTTTGTGTATTCAATAAATTTCTATACAAAGAAAACTATTTTTTTCAGTGTTATTTAGGAGATGCATTCCGTTGTGCTAGTTGCCCATACCTAGGAATGCCAGCTTTCAAACCAGGAGAAAAAATTGTACTTCCAGACAGTCAATTAGCAGCAGATTCGTAATCAACTTCATCTTTTGTAAATAGATTTTATATAATTTAATTATATTATTGTTATCAAACGAGTGTCCTCAATATCTGTTGTTTTAAGATAAAACTTTGAGAAAAGAACCAAGAATAAAATATAATAATGATTTAATGGTATTTCAAAATGAATAAAAAGTAATATTAAATGTACAAGATAAAGTATATTTTGATTAATTATTGTTATACGTTTATAATAATGATAATGTTTTTAACATTTTGATTTGAAAATTAATCAGTTATTAACCGTCTTTACGTAATAAATACAAAAATTAATAAAAAATATTAGAAGTTATCACTTTTGGCATAAACATTTATTCAAAACAATAAGACTAGTACTACTTGTTGAATCTTAAAACGCATTTTTAAAATTTCAAGCGGAGACATAATCCGGAAAAAAGGAGAAAACGTTTTAGCTCATGAAAACTCAAAAATATGATTAAAAAATTTTTTTGGGCGTCAGAGTCACAAGTCTAAGGTTCTCTCCAGATAAGATCCGAGGGTTAGAAAAGAAAACCGCGCGGTATTTTGCCATAGTCCGCTGTTTCGCTCTATTCCAATTCTGTACTAACAATAGTTAAAAGCAGATATTAATCTCTGTTAAAAGCAATCTGGCAATAACGTTGTTGGGGTCGGAACTTGTAAACACAGTTGATTAGAAGACAAAATATATATAAATGAAAATAATGTTGATCTATAAAACTACACAAAAAAGCAATAACAATGAAAAAAGTTAATTTAGTAAATTAACTAGTTACTTTCTTTTAATCAACTGTGTTTACATGTTCCGACCCCAACATATCACAATGCTATTGCCATTGCTTTTAGCTATTTTTAGTACAGAATTGAAACAGAGCGAAATAGCGGACTGTGGCAAAATACCGCGCGGTTTTCTGACCCTCGGATCTTATCTGGAGAGAGCCTAAAGCTTTCAAATGTTATTGGGTATATGGTCATATAAATAATTGAAATATTTATTTGCAACAATGGATTGCAGACAAGTTGTAGAATGACTAAAACAAGCAAATTGGACAGAGCAGTACGGTATACGGTATACGGGTTTTCATTTAGTTTTAAATAATATTACTGAGATAATTATTTTTTTTATATAAATTTTATTATTCATTTTTTGTTGCACAGTGATTACTTCAAAACATAATAATCAAGATGCCATAAGTTATTGGTACAAATTTACTTGGTTTCTTTCAATTTTGATCCAAAACGTGAAATTGAAACAATTCAATTAATTTTCAATTAACATAATAATGGCTCCGTTTGGGATTCGATCTATGCGAGCAAGTAGAAGAAAATATTTAAAGCAAATAAAAAACAATATTTATTAAATTATAAATTTTTCCTGATATTCATTGCTTTAACCAAAAGTAGTGTGAAAATTTCAAATTGAAATATCTACACAACCGATGTTATAATTGTACTGCGATTATTTTTATCAAGCGATTAATTATAATCGATTGATTATAATCGATCAATTCGACTAATCGGGAATCCATATGGTGAATTATGATGAGAATAAGCAACATGGATCAAGGTCTGTATTTTTTTTTATAATGATTCTAGAATCATTATCCAAAAAATACTAAGAAATATATCGTATTCTTCCAGGACAATTGGCCGAATTTTTAAGCTCATGGTGAAACCTCAAAAATGGCAAATTTCCATTGATGATATCTTGATGAAAAAAATGATATCTTAAATTTGAAAAATGGGTTTTGAAGGGTAAGAGTGCTTCTTTAAGATACCGTCAACCGTTTTTGAAAAGAATATAAACTCACGATGTAATCAAGCCTTGAATATGGCCAAAAAACGTGTTTTTTCGACCTTTAGGGGACGATTACTCAAAAACCTGACGTGATGGAGAAATTCTGATGACGGATTCGAATTCTACGCCAAAAATTACTTCGGAAATGACCCTCAGTTGCAAAAGAACAAAACCTTGCAGGCCTGTGTAATGTTGTACGATACTTGTAACTTAAGTATCCCATTATTGCACGTCGTAATTGTCGCTCTTGTACGACAAAGCTTTTATTGTTAATTGAGATTTTATTGAGCTCATTAATACGAATTTCTTGTAATAAGAACATTATTCTCATTATTGAATTAATGTAATTAATTTTAGGTAAAAATTGTGAAGGCAATGAATATGCACTGAGTCAAAAGAATGCTGTTTATGGGAGAGAAACCAAAAAATCATAAACAAGCAACCATGCATGAGACAATAATAGAAAAAGTAAATATACTTTACAGTTTTCCAGGAATCTAGAGAAGAATTGCAAAAGAGAAAGAAAGAAACAAAGAAAACCATTATCCCATGCTCTTTAAAGGAATAAGTGTCAGATGATTATTTTCCTGCAGAGGTAGATGTACCAAACAGAGCACCATGGAATTTCAGTACAATTAAAGAACTAAAAATTTGAGAAAACAAATGTTTCACTGTAAGTCATTTACAAAACTATTGTCAATGATATTACAAATATCTGACTTAAAATATTTTTTCATTGTAAGAATATTTAAAAATTTTGGAAAGCTTAGTAAATATAAGATTCAGAAATATGATATCAGTTGTGAAGAATTCTAGAAATGCCAAACTTATTAATAATTATTGATATTTCTGATATTCAGATATACGACTTAGACAAAGAGATAATTTTAATTCTAAACAAAGTCGATTTAGTCTTAACAGCACTGGTTATTAAATGGTAAGAATATTTCAAAACAAAATACCCAAAACTCTATATTTTGATACTTATATCATTTTCTATTTACAACTTGAGAGGAAATACAAATAAAACTGAAGGTTTGAAGTCAAAATGCAAGAGAAAATTGAAAATGACTATAGAAAGAGTTAAAAAAAATTATGAGACCTGTAGAAAGATAGTTGCAGATGAGGTTGACTTAACTTTATAGCATGAAAAAAGGAGAATATGCATTCGAAGTATGATTTTAATGATGTGTATAAAAAGGATAATATTGTGATAAAAGAAAGACACAATTTAAATTTACATGTGAAATTCAAACATGTAAATAAAATTGAAAAGACCAATTTATTATAAAAATATAAAAAGAATTGAGTTTAACTATTGGCTGTGTCGGAACTCTGATCGTTGGAAAATCTTCATTAATTAATACTTTGATGGGTAAAATTAGAATTTTATGTGTAACATAATTAAAAATATTGACAAATATTTTTATTTTGCAGGTAAAACAATTGTTAGTATTTCCAGAACTCTGAACACACAAAACACTTCCAAACAATCTTTTCAACTAGGAATATATGGTTGTGCGACTATCCTGGATTTATGTTCTCTTTAACTGTACCCAAACAATTCCAAATTCTTATGAAATTCTATCCAATATCCCTATTTAGGGAAACTTACATAAAAATCGAATTTTATGCACAACGGGTGAACTTGCAAAATTTGTGAAAATTTTAACACCATAATATCAATGATTATTGGTCAGTAAAGGATATATGCAACAGTTGGGCTGCCAAGAAAAATGTTCACATGGCAAAAATAGTCAGATTGAATACCAACAGAGTTACGAACCGCTTATTCAGAATGATATTAGTTCGGAAAATTTGTATTTTCGCATATCCTCCGAAATGATCTATCATCGAAAAAGGTAATTAGTCGCATTTTATATAGTTACACTCAATTACATTATTTTATTTGAATAATGTGACATTGTTTTCAGACCGATGGAAAAGTCATTTCAACAGAAACTGTCAAGTGGATCCATACAAAAAATCACGAAAAACTTCGGTGTTATCGAGCTATTGTCGGAGATGGAAGATTCGTTTAACGACAAGCCTCTGTCCACAATAAAAAATAAGCTTGAACTTTTGTCGAACGTATTATAACTCGTTTTTTATTATTATGCTTTCGTATCCTAGCTAAAATATTTTTTTATCAACAATATTACACATCAAATTATTTTATCTACATACTTTTCATAATATATACTGGTATTTTGTAAGATGTGCATTATACACGTTTGCTACGTTTACCCATCAATAATGATCTGAGAACTTTATTTTTGAAAAGAAAAAAGAGCCGCTAGTGTTTCATAAATTATAAATAAAGGCGGAGATTATATGAGAAGAGAGAAAGCGCGAAAGGAAGGGAGGGGGAGACGCGAAAGCTGGCCATTAAATAATTCGCGCGGGCATTATTAGCGCGGGTTGTCCATCCAGCACGGATAATCAATAGCATTGACTGAAACCGCTGGCCAACGGCGCGCCCGATTTATCAAACATAAGCTTGCCTTCCCACGGGAATGATGCATTTCGCAGAATATAACTTAGCATTTATTTCCAATTCTGAACGGTTTTGCTTCCGCTCGAAATGTTCTTTAAATTTTTTTATGAAACACCCCATCGAGTTTGTCCTCGGTCATTGTGCGTCGTCGTCTAGAGTTTTCTGTAATTTTCGCCGTTTAATAATGCAAAAGTTTGTCTATTGCGTACTATAAAATTTCATTGCCTCGCAATTTGCGTATTTCACGTGAAATTTAATAAAAGCGCAAAAATACTTGGGTTGACTTTATTGCGAGACCTCTGTAATATTACCGTTCACTTATACGCTCGCAAGCCTTCATAGTGCGAGTTTCGCCAGTACATCCGCAGGGCAAACTTCATGATGTCGCATATTTTCTTAGTTTGTCAAATTTCAACGCAACTAATGCTACTGGCAAGCACAATTGTCACAAAGTTGCCTGACCGTAGCACCGACTTTTCTACTGGAAATCATGTTGAGCGTACAATATACGTTGTTGCGTAGAAGTCTATTCAATCGTTTAGTTGTGTAAAGCTTCAGTCGAATAAACACACGTTTATTTTGGTCAATATCGCCGCGTTACCTGTCAATTTTATTTTGAAAGTCGAAGCGACAGGCGAGAAAAGTCGCCAAGTCGCTTGTGGCAGAGACAAAGAGCGAGAAAGAGAGCGAGCTTGATTTCCCTCTGTTCTCTCGAGTGCGTCGGCTTGCGGCTGTGTGGGCGATGAAAGCCGAGACTCTCCCTCTTTCTCTCTCTCTCTCTCTCTCTCTCTCTGTCTCTCTCACGACCAGAGCCGTTGCGCTACTTCCCTGGCTTCTAACCTTCTGTAACTCGAATCTGGTTGGATGGCCATGATACGCGTAGTGCTGATATTTCGGATACTCGCCGAGGGCATGAAAGGGACACCCGCGCCAACTGTTCCTTTGCCGTGCGCCCGGAGCGTTCTTTGTTAACGAGCTGCCTGGATTACGAACACGAAACGCCTTTCATTTTCTTTTTATCTGGAAGCTTCGATTGGTTGATCAAATTGAGATACGAGTGCGACGTCGCGTTGAAACCTTTCGCCAAAAAAGTGCCATAGAGTGGTGAAGCAAGCGAGTGTAAATGATTTATAAGCAGAAAAGCGAAACGTGTCTGCTCTCAGCTTTGGCCAAATTAAATGGCACTTGCCGATGTATTTGTTTGTTTTCCAGCGAAGCGCTAAAAAAAACGAGAAAGAGAGAGAGAGAAAAAAATGATCGGCTCGAGCAAACAACGCGCAGACAGATCGCCGCTGTATTTTACCAAGATCGAAGTTTGAAAGCAAGGCATGAGTTAAAACGGCTACGCTCGTACGCGGCCATATTCCTGTCGATATTTGTACTCGCCGTCACATCCGTTTTCACTGGGCTATTTTATAAATTGAAAAGCTGTTTGTATATATGTGTACGAACATCAGTCGGCAACGAAAGAGTGTGTGTGTGAGGGAGAGAGAGAGAGAGAGAGAGAGAAAAAGAGCAGTCCAAGAGTAAAAGGCAAACTCGAACCGGCGAAGCAAGGGAAACAAAAAAGAAAGCAAAGCAATTGGCATGAAAATCCGGATGAGAAAGCCGGCGGAGAGAACGGTTGAATGGGCCGTCATTGAACGTCATCCCCGGTGCGAGTGGTTGCGTATCGATCTGGAGGCACAAAAGGGGTAGGCGGCACGCCGCGCGATGAGTGCCGAGCGAAGCGTCTTCGTTCGGCGACGGGTGTGCGCTCGCGCGACTAATGCAATTAGCCTAATTGGCCGAGGCGCTGGCATTAGTATTAAGTGCTAGTCTGATGGCTCGCAGATGGGAGGAGGCGGAGGCTTCGCTTCTCTTCGGCAGCGCTCGCGAGCTGCACGCGAGCCAGAACGCGCGCTCGAAAGTGTTGGCTGCCGCGGCTTTCGGCAGGGAGGGAGCGCGAAAAAAAGCATTGCTTGGCGCCAATGGCCGCGCCGATAACGGCGTCGCGGAAGACACGACTCTCGCTATCTCTGCGCGCTCTCTGCGCGTAGGAGGGCTGGCTGCTGCTGCCAGCCGCGATGCCCCGCTTCCGACTCCTCCGTGCTCACTGATATCGCCTGCCGCCGCCAAGAATCACCCTCTCGCTTTACGCCCCTCCCCGAGGCTAATTGCACCCCCGTATCTTTCTCCGTTACTGCTCTCCTGCCCTCCCCCCGCGCAGACCTGTGCAGGCGCTTACAGTTGTGCCACGTGTGCCGTGATTGTGGAGTGGCGCACGCGTGCGCCAGGGAAATTTACTGGCTTCGCCTCCGAGCGGCAGCTTCAACGATCGAGCTGGAGCCGCTCTGGGCCGGGATTCCGCTTTGACCGCCGACAATTGTGACTGTAGGAGTCAAAAACAACGACGGCTTTCAGTTTCAAATCGCGGAATTTTCAAAGGTAAAACAAATATAAGAGATGCATTACGAAAATGGATGTATTATTGTCGTTGAAAGACTGAATATATTGGCAATTTCAAATATACCTGAAAACTGATATAATCGAGTTGTAGGTTACTAATGCACTGAGCGCGATTTGCAATGGATAACTCAATTGAGGAATAATATTAAAAAAGGCGGACGTCGGTGGTAAATCATTGATGTCACTGAATCTTGAAAAACTTGTAGAAATTGTTGCAGGTTCTGAAAATAAATTAGAAGACTCGACGAAACGGGTGGAGCAGACGCGAGGTGTACGAGTGCGCGGGATGACGCCAACTTGACGTAAGAACGTGCCGAGTCATGAGTTAATAATTTAGGCCACTCAAATGGGACACACGTTTAATTGGATTTGTCGGTAGACACATCGCTCGATTGCAATGCACAAGAAGTCGCACAACGACATTGCCACGCTGTGCGCAACGGATCGCACGATTCATCGACAGCTATCGATATCAGCGGGCACGTCTATGACTTGTAGCCGCTACGTCGTTACGTCTCGGCGGGAGGGCATCCGTTCGCTTCGATTTGTGATATTCGTCGTGCCGAGCGACGTACTTCCGCTGCATGCAGTATAGGCTCGCACGCCGACACGAGCAAAGCGCGTTGGCGCCCGATCAGGTGATACGGAAGGCCAGCGCCGGGATAATTAGAGCGAGCCCGAGAGCGAGGCGCGGCAGTCTGCTGCGGTGGAGGCCACTCGTCGAGGGCTGAGGCGAGCATTGAGCGCGACTCATCAGCTTGATGGCTTTTACTTAAGGCCGACGCCTCCGAGTGCGAGAGCTGCTGGGCCGTAATCGAGGAGCGCAGCCGACAACCCCCTCGACGCCTTATGCATATTGATTATAGACTGGAGTAGTTGGCGCGGGGGCGCTTACGGCGTGACGTGCGCAGCATCGCTGTCGACGCCAAAGCACTCGATTAATTATTAATAGCTCAAGTTTGTCCGCTTCATTTTTGATGATCCTCGATGAACGTTCGCGCGACCGTTGTTGCTTGCGAGAGCCCGGCCGCGACCGGGTCCGCAGTTCAGCCTTCGAGCGACGAGTCCTCAGGGCGGCCAGTCGGATAGCACCGGGCGCGCGATATTTCGGATATTTCGCGATATTTCCAGACTGCCTCGAGCCGCCATCGGAAACCGATAATTGGGTCAACGACTTTTGTTGTCGTTATGCACGCGTGTGTACTGTGTAAGCGCGTTTTGCTTCGTTTCTCTCCCACCGTTCCGCGCGACGCCGACATTAACTCGAGAGCGCGTTCGAACGCGAAACGCGCGACGAGGGAGCCTCCCGTTCGAATTCCACTTGCGAACGCGGCCGACGACTCGGCAGAGAATTCTGCGACTCGCCGACTGGGGAGCTTTCACGAGGCGCCCGACAATGCCCGCGTCTCCAATTACCGGTTTTATACCGGGCGCGCGAAAGAGGGTCGGGAGCCGATGGTCGTCGCGGGCGCATTTCCCGACTGGCGGCGTGGCGAGGAATTACACTTGGGATCGATCGGCGTTCGCGGCTCCGTAATCGAATCGGCTGCGATTGACGCGGGAGAGGAGCGAGCGCCAGTCCGCTAACGAACTTGTAGAGGGAGGCGACGAGGCGCTGATCGAGCTGCCGTGCTCGCGCACGCCCCAGCCCGAGGCCACGTAAGACAGGGCGATGCGGCCCCCTTTGATCGATGGCCGCTCGTCGGCAGGATGCGCGCCTGCTGCCCCATTATCCGGCCGGCCGATGGCGATTGCGGAGCTGTCCTTGCTAGCGTCGGAATCTCGGCTCGTCGCGCTCGCGAGTAACGAACGGCAGCTCGCGTCACCGCTGCGCGCAGAGGCTGCAGGGCCAGCTCAATTATCGGCTGATCCGCGTCACGCCACGAGAGCTTGGCAGACCGCGGGGCCCGTCGACCGGCAGCTAGCTGCCCACGCAGAGCCACCAGCGACTGGTCTCCGTGCTCTGCGCCGTGCTGCGTGGACGCGCACACGCGGTAATCTGATCGATCGATGCCACGCTGCTGCTTACCGAGGAGATAGGCTCGCCCTTTGGCCGAGCGCCCCTTAAAATATCTCCGACGCTCTCGTTTCTTTTTTCGGCCGACTATAGCCCGGCTACCCGCGAGAAATCGACCAAAGCTTGGAGACGGTGAACAGAGGAGGAAATCGACGTCAGCAGCGCCGCTGAAACAACGAGATGACGTCGAGCATGGGGCTGCATTGAGTGCAGTCAGCGGAGCGATTTACGATCGACAAAGGAACCACGTAGACGGAGACAGAGAGAGAGAGAGAGAGAGAGAGAGAGAGAAAGCTGTGATAGGAGCTACTCGAGAGGAAGTGGATGTCGGCGACCACGCTCCCTCTCTGTGCACACTTTGTTTTAGACTAGATTGTTCTGACACATTGTGCATTTTTACTAATGTCGGCTACTCAGAGACATTTGTCCCATATCTTTCAGACTTCGAGCGATTTACTCGATCTCTTCCCCTCCCTTTACAAACTATCGTCGAAGCGATGCAATGCTCAAACGAATTTATACTTGTATTTGTGTAATACAAAAGATTTGCGTATATTCTCACGTAATTACTATATTGATGCTATCACTTTTCTCTCTTATTTCTCATGTCAACAACAATCTAGCTGTGTATTTTTTACATGGCATCTAATCTAATCTATTCGAGAAACTCTACAAAGACTAAAACTTGATTGCGGACTAAAACCGAATGTAAAAATAAAGTTTGCTTATTACGCGTCATTTCTAAATTAGTAAGTATATGATATAAATTGGTATGCGCGTTTGCTTTACCATCATACATTTTTCATTTATAATCTCTAATAGAATAAAATGAAAAATAGACAGGCGTGTTCTCGTTTTCGCGTGCGCTGATTTCTGTCGACCTGGGATACGAGAATTCATAAAATTATTGATCCGAGCAAGCAAAAGATTCTGTGAAAAATTCAAGATGGTCACCGATGCGACAAAAGGTATACAACAACACCTCGAATTGGAATTGTGTCGAAGTGTCGTATAACGAGAAAAAAAAAGAATATTCTTGTGCATAATCAAGCGCTACAAACGAGTCTTACAATCTTGAATTGCACGGGTCAGTGGCTCATGTACAACTTGCAATACTTACCGGAACATATAAAATTTTGTACCTACTCGGTCTTTATGATACTATTGATTGAGATTTTGTTGTAATAGTTGATAATCCTATAGCAGATTGTTATAAAAGGTCGACAAGTCGGTTGCTGGCAATCTGGAACATCTGGATAACCAAAGAATTATCTTGCGCTATCAGGTAATGCAAATAAAGCCAGTAAAACTGCGAACTAGGAGATAAAGAAACGTAACGGTTAATCGAACCAATTTTTTCAAACGCAATTTCAAATCCACTCGAATAAAGCGAAGGCTGGAAAAGTCCAATGAAGTAAATCGCTGGGAGGTCCAGTGAGTGCGGTCGTCCCGGCAAATTCGAAGTCTTGCGTCGCGGTTCGATCGCGGAGCGAGAATGGGGGAGCCACGGGCGGGGCAAAAGGGCAGGAGCTCTAATCGCGCTCGTCTAATCAAAGTAAATCGGCGGCGAGCGGCGCGTATACGCGAGAGCCCGGTCGCTGGAAACTTCCTCGACTTCCTCGGGCTGGGCTTGACAGCTGCACTGCCAAACTCGTTTTGCCTTTCCGCCGCTGACGTCGCCGGCGACGGCGTGCACGCAGTCCACGAAGAAAGCGAATGTATCATTTTAACGGGGCGTCTGATGCCGTCACTGTCGCCGCTAAGGAAGACGGATAGCCTTTATAGTCGCCTGGCGCCCGACTGAAAAATGTTTATAAGGCTGCGAGGATTTCCGAAATTGAAATTGCCCTCGTCGCTCGCTGAATCGCGAGCGATGACGGCCGTTATTTTTTTCCCTCGACTGCTTTGCCGCTCCACTCCGGCGCTCGTTGTAATGCGGTATTTGCTTTGCCTCGGTGGCGCCGAGTCGCGCGGCCCGCAGCAGCAGCCGCGAAGCGTTCTCGCTCGTGAATATACACGCCGTGTGCTCGTTCGGCTGGCAATTCGAGCGTCGCGAGGCAGAGGCCTGCCCCCCAACCTGGACGCGGGAAACGGCGCGGGTCCTTTCCGCCGAGCGTAACGTCGTCGAAGGCAGCTGGCGGCAGCGGTGCGCGCCGACGCCTAGCTAAATGCCGCGGCCCGCAGCAGAGACGCACGGCGACGCCGGGGACTCGTGTATAATTGAAAACAGGGGCGCGCGACGCGAGCGCTCCCCGCGTTGCGTCTTCTTCCTTCCTTCCTGCCCTCGTCTTTTCGCCCCGGGCTCCCTTTGGCGCGCGCGTTATATCAAGCTCAATATCTCTCTCTCTCTCTCTCTCTCTCTCTCTCTCTCTCTCTCTCTCTCTCTCTCTCTCTCTCTCTCTCTTCTCCGAATAGCCGGGCTTGCACATCGCTCGCCTTTAAATTGGTCCGCTCGTTAATGAGATTGTTATGCCTCGCGAATGTCTGCTCTTTATTTTATTTTCCCCTCGGTTTATTACATTTTCTCCGTCTCGTTCTCTCTCTCTCTCTTTACATTCGACATGGAAAAGCCTTCGCTTCTTCTTATCAAGCTCTTTTTTCTCATCGCTGCAGCTGCATTTTCGAGACAGTTAATAAATAATATATTTACCTACCTTTGAAAACACACTGGTGGCCATTAATATACGTTACGGCAGTGACGCGAAATGAAATCGATATCCGAATGATAAATGGGGCAATCAAGGATGTGGACAATAATGTCTAATGTGTACACAAGGCAACAGTGCAAGCGATAACAGCGAGGCGAGGGCCAGACTGCGTCAGGACTTATCTAATATTAAGACAAAAGCTGAAGTACGAGCGGGTAATCGAGGGGACTAGTCCGCCAATAACCGCGGAATTGGTACGGGAGTTGCGTCGGAGAGCCTCGCTGCTCCCTTGCATTTTCGCCCATACACAGGCAGTCGTGTTATATATACGTTGGTTTTATTGGTCGGATACAATGCATCGGTAAACGTTACAGCACACAACTTCTTCTTGCTCCTCCAGCTCTGCCTTCTCCTCCTCCACCTCTTCGTTGGGTTACAGCAATCGATACTCATTCTCTCTCTCGCTCGCTCTACATCTATGTACAGCTATGTACAAAAGCGGTCCTGCGGCGCGCACAAAGTCAGTACGGACATTCGCCGAAGACGCGCGCGTCACGGACGGCACTCGTTCGGCATGTAAGCCGAGACGTCGCCTCCGTGCCCGGCTGTCTGCAATATCATACGCGTCGAGGCTCTGAAAATGACAATGATACGTTCTCGCTTTCTCGCCTTCGCGCGAATACACGACGAGGAGGAGGGTTCGGCGCACGCTCGCGCATCCCGATTTTTGTGATATGTGTGTTCGAGCCCATGGGTGGTCTTGTCATCCTTCCGCTGCTTCTTTCCGCGCGACGGCAAGGAAAACGGAGACACCGACGCAGCCGAATCGTCTCGCGCGCGCCAGTACACTCTCGACGGCGAATCAAGCTCTTTCTTTCATTTAGGGCAAGTAACGGCGCGGAGAAAGTTCGTCCGCTGACAAATGCAAATTTCGCGCCAACTTGAAACGCAAGTAAATTCACTTGGCTTTCGATACAAGTATATATTACACTCAGAGCTTTTATAGCGCGTTTCCGAGCTCCGCGAAATTTCTTTACTAGTACCAAAATCGAGTAGCCGTTAGCCTACGCTCGGCTCAACATCCAATAAAGTCGCCAAGAAACTAAGAAACGATAAAGCTCTGTCGTTATAAACCGTCGTTCCTCTACGCATCACTCGATCAAAAATACACTTAGGCTACAGCTTTCTATGTTAGACGACGAGCCAGGTCGATCTCTGTTGCGTACGCGCAGTCCACCTAAGCAGTAAATCTCGTGTGAAATTTGTATATCTTTTACAAACATTTTCGTATACTGTAGATAAATGACATTCACGCTCGGAATAGCGAGCTACCTTTTACTTTTAATGCAATGTTTATAATATCAAAACAGCTTAAAAATCGTCTTCGCTCTTCTCGATAAAAAAACTTTCATATCTAGTACATCTTAGGCTACAAATATTTCAGTATAAAGTGTACGAGTTTGAAATATACAAATACGTCGATTACTTCAGCTATAGCTAGATATCGTGTCAAATCTCAAGCTAAACTCAACTTTTTCGACGCGCTTCATGGATCGAATAGACGAAAGGATCGTTTTCGGAGTCGAGCTTTTACACGGAATACATTGAGAGACTGGCAAGAATGGATCGAAGGCGATACAAATGACTACGACAATGACGAGGCTTGATACGCTGCAAGTTCAGAGTAGCTTGAATATTTGATAGCAATGAAGTTGCTCCGGCAACACGGCGGACGACCAACGCGCAATCAGAACCAGAATTTTGTATCGCCATGTATTGGTACAGTCTTGTGTTTTGAAGGAGGCGCGCAAAGGGCGCCACGTTGTGAAAAATGTAACATTGACGAAGAGCGCTCCGAAGAAGCGCGAAGCGTGATTTGGCGCGTGGCCGCGCGTCAGTCCGGGAGAAAACGGCCAACGGGCCCGCGCGCTCGCTCAAATGCGCAATGCTCGTCGAGCGAGCGAGGGCAACAAGTGGGCTCGACGGCGAGCAAGCCGCGAGACGGAGACAAACGGCCTCGACAGAGCGGGACGAGGGGGCGCCGCCGGTCTCCTCGGGTTCCGCGTCGGCCGCTCCAGCGGCACTATGGCACCGAAGGCTCCCTCCCCTTGAGCAGCGCGGCCTAGGCGCAGACGTCGGCCAGGCTCTCCTCGACGATCCGCTCGAGCGTCTGCAGCTGGGCGGCCGGCTCGTGGACCTGCAAGCACAGCGGCACGAGGAGGCGTTGGGCGCGCGCCGCAGGCGGCGCTCGGCCGAGGGCTTACCGGCTGCGAGCAGGGCGAGTGCAGCAGCTCGGCGTGCACGAGCAGCCCCTTCCTGAGCACGCTGAGGTACCCCTAGCTTTGGAGCGCGTCCGCGCCGACGTAGGCGTCGTCGAGCTGCTGGCGGTCGAGCAGCAGCAGCAGGTGCCCGGGCACGTCGAGGGCCGTGTGCAGGGTGACGCTGACGCCGCGGTTGAGGCTGATGGCCGGGTAGAAGACGCCGTAGAGGTCGCGGAAGGCCACGCCGCCCTGCGGCTGGTCGTTCACGAAGAAGCGCAGGCTGTGGCTGCGCTCGAGGTCGAGCAGCAGCCCGATGGTGGAGCCCTGCTGCACGCCGCCCTCGGTGCGCTGCGCGTGCACGGCCCCGTGCATGAACCAGGAGCGCTGCCGGTCGATGTACATGCTCCAGCCGCGGTCGTCCTTGCCGAGCATCTGGTCGCGCGAGACGTCGGCGCGCGCCACGCCGAAGGCCGGGTCGGTGTCGCTGTGGTAGCGGTCGATGCTCAGCTCCCAGTAGTGCACGCCCCGGGAGAAGCCCACCGTGGACAGCACCACCCGGTGCTCGTAGCCCTCGCACGAGGCGCTCATCCGGTCCTCGGAGATGCTCACCTCCTGCGCCAGGCCCGTCGTCGTCGCCCACGAGAACCAGGCCACTGCGAACCCCGGCAGCAGGCGCTCAGTGCGGGCGGATCCGCGGATCCGCGCCTCCTCCTCCTCCTCTCTGCACCTACCTTCGGCCGTCTGCAGCCCGATCAGCTCCGAGTACTCGCCCTCGCCGGCGCTGTTGAAGGCTCGCACGCGCGCGTTGTACAGCGAGTTGAAGTGCAGACCGTCTACCGTGCAGATCGTCTCCCGGCCGCAGTACACCTCCTGCGGGCAAACGAGAGGCGGCGTCAGCGGCGGAGCGGCGGAGCGGCGGCGGACGGGCCTCGGTCGCGCGTCCGCGGCTCTTACCCGGAACTCGCCGCCGCAGCCGTCGTCCAGCTCCAGCAGGTAGCCCTCGATGGCCGGTGCTCGCTGGCCCGCGTAGCACGCCGGCGGCTGCCAGGCCACGGTCACGCTGTTGTTCTCGGCGCTGCACTCCTCGGGGATGAGCAGCGGCGCTGCTGGCGCTGCGACATCGTCCAAGCCGGGATTAGCGCGCGCGTCGGACGAGCAGCGCGACAAGACAGCATCACAGCAGACGACCACAGAGCGGAGAAGCGAGAGAGAGAGAGAGAGAGAGAGAGAGAGCGCGCGCGGAAATCCGAGGCGGACGCCGCGTGCGCGTTTGATTGGCGAGCTAATTAGGGCGTGCTCAAGGCAAAGTTCGCGTAATGGGGTGGCGCCTGCGCGCGCGAAGTTAGCGCCGGATCGACGGAGCACCACCGTGCGCCTGCCAAGTTTCGGGATGCGCGCCGCCGATCGCAATAGGCGCGAGCGGCAGCGACTGCCGCGATTATTATGATTATCCGCGGGCGAGTCGTCGAGCACGCGACCTATTCGTCGCGCGCAGCCGCTGCAGTTGACTTTTCACGCAGTTCGCGCGCGTGCGACCACGATCGCGTCGAGAGAAGCGTACGAGGGTCGCGGCGACTCGGCTCCAGAGGCAAGTTGTGCGGCGTCCGCTAGTAAACTCGGGGGCGCCGGCAGCGATGCTCTGGCCATTCCGTAGCTGCGGTCTCCAGCAAAGTTATTTCCTCGCGGTGTCCGGCTTGCGCGCGCTCGGCCCCTCGCAAGCCTTTTCGTCCCCGACGCGCCGTCGCTCCCTTCTCCGACGGATTCCATTCGTCGCGCGACCGACGTTCCGCGTTTGTCTTTGCCGAGCTTACCTTTCTGTAAAGGTCCTGGACGCCCGTTGTCCATCCCCCGGTACGTTGGCGCCGCGATTTTCTATATGCCACTCGGAACCGTTCGATTATGTATCTCAAATGTCATTTTCACGGGGTTTTTTTTCCCGAATATGGAAACGAAAATGTGAATGCGACGCGCGCATCGCAGCGGAAGCTCCAACTGCCGTACCGCGGCATAACAATCGCTCTTCATTCAAATAAATCCAGAGGCCTACAATGAAAATTGAAACCGCATCAGCCGTCGGAACGCCAAACGCGAGCGTGAGCCATTCGAAAGTGAAAAAAATAGTTGAAAAAAGGGAGTCGGGAGTCGGGAGTCGGGAACGGCGAGCAAATATTTTGCGAAAACGAGTGCGCGAAAATCCCTCATAAGCCCGTATCCAATTACAGCAGCCGAGTGTGCTCTCTCGGAAATCGATCGGACGGTTTGCAAAAGCGCCCCGCCGAAAGCGAGCGGGAGAGAGCTGCTAGTAAAGCGGAGAGTAGTCGTCTGGAGAACGCAAATTGATTGGATCTCTCGCGAAGGGTTACTCTCGCTCGCTCGCTCGCTCGACTCCCTTGGATTTTTTTTCCTCTCACCGAGTGGCTTTTTTATGCGAGCCGGGTATAAAAAGCGGGTAAAGAGCTCCGCGCTCCTGTTTGCTCGCTTCCGTCTTGCTCGGCCCGCCGCGTTGACGAGTCGACGCGAGCGATCGAGCTTGCTATCGACTACGGCCACCGCTGCTTTCGGGAATCGGACAACGTAGTCGCGAAGGATCGCCGGTCGGCCCGACGAGTCACGCCAAGCTCGTCTCGGCCCGGAGATGCTACACGCACAGAGGCTACGCGCGGAGGAACGCGGGACCGAATGGGGGCAAATGCCGGACTGCTTTTTCGCCGCTCCTCGGATTCGCGTTTCCGTTTGTGCGCGCGTCCGCGTGTTTTATTCTCGCGTTGGTGCGACACGAGAGCAGAGTGATGAAGTATGCGCAAAAGAAAGTTGAAGAAGTGTAGTGACTCGGCGACAAATTAATCGGGGGAGAGAATTGAAAAGCAAGGACAAGTACGGGCATGCAACTAGCGAACAAACAGCTGAACGACTACTGAAAGGAGCGAGGAGGAGAGCCAGCGGCGGCGGGAAAAGCAGGCAGGAGAGCTGGCGCCGGGCTCGGAATTCAGCTGGCATCGAGCTAACGACGCGCCAAGCGTCGCTTTCCGAGGCAGGCAGACGCGAAGGCCATCGGATATTCAGGCAGCGAGCCCGCTCGGCCTTATCTCCGCTCGTTTATCCAGGCACAGCGCGAGAGCAACAACGATCATGCAGCGTTCGGACATTCAATTGTCCGCGAGAGCAAGGAGCAGGCAAGGAGCACTGACACAGACACACAGTTGGATGCTCGCTTGGGACTGCAGTGAGTTAGTTACCTGTGGTAGGCAAGCGGTCCTCTCCCTCCATGGCTACGTCGGCAGACGAAGCAACGAATCGCAAAGAGAGAGGAAGGAACATTTGTCGATCATTTACTCTTTTGTTGGTCGGGTTATTAGTGGAAAAGCTTACAAAGATATATATATATATATATATATATATATATATATATATATATATATATGTATATATTTATACGAGTAACGAGGGCTTTGCGCTCGGTGAGGAGATCGAGTGGGATTCCCGTGGTCCGGAGCCGCGTCGACGAGCCTCGGCGGGCGGGGCCTCGTTGCGCAAACGGGTCCGCGCCGCGCCGGCGCTCGTCGGCCCGATCACTGGTCGGCGCGGAACCGCGACCGGCAGCCTTCCACTCGAGCCCGCCGCGCGCGGCGCTCGCTATCGCACCTGCGATGCGGCGCCGATGTCCCAAGCACCAGGTAGACAGAAGCTCGCGGCACACGAGAGAGAGAGAGAGAAAAAGAGAGGGAGAGAGGTGAAGCCCCACACCGCGGGCGCAGCGAACGAGGCAGGGGCCCGGTGAAGGTGTGGCGGGCGCGGCTCGATACTCACGTTTCATCTGCACGAAGGTGAGCTGGTCGATGGCCCGCCTGACGGGCTTGTCGTCGAGCGTGAGGTCCAGCAGCGGCATGCGCGCGATCTCGTGCGCGCCCTCGGCCGAGCCCCAGGAGCCCGCGGCCGCGGAGGCGCGCATCGCCAGCATGCCGCCGATCTGCAGGAAGGCCGCGCTGTCCGTCTCCTTGAGCGCCTCGATGCAGAAGGTGAGCAGGCCCGTGGTGGTCTGCAGGTGGCCCGCGCACCGCGACACCTGGTCGCGCAGCAGGCGCACGCGCGCCTCGCGCGTCTGCCGCGCCGCCTCGATCAGCCGGGCCTTGCGCGACTGCAGCATCAGCACCAGGCTGTCGATGCGCTCCTCCACCTCCTCCTCCAGCGACAGGCACTCCTCCTGCGGACGCGCCCACGCGGTCAGCGGTCGAGCATCAGCGCGACCCGGACGACGGACGTCGCCGCGCCCTCCGCGAGCGCGCGCTTTTCTCGGCCGCGGAGGGCGCCTTCTCGAGCCGCGAGTCGGCCTTTCATCCAGCCCCGCCCTCGACTTTTTTATTATGCACTTTGAGCTTCGTTTTACGCGCGCTCCGTGAAAGAGCGAGATTTTCGGCATAAAAGTGCACTCGAGACGACTTTGAATCGATCGCGGCGTTCAATAGCAGTTTCGAGGTACTCCATAAACCCCGACGAATCTTGCCCCTCTCGCCTGAGCTTACTTCGCCGACTCGCGAATTTCCGCTCGCTCGTTACGTACTTCCCCGACAGATATTCGATTGTTTCGCGGATGCACGGGGGTGCCGAGAAAAATCGCACGACTCGTCGCTTCGACGTTTCCTCTCGGGAAGCGCGGCCGAAGCGTCGCGTCGCGAATGAATCTCCTCGATGATCAACGAAGCCCACGTGCTGGATATAAGATCGACGCAAGAGCGCACCGCGCGGCTGCCTCCGAGCTCTTTTGCGCTTAGCCGTGGCGCGACTCCGCGTGATTTTTCCTGCCTTGCTCTTTGCCCTTTGCCGGCGCTTGCGAGCTTTCCTACAAAATTAAGGCGCGCCAAGGGAATCGAAAAGACGAGAAGCTCATCTCGTCGGCAGCGAAGAGTCGATTAGCGCTGCGGCAAGGACAAAGGGAAGACAGAGCGCTGGGCGGGCATACTCACGTGTACTTTGTCGGTCATTCTTTTGAGCCTTTGAATGAACTCGGTGGTGGAGCGTGCCCGTTCCGACAGCTGCTGCAGGTTCTGCGAGAGCTCCGTCTGAAACACAGAGCGAGGGTACGCAAGGGTTATTACGACAGTACGCCCCAAGTGGAGATACGGCGAGGGAGGCCTTCTCAGGGCTCTCTTTGATGTACGCCGGCGCTGTCGGACGCGCGGAGCTTTCGCGCCGGCTATCGCGCCAAATTATTGTTCTGCGCCGCTTAGTGCGTTTCGGCTCTAGCTCTTTCGCGCGACCAACGTGGAAAGACAAGTCATTATACTTGAAAGCTATGGCCGTTAATTACCGACCTTTCCCTACGCCCCCCCCCCCCCCCCAGCACAGACATTACGCGATGATATCACGCTTTCATTTTAATTAATTCCACCGAAATCTAGTCCGCCGAAAGCGGACTTGGAATAACAACGTGACTGTCCGATGCGAAGTAGCTTAACGATCAGTCAAATAAAAACAAAGCTCGCGGTGAGCGTATATTAATATCGGCGAGAGCAATTTGCGCGCTCGCCGCCCGCAACCGGACAGAAGCAAGCGACAGCGATGAAGCACGGAGAACTCCCGCGATCCGAGAGAAACAGCGGAGCGGCGCGGCGGCGGGAGGCGCTGAATAATTCGACAACTACTCTCGAAAGATACTCGGGGCTGAGAGTGGGAGAGCGAGGGCCGAGATGAGGTCTGACTCCGGGGGGGCTCTGCCGCGAGGACGGGAGGACGAGGCGGGCGCCTCGCTCTGCAAGCCAAATTATGATAATTTTTGGCACTTTGCATTCAAACGGGCCAGCTCGCTCCGCCGAGAGCTCCGACTAAACACAGCGCCGGCGGGCACGCGGGCTCCGTTAATTCGCTCGAGTATATTTACCGCGCGCCCGCGCGACACAATCGCTCGATCGGAGGTCCGAAGAGGCGGAAAAGCGGGACGCGCGTTAGCCGAAGGCTCGAACAAGGGAGGAGGGGACGGATGGGCGCGATTACAGAGTCGACGGCATATCCATTTCTCGCGGGAGTCCGCGCGGACGCCGATCGCCAGCTATTTTCACTCGGCTGCCATTGGCCGGCCAATGATAGACCGAATGATTCTATAGCCAAGAAGACGGCGAAATGGAAGTAGGAGATCTTCCGCGGGCCTGAATCGTGTTAATTGGAAACTTGGCGGATGAGATGCTGTCGTGCTCGTGGCGGCCGACGATTAACCCGCGCGAAGCTTCACCTGCAGCAGCGCACGAGCGAGACTGCATCGCAAGCTCTTCGCGAATAAATCTTGATTCTTAGGGGTCTCTTTATCTAGGCTGCAGGCTTCAGCGATCGATTCAATGGAGACAGACAGACAGACAGACAGAGAAAGAGAGAGAGAGAGAGAGAAGGAGAGAGAGAAACAGAGAGAAAGGCAGCGTGGCTCGCTCGAGTCAACACATGAATTATTCAGCGGCGCTGCGAGTCTTCGGCTCGCAAGCTCTCTCTCACTCGTCTTTGTCAAGGTGGCGCACACACGTACACCGGCTATTATTTCGATTGGCCAGTTTTGCCCCGGAGCTTTCGTTTGCCCCAAGGATCTCGAAACGGCTGATTGACTTTTAAATACGAATTGCCACGAGTCCTCGGCTGCTACTTTATCTGCTTACGGTTTGTCGGTCGGCTTCCGACAAGTTGCCGGATTGAAATGCCGTATCGGCTTGCTCGATCGTTTACAAAGACAAGCGCCAGAAACTGTCGGGACCTTTTTATTACGTGGGTTATCGTCGTCGCGATTGTCGTCGACTCCACGGGGACGCCACGTACTCCCCCCCCCTCCCTCCCTCGGTCGCCGTCGAAACCAAATGTCCGGCCATAAAAACCGAATCTACCCCGTGCGACACTTGTCGATCGGTCATACCAGCGCCGGCAGGCGACAGCAGCGCGGTCCCGAAAATTCATTTCGCCGCACAGCTGGCCCGGTTATATATTCACGTCGCGTGTTGCGTCGAGGGAGAGTGGCTTGGCTTGTCTTAGCCTTGCTTGCTCTTATCAGCGAGTCGCAGCCGTCGCTAAACTTCCACCTTCCCCCGAGCGACTCCCTTCCCGGCTCGGCTTTGTCTTAGCCGCGCGCGCACGTCTTCTCGGCTTCCCCGTTCTTAAACCGACAACCCTGTCGCCGATCCGACCACTGATTAAAAGGCCAAGGATTGATTCTCTTGAATCGCTAGCTTATCCGAAGGATAACATTCCAAAATACAATGTGATCGATGACGGCCAAGCGAATAGAAAGAACATCGATCGAATCCGTATACGCGTAAACGCGCGTGGAAATGGAGAGAAAGAAAGCGAGAGAGAGAGAGAGAGAGCAAGAAAAAGGTGTCAATAACGAAGATTCTCCGCGCGCAGTAAAAGGAGGGAGGTAACTGTCGTTGGGTGCATTATCACGCGGCGCTCTCTGGCAAATCAATCAAAACTGCGACGACCTCTCTCGTGGAAATATCACCGGGACTGACATAGAATCTTTCTTAAGCCATTCGTCGCCGAGTTTCGTTGAATAATATCTTCTTCCAGCTTCTTGCTTCCGCGTAGATGACGAGCGGGCCGATCTGTTGGCTCGCGAGAACTTTATTATTAAAAAGAAAGGAAAGAAAGAAAAAACGGCCGTCGTAAAAAGAAGCAAAATCGTTGCGAAGCTTCGAAAAGCGCGGCAAAATCTGCGACACATCGATATTCCCGGGTCGTAAAACTTGGCGTCGCGCTTCGCTTTTTACGACGGCCGGCGGCTGTTGCTGCCGTTTCGTGCGCGGCTAGCTGCTCTCTGCCCGCGCGTGTCTCTTCGTCGTCTTCTCTCGTCTCGTCTCGGCGCCGCGCGCCCCCGGCGACCAATCGACGATTGCGGAGCCGAGCGAGGCAAATCTCGACACATACGAACACACGCGTGCGCGTGTGTGTTCAAGGCCGAGTTTGCCGGGCTCGATCGACGAACACGCGCGTTATCCTTGGAGGACGCACAGCAGCGACGCAAGAAAGACAGACGCGGAAGCGACCTTTGTTGGGGGGTGCAAATGTATCGGATAGAAAGCTGGCGCCAATAAATCTCAATCTCGAAAATCCGTCTACCATGGTAAAGAGCGAGAGAGAGGGAGAGGCGGGCATGTGCACACAATAGTTGAGGCGGCAGCGAGAGCAAAAGAAGGGTCCGAAGGAAAAACCGCGACAAAGTGTCCCCTCGAATTTCTCTCTCGGCCCGGTCGACGGCTATTACCGTTTTCCCTCTTTGTGAATTTTCTTGCCAAATACCTTCCTTCCGCGTAGACGCACACGCGAGCGCGGTGCAAGCGGAAAGGCGTCTCCTCTCTCTCGTTCGGGTGTCGTCCCTTTCCGCGCGCAAAAGCCCCGCCGCCCTCGTCCTTTTTTATCGCAGCTAACCCGCTCGAGACTGGCGACGGCCGAGGCAATTTTTTAATAAGCTTCCGCGAGATCTCTCCGTTCCGCCTCGAGGCAGAGACGCCAGGCTGCGCCGGCCCGTCCGCGCGAGATCCGACCGCGGCGAGAAGACTGCGCGCGCGGCCAGCCTCGAAAGTAATCGAGCGCGGAAACTAATCGAAATTCTCGAGCTGGCGCGCAAAACAGCAATTTCACTTTGATGCGGCGGCTCCGAGTGGCGGTGGGGGGCGGTCGGGGAGAGGTAATCGACAATTACCAGGCTGCCGGCTCTCGCGCGCGGAGGAGCGCCCGAAATAATCGATTGCCCTCGCGTACGCGCTTTTCCCGGCGGACCTCTTTACGGCCTCTCCCAGCCGCGTGTCGGGGCCGCCTACGTACTCCTCTCTCTCCGGCCCTCGCCACATTCAGCGCCAGTTATTTTTGCCAGCCCTAGCCGAATGATCTCGGCGAGTAGTCATCGCCGGCGACGCAAATTGGATTAAGAAAGTTGCGAGCAGCCCGGAGCCGAGGCGGATAGACGGCCTGTACGATCCGAGAGAGGTGCGTTTACTCAAGGCAACTTGCCGTCAAACGCTCAACTTTCAATATTAGCCTTGCAAAACTTAACTGTCTCGCTTACTTCCTACGCGCCTGTGGCCCGCGCGCCGCGCAAATTTCATACGCGCGCCCAAGAAGTTTAATTAGCTCGGCCGAGAATTCAATTATCATGTAATCTAACGCGCTGGTGCTGCTGCTGCTCACACTCGGCGCATACGATCCTTTTCTCTCTTCGCTTGTCGCACACGTACTCGGGACTGAATTGTTGCAGAATAGTTTCGCTCTCTCTCTCTCATTAAGCGAGTTCATTAAGGAGCAACCGCTTTCAAAGAGTCTCGCAAAGCTTTGTCCGACAGACGGAGTTCGTTTTCTCGTCGATCGACCGCGGCAACCGAGGCGGGATTAAATCGCGGTGGACGCTGATCAGCGGCGCTCGGCAGTTGGGTAAATAAGCTTTTTGAGGGAAGCGCCGGACGCATTAATATCGACATAATGCTCTTCGTTAATTCGGACCGTCGGCGCGCTCGGCGGATTACCCATGCTAATACGCTCATAATATTAGCGCCCGAAACACAAGTCATCGAACCCAACCCGCCGTGCCCCGGCCAATCGTTCGACGCGCGCGGACGACAACGTGCGAAGTAGTCGGAGATGTGGCGCACCGGCGAAGATTCTCGTAGGACGAAAAATCGGGCCGACTGCAGTAATCCGACTGTCCATCGGCTCTGCGGCAGGCGCCAAGGTGCGCACTCGAGGATACAGCTTGATCCGGTGGCGCTCGAGCTCGTTTGCCCGACAGCACTATCAGAGGCAAATCGAGAAAGATGACCCCGGGTGGCGAGCTAAACGACAAATTGATGGAGTCGCCGGATTGAAAGCAACAGCGCCGGTCGTCCGTCAGCAGTCGACGGATTAATGAGTTTCATCCCGGCCGCCCGGGGAGCGAGCGACGAGCGACGAGCGCGACGTGGCGTGGGAAATTGGCGCGCACGGCGTCGGCTTTACGGCCGCGCGTCCGCGCGCGCTCCGGGCAATTAGCTCTCGCGCGCGCTTTACGAGATAATAGCGCGTCTGCACGCCGGCCGCGTCGAGTTTTCACGAGGCG